GAGTGGCTGGCTGCTTGATCCGTGCAAATGCTGACGCCTTGGGCTGCTTGCGTAGCGAGCAGTGGTCGAGATCCGCTCTGTTCCACCACCGATCGCCAGTCTGATGCGACCAGCAGTGCTTGCAATACCATGGCCTGGCCCACGACTGGCGTCTGTGCTTGTGACCTGAGGGCGGCGCACCGCCTTCAGAAGCATGAGAGGGCGCCATGGGCCTTCCGTGCTCGAGAGTGAACAATAAATCGTGCTGTGCGCAGGCGGGAAACCCGCGTAGAGCACACGGTATGCAGCAGCGCGTCCAGGCCTGGGCAGGCCACTCGGGAGACGCGAGAGCGGTCGGGGGCCGCACCTTCCCCACGCCAGAATTTCAAGTCCTGAGCGAAATACTACGGACTTGAGCCAACATGGCTACGGACCAGGAACTGTAGTGGAAGGAACGGAATTGAGAGGAGGACCAGGAACAGGCGGGTGAGGTGAAGTGAGGGGGGCGACAACGATGTGAACGGATTCGGATCCAGACAAGTGGCCCGCGCCGGGGCGAGAGCGCCATTCCGAGTGCCGGGAGCAGCGCGCCGAGCCTAAAGTGAGACCCGCGCTGCAGCGGACGACAATCGGATCGCAAAACCATGAGAAACAGCAAGTTGGGGAACCCTTGTGTTTAAGACACAATGCGCGGATAAATCATAATCGGGCTAATGGGGTCTTTGGGAATGGCGCCGCGAGGCGTGCGCGCAATAGTCCATGCAATAGCTACAGTAGTTTATTCCTGCGATGCAGTAGTCTGGGCTCTCGCTTTTTTTTGCGAGCAATAGTTTGCAATAGTTGGCTTGCCACGATGCTATACTTGCGCCTGTTCATGCAATAGGACGCAATAGTTGAGCCCGCGGGCGCAATAGTTCGCAACAGTTGCGCGCACCCGCGGGCGCAATAGTTCGCAACAGTTGCGCGCAATAGCTGCGCACATTATTTCCACGCAGCGAACGATTGCAGCTGCGGTTTGCGGGCCCGGTCCCATTCCCAAATACCCCATTTCCCCGGAACCAAATATGGCTAAACATCTCCCGCACAGAGTCAGGGGAGAGAGAGAGAGGACTCGTACAGTCAACCCGCATAGTAAGGATGAGCGACTTTCCAAGGTCACCCTTGTATCCTCCCCCTTCGGCTCAGTATTGGCCGCTTTCGCTGGCCGCGCCCCGCTCGCAAAAGTCCGACATGGCCTTCCAAGGCCCTGGCATCCTTATCGTGCGCCGTTAGTACACGGACTGGCTGAACTCAGAACTCGTGGGTGCCAAGCTGGGTGCGCTCGCCCCTCCCTTTCCCATCCTTTCCCATTGCGCCGTTGTGTTCTCCGGTCGCGGACGCGTGACGTAGGGACGTGGGGCTCCACAGAGTGACCCCCATGTGCGATGCGCTGTCGGCAAAGGGGAGCGGCGTACAGAGGAGGAGGAGGAGGAGGAGGAGGAGGAGGAGGAGGAGGAGGAGGAGGAGGAAAAAGGATGAGGAGGAGGAGGACGAGAAGGAGGAGGTGGGGGACGAGGATGAACAGAAGGATGAGCAGGAGGAGGAGGCGTGGGGACGAGAGAGCAGGAGAACGAGGACGAACAGCAGCAGCAGGATCTGGGGGGGGCGGGGCAGGGGAACCCAGGGGAAGGACCCGGGGAAGGCGGAGAGGGGGGGAACGGAATGGGGGCCACAACGACGAGGACGGGCCCGGATCTAGAAGAGCGTCCCTCGCTGGGGCGAGAGCGGCACTCTGAACGACGGTAGCAAAGCCTCGATCGCTGCAGCGGGAACACCATTCCGGAAGGGCGGGGAGCGCTCGAAACAATCAGACAAGAGCAACCAACTCCGACCCATCCTGTGAGTAAGGATCTTGCGAGGAAGGTGGCGCGCGACTTTCAGGCCGTCTTCGGGGGAGAGAGGGGAGTAGTATTCGTATTCAGTAGCTGTGGAGGGGGAGGAGGAGGTGGAGGAGGAGGAGGAGGATGAGGAGGAGGAGGAGGAGGAGGAGGAGGAGAGGGGGCGGGCGCAAATAGACGAGCATGGGCGAGGATGTGGATGCGGAAGCTGGGTGATGGGCAGGAGGAGGAGGACGATGAGCGGGGCCCCGACGGGGAGGAGGAGGAGGAGGAGGTGGAGGAAGTGGACGTGGCCGATGACAACGGTCATGCGCCCCACTCGGCCGCTCGAGAGCAGTGCCATCGGGGCCATGGGGGCCCGCGCGTTCTCCTCCTCCTCATCATCCTCCTCTTTCTGCTTCTCCTATTACTGCTTCTCCTCCTTCTCCTCCCTCTGATAATCCTTCTGCTTCTTATCCTCCACCTCCCTCCTCCTCCTCCTCCATCTCCTCCTCCTCCTCCCTCGTCTCCTTCATTGTGCGACCCGTCCTCTTCTGCCACGTTTGTTCCTTCTCCTACGGACCCCCCCTCATCCCCCCCTCCCCCTCCTCCTTCCCTCCCCTCCTGCTGCTCCGGCTGCCGCGGCCGTTTGGGCCACAACCAGGCGGTCAGCAGCTTCATTCCGTGCTACTTGGGTGCGCGCGCGCCCGTTGCCTTGCCTCGGACTAGCTTGGTGCTTTTCGCCGCCCAGGCACGACTGTTGATATTTCTCCCTGGTCCTCCGCTGCATGCGTGGGTCTCTATCTCTGTCTTCATTCTCTGCCACGACGAGCTGAGCGGATATGCGCCGCTTCGCCTCCGCTCGACATTGGTTCGCAGCTGCGGGTTGAGTAAGTAAGTTGACGGTGTTCTTCGCTTCCATCGTGATCCGGTTCGCGATATATCTAACAAGCGTACCGTCGGCGAAACGCTTGTACCTACTCTTCCTGGTCATCTTACGACCCAACGGGCTCTGCACTGCAGGGATGCAGAACCTCGTGAAGTTAATGCGGCGCGTCTTCGGGCATGGGGTGGATCTGCCCCGTCATTGTGATTACACCAACAGCAGGCTGCGGATCATGGCAGGATGTGCCGCTTTTGGGCGGGCAGGCCAGGAAGAGCCTGCTCGAGAAGCGGGTGATGAAGAGAATTCACCAGGCCGCGCTGGACGTAAAGCGGAGTCGGCTTGAACAGCTTGTCCGGAGAAGTCGAGCTAGATTTGGGCGAGTCGGTCTGTGTCTTGTCCGCTAGATGTCCTAGCTCCGCTGGATCCCTGACGCATGCGTTCGTCTTCATATTCGTGATATTGTGAAGGCCTGACGGCCGGTGCCGCCGACCCTGAAAGACATCGACGACGACCAGCAGGGGGAGGAGGAGGAGGAGAAGGAGGAGGAGGAGGCGGAGAGAAGGAGGAGGATGCGTTCGTCTTCATATTCGTGATATTTTGCGACCGATCCCCCTGGAGCTGCTATCGGGAGTTGTGGCAGAGGTGGCGCAGCTGAAGCAGACTCTCGCAGCGCGGCGGCAGCAGTTAGCGCGAGGCGAGGCGGCCGTGCGCCTCACCGACCCGAGGCCGTGTGCCGCTGGCCGGCGCCCGCGTCCGCGCAGTCGGGGGGACGACGTTCGGTGTGAGCCACGAGGCCCTGACCAACCTGTCGCCCACGAGGCCGTCCCAGCTTCCGCTGGCATCGAGGGCCTCTGTCGGGGGCGGCAAAGAGGGGGGTGATGACTAGGGGGGGTGGATATCCTGGCGGGGGTCATGATATCTCCCCAGATTTCATGGCGCCTCTTCTTATTTCGTGACGTCCCTGGCCCCTCCCCCTGCACATGCCGCCGGCCACGATTTGCGCCCCCCCTCTTGGCCGACCCCGACTCTGTTCTAGAACTCCTGGTCTCCGTGGCGCCCACGTCGCTGGGAGAGCAAGGCTACCGCATAGCCTTGGCACAGTTCTGCTGCTGAGCCCTGTGGGCGGCAGGGCGTGCAATCTAGATTGGACCATGGGCCGCGGCTTTAGTCGCGAGTTATGCGGCCTCGACAAGGCTGGGCCTTACATTGAACTGGCTATGCGCGCCCTTTGTGGGCGATGCCAGGGCGCGGCGATCACCTCACACTTGTTTAAGCGGGGTACGTTGTGGCTCAGGGTACCTCATTGAAGAAACAACTACTGTTCTGAAGCGTGTTCGTCGCCAGGCCCTTGTTCGGCACGATCGACATGGTCACAGAAAGGCTACGGACTAAGACCAACAGCAGTCCCTCCTCATTTTGATCAGGGTTCGCTGTCGGCGTCTCCACGGACGCTGTCCAATTGATACAACAAGTCGTTTGCGCACCAGAGACGTCTGTCGTTTGTGGACAGCGTTTGCTGCAAGGCATCGTGACCATTTCTTGCTTGCACATTCCGAGCGTGCCGACCTGCGCCTGGACATGCGCCCTGAGAACGACGTGCTCGTGCCGCTAGCTCGTAGGGCCCGCGTATCGGCAGCTCGCCTCGGATCTTGATTGTGAGTGGCATGATGCCCAGTACGGGCTGGCGCGTGCAGTCTGCCTGCAGTTTAATGTTGGCGCAGGGTCCGAAGAATTGTTTTAGCTCCGCTCGACTTCTCCTGCCCCTCCTACTCCTCATCGTAGCGCCTCCTCCCCTTCCATCTCCCCATCTCGTTCCTCCTCATCCCCTTGGTCGTTCCCCTCACCCCTGACCCATTGGACTTCTCCTTCTTTATTCTTATTATGTCTGTTCCTCTCCTCTGCTCATCCTCATGAAACTCTCTATGCCCCTCATCCTTATGTTCTTTCTCATCCTCCTATTCCTTCCCAAGTTCCTCCCCTGCTCCTTCGCCTCTTGCTGCTGATCCTACTAATCCTCCTCTTGCTACTCTCTCTCTCTGTACATATATGTATATATCCTCCATGCCCCTTCCCCTTCCACTCTCCCTCACCTTTTGCCATCATCACCCTCCTGTCCAGGACCCGCTCGCTATCCTCCCTCAGACCCCCCCTCCCTCTCCTAGATGCGAGCGGAGGGAAGGACCAGGATGAAAGAGAGGGGAGCGGGGGAGAGAGGCAGGGATGGCGAGGGAGGAGAAGGCTGAGGGATGCAAGCCTGCCAGTCTTGAGCTGCCGGACAGGACACGGTCAGCATCGACCCGGAGAACGGCGCTCAGGGGACGTGAAGAAAGTGGTCATCCACCCGCGCACGCCGATCCCAGCCAGGCCTACGCACCCCAGGCTCAGGCCTGGTGGATATTTCTGTATGGAAGACGCATCCACCCGTTGTGATCCGAGCGCTTGCCCTGGCCAGGACCCGTGCACCCGGTCGACCGACATCGGCCGCGTTGTTGAATTGCGCAGCCGTTGGTATCTGCTTTCGCGCCGACGTCTCGAAAGAGCCCCCGCGTCGTGGCAGACAGGCCTCGGAGAGAAGCAGCTTGGAAGCCCCCAGCCATATGCGGGTGCGAGTACCGCAGGGCAGGTGGGTCGAACGCTGGGCAGCTCCCTGCGTGGGAAACAAAAAGCGTGAGGGGTGCGCCGAATGCGTGAGGCGCCGCCATGCGGACTCTGCCGCTGGGGCCTTCGGTGGAGCTCCCTCTGGGGCCGCAAAACTATTACGTAAGGGGTGTGCCAAAATGGGTGTGTCCGCGCCATGCGGCCCCTGCCGCTGGGGCAGTTCGGTGGAGCTCCCACTGGGGCGACGAACTTTGCGAGGGGCGTGCCGAGTTGCCCGCGGCCCCGCCAGTCGGACCCTGCCGCTGGGGCGTTCAGTAGATATCCCTATGCGGGCCACGAAGAGTGAGAGGGCTGTGCCGAGATGGGCGTGGCGCCGCTATGCGGAACCTGCCGCTGGGGCCTTCGGTGGAGCTCCCTATGGGGCCACCTAGCGTGAGAGGGTTGTGCCGAAATGAGTACGACCCCGCCAGTCGGGCCCTGTCGCTGAGGCGCTTTGGTGGAGCTCCCTATGGAGCTCCCTATGGGGCTACGAAGCGTGAGGGGGGTGACTCGAGGGAGGACAGATGCAATGAAGGGAGGGAGAGGAACGGGTGGAGGAAGGAGTGACACGGGGCGCTGTCTCTTCGATACGAGGACCCAACACCACAGGATGTTTGGGAAATATAGAGCGGCCATGCCACAGCCATGTGGCATTATCCCCTCCCGTGCCCCCCCATGATCGATGCTGGCAGTGGATCTGATGGCTTGCAGTTCGCCGCGGTCTTCCCCAGACGTGCCAATCTGGAGTTCTTGGGGAAGGGGGGGGTGCAGCGGGGGGGTGCTCCTGAACTGTGGCCGTCTGCCCGATCATCCCCGGGAGCTCTCGACCCCGTGCGTGTGTGCGGGGTCCGTCGAGCCAGGCCTGCCCGCGAGGGCCCGCGACGCGGCGGGAGCGCCCGCTGCGGTCCGTGCTCCGCACCGCCCGGGTTGGCTCCTCTCCGTGTTGGGCCCGCTCGGCGAGCCCGTGGCGACTCCGCGGTGCCATGTCGAGCCTCGGCGGGGCTCTTCCCTGGCAGCTCTTGGCGCTGCCTGGGGGGCACGTGGAGCCTTCCAGGGCACACGCGCAGGCCCCCGGGGGCCTGGCCGAGGGGGGCCCTGAGGCCCAGGGCCGCCAGGGCCGTCCAGCGTTCGTTTCGACCCCGTCGATCCGCTTCGATGTCGATTTCGGCCAGCTCGATCCGATTCGAGTTCGCTCCCGCGCCGCGACGGGCAGATCCGACGCATGGTCCGAGCCCATCCATGGTACCATCACGACTCGGGAAGGGTACAGAGTATCGAGGGCGCGAGCGTCGTCTTTCAAAACTGCGGGCGTGCTATTCGATCGCCCACTGTGCAGAAGTCCGTGGACTTCGTCAACGGTAATTCTCTCATAGGGTGGCCCGACCGGCGTGGCATTGATCATGTTGCTCTCCGGACGATCAGTCGCCCGAGCCGCGCCCGTCCGTGGCGACCGCCGAGTGCTCGCGGTGGCCTCAGAGCAGAAAGTCTCCGAATGCCTGGCGGCTGGCGGCCTCCCAGAGGCGTGCTGACGCTGAAGATCGAGGATGACACACCTGCCGACCACTTCGTGAAGATGCAGGATCGGGCGATGAGAAAGTATGAGCGCATGCTATGCGCATTGGAAGCGTTCGTCCATGCCAGACACTCCGGACTGCCAAAAAACGACTAGGCCCTTCCACCCCCTTCGGCGTCTGCCTGGCTACCTTGGGTGCCGATCTGGCGACGAAAGTGCATTCCCTCTCTCTCTCTCTCCCTCCCTCCCCCCCTCTTTCTCATGTTGTTTGTTCGCTCTCCTCTCTCTCTCTCTCGCCCTCTCCCAGACACGCTTCTCGCGTTGGCGTCCCGACGAGAGGCGCCGACCGAGCCGTACAGATGCGACGGCCGATGCAGCTAGCGGTGATCGGGCCACTGCCGTTGAGACTTCAGGGGCACGCCCGGCTGCAGCGGACAAGGAAGGCACGCGCCGAGCCCGGCGTGCTCTCGGCTGCGCCGATCGCAGGAGACAGAGGCAGCCAAAGGCCGTGGTGAAAGGAGGTGCGAACACAACACCACGCACACATTTCAACACCCACACGCACAGACACACACAGACACACGGACACACAGACACACAGACACACACACACAAAGACACAAAGACACACAGACACATACACAGACACATACACACAGGCACACAGACACACAGACACACACACACAGACACACACACACACAGACACACAGACACACAGACACACAGACACTCAGACACACCGACACACAGACACACAGACACACAGACATACAGACACACAGACACACAGACACACAGACACAGACACACAGACACACAGACACACAGACACACACCCCCCCCCACACACACACACACACACACACACACACACACCCACACACGCGCACGCACGCACACACGCACGCACGCACGCACGCACGCACGCTCGCGCGCACGCACGCGTGCACGCGCGCCCAGCTTGTCCAGGCACATCCTGGGCCTGGCCGGGGTCGACGCTGTGCGGCAGGTCCGTGCCGCGTTGACGCAGTGCCGACAGTTTGGGCGTTCAAGGTTGAGCGCCGCCAGTGTCCCCGAATCGTACGATACCGAGCGATTTGCGCTATCGGCAAACGTTGCGATCGCTGTAGGCTGAACGATCCGCGTGGCGTCAGGAGCCGACGCCAATATCATCTCGACGGGGACCTGCCGCCTGCCTCGCCAGCCGCTCGCGACATGGGGCCCTGCGGTGGCCTCAAAGCCTCGTCTTCCCAGTCGTCGCCTTTTCGAGCAACGCCGACGCCAAACGTGCATACCCGAGCGCACATGGGCGCGGGCCAGACTTTCGGTGTAGTCAAATCATACGGAAGTGTTGCGGCTGGCGTCACATTTTGGGGCTCCGCAGGGTCCGTAAACCCTCGCAGTCCCCTCTCTCGCCTCTGCGAACAGCGCCGCCGTCGGGAATGCAGGCCCGCGCGCACACGCGCCGACCCTGGCAAGGGCTGCCCACGGCCCGATCGGGTCCCATGCGTCCACCAGACCTCCGCTCCGGCTTCCGACGCGAGCCTCTCCGACGCGAGCCTGGTGCCCCGCCCGGCCTGCAGGGGCCGAGAGCCCCCTCCGCGACCCCAGGCGGTCCGAAGCCGGTCCGATTCCGCGCCGTTTCGGGCGCCGCTCCGAGCCGATCCTCAGAGGCGACGATAGTGGCGAATAGCTCCTCCTCCTCCTCCTCCTCCTCCTCCTCCTCCTCCTTCTCCTTCTTGTCCTCCTTATCCTCCTCCTCCTCCTCCTCCTCCTCCTCCTCCTCCTCCTCCCTCTCCTCCTCCTCCTCCTCCTAGCCCAGGGAGAGCAATACATGTATCCAGGGGCGCCGATGATCTACGTCTTCGAGAAGGCTCCTGGGCGAAAGCGTGTAACGCCCGCCCCTGGGCGATTCGCCCCTATCGTCGTCTCCGAGATCCCTTCTCGATCCGATCCGGCTCAGGCCCGAGGCGGGATCCGATTTGGTTCCGATCCGAGCCGATGTGGCGATGCGGCCCAGCTCAGGCCTGCGCTGGCGAGGGCCACCCGGGGCCCTCGTGGCCCTCGTGGCCCAGGGTGGCCCGGGCTTGCCAGGAGCGGCGCACGTGCGCAGCCGTTCTTCCAAGGCGGGGATGTGTCCAGAACCTTTGCGGCCACCCTTCGGGTAATGAGAAGGTGTTTGGGGGGGGACGGCACTGACGTCTCACGTGATCTCACCACCGATCTCCACATCGATCTCACGAGCGCTCTCATCCTGTCGACCTCACTGTCGATCTCGCTGCCGCTCTCCGTTTCGCTTCGAGCTCACCCCCCAACCTCCGACCACCGCCCCCGGGGGTCGATCTTCGCGGGCATCCACAGGCGGTGGATATCGGATATGAATATCTTCGATAGCGAAAGCGCGCCACGGGATCACCCTGTAATTGAAAAAGGGGGGGGATGCTCGCAGAACCCCCCCCCTCTCTCCCCCTTCAAAGAGAGGGTGAGATTTTCGACCCCCCCCCACCTTCCCCCCTTAAGGAGGGGGGGGTCCGAACCCCCCCTTCCCCCCTTCCCCTTGAAGGGAGGGGGGGGGTTCCGGACCCCCCCCCTCCCCCCCTTGGCGCTGGAAAGGGGGGGGGGGTCGAACCCCTCCCCCCCTTTGCGCCGAATATGGGGCCGTGGAGGGGGCCTCTCCCGCAAGGGGGAGGGGAGGTCTGGCCTCGGGACAGTGAGTAAAGAGTAGTGAGTAGAGAGTAGTAGTGAGTAGTGAGTAGCGAGTAGTGAATAGTGAGTAGTGCATCAATTGTAGCGAGTTGTGAGTAGCGAATAGTGAGTAGTGGGTAGTGAGTAGTGAGTAGTGCGCAGTGAGTAGGGAGTAGTGAGTAGTGAGCAGTGGGTAGTGGGGAGTGGGTAGTCAGTAGTGAGTAGCGAGTGGGGAGTAGCGACTCGTGAATGATGAGCAGCGAGTAGGGCCTGGTGAGTAGTGAATCGTGAGGAGGGAGTAGTCCGTAGTGAGTGAGTAGTGAGTAGAGAGTAGTGAGTAGCGAGTAGGGCGTAGCTTGTAATGAGTAGTGCGTAGTGAATGGGAGTAGTGATTATTGAGTAGGGGGTAGTGAATAGTGAGTAGTGAGAAGTGAGAAGTGGGTAGTGAGTAAGTAGTGGGTAGTGCGTAGGGAGTAGCGAGTGGAGAGTGGAGTAGTGAGTCGTGAGTCGTGAGTAGTGAGTTGTGAGTATTGTGTAGTGACTAGTGACTAGCGACTAGTGAGTAGGGAGTAGGGAGTAGGGAGTCGTCGTGAGTAGTGAGTAGTGAGTAGTGCGTAGTGGGTGTAGAATATTGCGTTTCGGGTAGCGAGTAGCCAGTAGGGAGTAGCGAATAGTGAATTGTGAGTAGTGAGCAGTCAGTACTGTGTAAGGAGTAGGGAGTAGCGAGTAGTGAGCCGCGGATAGTGAGTAGTGGCCTGTGGGCGGTGAGAAGTGAATAGTGAATTGTGAGTACTCAATAGTGAGTAGTGGATAGTGGCTAGTGGGTATTGAGTAGTGCTTAATGAGTAGTGGATCGTGGGTAGTGAGTAGTTTAGTGAGTAGTGAGTATTGAGTAGCGGGTAGTGAATAGTGAGTAGTGCAAAGTGCGTTGGGAGTAGTGAGTAGTGAGTCGTGAGTAGTGCGTAGTGGGTAGTGGGTAGTGAGTAGGGGGAGTGAGTGGTGAGTCGTGAGTAGTGAGCAGTGGGTAGTGAGAAGTGAGTAGTGAGTAGCCAGTAGTGAGTAGTCGGTACTGTGTAGTGAATAATGAGTACTGAGTGCTGTTTGGGATTCGGGTTCGGGTTTGGGGTCAGGGTTACGGGTGGTCGGGGTGGTAGTGCCAGGGTTGGTAGGGGTCGGGTTCGGGAGCCAGGGGGCGCCGTGGCGAAAGTGGGGGAGGGGGGGGGGTTCGAACTCGGCGGCCAAATGGAGGGGTGGGGTGGTCGAATTCCCCCCCCTTTTGAAAGGGGGAGGGGGGGATTCCCCGACGACGGACCGGGAAAGGGGGGGAGGGGGGGGGGGTCCCGACGACGGACCGGGAAAGGGGGGGAGGGGGGGAGGGTTCCCCGACGACGGATCGGCGAAAGGGGGGCGGAGGGAGGGGTTCCCCCCCCCCCTTGGGGACATCCAGCGGCGCTCCCTCTATATCTTCGGGCCCCCGAAGGCTAACATATGTTCATAATTATCCACCGGCCGCTGGGGTACCAGGACGTCGTTTCCCTGGCGGTGGATATGGGTAAATCTCCGCCTCGCATTTCTGGTCCTCCCTACAGGAGAAGAGCCGCCGCGACCGGCAGCGAAGGACGGGTTGTCGTCGCCGTCGTTGCCGTCTTCAGACTTTTGACGTGGCCAACAAGAACAATCGGGACGTTGGTTTGTTCGACATGCTCGGCCTCAGGAGGTCGCTTTACGGCCTTGGGGCCGTCCAGAAAGTACTCGGGATGACAAGCCGGTCCCAGGGAAACGGTCCAGGCCTCCGGGAACCACGCGTTTTTAAACAAGACGATCGCGATTGCAAGGTTTAATTTCGAGGGCGCAAACACCTTCCGATTGCTATGGTTCCGTTACCCTCGCACTCAAGACCACGAGGGTTCTGCGGCGGGCTGCTTGGTGCGACGCCCAGAGCCCAGGGCCCCTCTCTCTGGAGATCTCCACAGCTCCCGGAGGCCTCTCAGAGGCTTCTGGAGGACCAACAAGTACACCGTGCAGGGAGGCTCGGAACAGCATCGCTGCACGAGAACGCACCTGGTGAGTCATCCTCGAAGGGGGCGTGCTTGGTGCGGGGGGTCCGTGCCGCAAGAAGCCGAGCTCGGCTCGGCACCGCACGCCTGGCGCTTGGGCGTCGCGTAACGGGGGCGATGAAAAGGGGTGGCAGCGAGGGCTGCAGAAAAGGGGCCCTTGAGGGCCCAAAGGGGTGGCCTTTAGGCCCCAAAAGTGCACCTCTCGCCCACCCTCCCCCACACTCATCGCCTCCCATTAGGCGGCGCCCAGGGCACGGCACGGCGCTGCACATCTGTAGCACGCTTGAACTCATGCACGGCACACGGGCACGGCACGGCACATGTTCCGCATCCTGGCACCCAGGCGCGGCGCGGCTCGGCGGGAGGGCACGGGAGGGCACCACGCTTACGCATCCCACACCCCAGCCGCGGCTCTGCACGGCCTGCGGGTACGGCACGGCATCCTCTCTTTCATCCGAGCGTGAATTACCTACCCCGCTTTCGCTTCCAGGCAAAACCAAGTCATACCACGCGCCTCCTCGTCAGGCGGCCTGACCAGTACAGGCCGTAGTTTGGCATCGTCTGGTATTTCTTGGAAGCGAGGGTGGTCAAAAGCGAGGTAGGTTTGTTGTCCCCCTCTTTCATTCCAGCACTTGGGCGCGCGGCGCGCGGGCGCGGCACGGCACGGCACGCGTGCCGCAGTTTAGACTCTCTGCGCACGGCGCGCGGGGGCGGGAAATGGCACGGCACAGCACGGCACAGCACGTCTTTTCGGCATCTGGGTCCTGGGCACGGCAGGGCACGGCACGCGGGCACGGCGTGGCACGGGCCCCCATTTCTGTGTAGCAGGCGCGGGCCTCTTCAATGCAATGCAGACCCCTTGCAGCATTCGACACGTAGGGCTTTGACAAAGCGTCCAAGAGCCGCGACCTTCGATCCTCCATCCCCCTCTACCCTTCTCGCCTCTTACCCGTGTGTGGGAGGGACGGCGGAGGAGGAGAAACAGCAGAATTTCCCTCCCACCTCCCCGCCTCCGGAGGGATGCTCCCGCCCACCCCCCCGCAGATTCGACGCCGGCGACGAGACTGCCCGCCTCGACTTCTCCGCGCTGAAGGCGCAAAAGGAGGCGGCCGAGAAGCAGGCGGCGCTCAAGGCGCAGCAGGAGAAGGAGCTGGCCGAGAAGCAGAAGGATCCAAGCCGAGGGAGAGATTAGCAGCGTACTGCCGCAGCTGTATAGGCCCAATGAGGCTCAGCCAGAGCGAGGCTAGTCCGGGTTTCGGCAACTCCCCCGGGGCCAAGATGAGCGCTTTGGAAAATCATGTTTTTCCACATTCGTCGCAAAAGTACTCGGGCCGAGGGAGGGAGATTCGCAGCATGTTGCTGCAACCCCCCGGCAGGTGCGTTCGCCGGCGAGGGGGTCGGGCTGCAAGCCTGCGGGGGTCCGAGGGCAGTGCCGTCTGCGGCAAGGGCATCAGAAACCTGAGACACCTCGGCCGAACGGCGGGGGGAGGGAATCCGGCGGCGAAATCCAAGCCTTACCCTCGCCGATCAACGGTTCAGGCAACTCGATGGACGGCGGGAGTAGCGTCTGTTTGCAGGCCGTCGAGCCATATGATCGAAGAAGTCGAGGTGTCGGATCTCTTAGGGGGGTGCGGTGCAGCGGGATAGAGGGAGGGAGGGCCCATGCCCTCACGGGAGATCTTGGGGGTTGGGGGCCGTGGGCCCAGAAGACGCCAACTTCTTGCCCCGTCGGCGTCGGCTCCCAAGGGCCTGGCTCCGGGTTGGGGACAGGGGAGGGGTGGCGGCGGGGGAGAAGGAGAAAGAGAGAGAGAGAGAGAGAGAGAGAGAGAAATACAAAAAAAAACATAGAAAAAGAGAAAGAGAGAGAGAGGGAGAGAAACAGAGAAGCGATACATGGTGATAGAGAGGGGGTGTGCACGGAGGGGGGATGAGGTGACCCTTTTTCGACCTGCGTTCGCAGGGATGTTGATGGCTTTTAACGCTTTGAGTACCCCCACCAGCCAATCCAGACACGATGCCCAGCGGAGCTGCCCTGAACGGGGGAGCCTGGCATCATTTGGAGATACTGGGGGCCTGTGTGGGCCAGGCGTCCCTCGGATGCTTCCTTGGCTCTCCTGGGGCGTCTCTTGATAGCCTTCTAGAAGTATCTCGGGGGCTCTGGGGGGCCTCGCAGGGCTCTCTTGACGGCTTTTCGGGCCGTCTTGGGGCGGGCCATCTTGCAGGCTTTCGATCGAATACGGCATGGTCCAAAATCAACGGACAATCAATGATGTATTGCCTTCTCGCCATCGCCCTCATAGGGTTCGCCCTGGCAGGCTTCGCCGCTTCTCTCCTAGGGCTCGAATTCTGTTGTATGTTACGTGTGTTCGTGAAGAGTGCTCCTCCCCCAGGGCTCGAGTTTTTTTTTTATGTGTCTTACGCATCCACTCGCGACCCACCCGCCCGCCCCATCACTCTTGTCCGCAATTGCTGGGTCGCCACAGGGAGCGTATTTCAGTACCGTTTAACCGGTCCCCATCCCCATCCCCATCCACATTTCGAGCTCCACCGTCTCACCACCTCAGTTGGGGATCTGTCCCTCGACACCCGCAGAGCGCAGCCTACAATCCCCATCCAGGGGGGAAATCGGCCAGTGGTGCGCAGCCCATGCTGGTGTGGATGGGATGGGGGTCGGTTCAACGATGCTCAGTATACACATGTATTCACACGACTGGAACGTCAGAGGCAGCGCGTATATCCGCGTGTCTTTCTTTCGGCCACCGGTCAGGTTCCCCACCTGCGGGTCTGGCTTGTGTTCGTTGGTTGTCCACCTGTGGCAGCTTCTCTACCGCTTGCATCCGTTCAGTGGTTTTGCATGGAAATCTTCTGGCATCGCGCCACTTTGCCTCCTACCGCCCTCTGGACTTTTCCTTGCGGGCCGCAAATCAAAAAACAAATCCGCGCGTTCGCTTACCAGGTCTTGTTCGGTGGTGGCGCGGTGCCCGGGAAGCGCATGCGAGGAGAGAGCGCAGCGCCCCAAACCGCATAGTCCGAGCCGGGTGTCACCCCCCGCGGCACGGGCCCCCGTGCAGGGAGAATGCTCGGCAGGTGCAGACTACGTGTGATGGGGTCGCGAGGCATGGGGAGGAGGGGGAGGAGGAGGAGGAGGAGGAGGAGGAGGAGGAGGAGGAGGAGGAGGAGGAGGAGAGCGGGGAGGAGGAGGAGGAGGAGGAGGAGGAGGAGGAGGCGGAGGAGGAGGAGGAGAGCGGGGAGTCCGTAGCCATTTTGGCTCAAGTCCGTAGCCACTTCGGCTCAGGACTTGACCTTACTGGCGTGGGGGAGTCAGCGGCCCCCGTTTACGACGCCCCACGACCTGGTCAAGTGAGGTTACTGTTTCAATTTTTTACCACGCACCATGTCCACGCCCTGTTGGGGCTGCGCAGTGTGTGGGTATCAGAACTATGGGTTCCGCAAGCGTTGCAGGCAGCCGAATTGCAATGGTCACTGCCCTTCTGGTCCTGTTCCTGGGAGCACTCCACCGTGGATCGAGGGGCCCCGTGGGAAGTGGCTGCTGGGACCACCTACCGCTTCAGGGACTTCGGGAAAGGACAAAAGGAAGGGTAAGAGCATCGACGAAGGAGACAAGTCAAAAGCCAAGCCACCTGCAAGGCCCGCGTCTACTGGATTTGGGCATCACGGTGATGAACAGTTGCAAGTCTGGCTTTCGATGTCTACGGAACAGTTTGACGCAGCTGCAACCGTTTTGTCTCAAAGTGCTCGGGACAAACTCAAGCACATGCGTTGGCGCAAGGCGAATGGGCTCCCTGGGTCGGTGCAGATGGCTCAGGGTGCGCAGCAGCAGGTGGACAGAAAAGCTGACGAACTACTCCGTGCTGAGGGGGCCTTGCGCAAGGCCAGAGACGCCGCCGTGTCCGCCATGCAGGCCTTCGCCGAGGCCAAGGAGCGGAAGGCCACAGTCGAGGAGGAGCTCGCCGTGCTCAAGGCCGAGCGGGACCGCCTCGCCGTGGTGGGCGCCGACGCACCGCAGAGGGCCAAGCCATCTGGGTTTGAGGCTGCTCGCCAGGTGGTGGCCGTGCTGCAAGGCCACCCAGGATGGGAGGCGCAGGTCGGCGCAAACCTTGCCGCGCCGCTCACCGCGCTGCTCCAGGCGGTGGCTGTGCAGACCCCAGCGGCCCCTTCGGGTGATGTGGCGGACGCCGACGAGGAGCCTGCTGCGGGGGCCGTCGCAGCCATGGCACCTCAGGGGGCACCAGGCGGCGCCGCGATCCACGTGCCCGACGACGACGACATCGCCCGGGGCGAGCTCATGCGCGAGCAGGACGCCCACATCGGCGGCAAGCGCGCGCCTGACGCGGAGAAGCGTCGGGCCATCGTGGCGGAGCTCCAGGCGGAGTTGGCCAGCAAGCGTGCGCGTGCCGTTCATGGCGTGGGCGAGGATGGTCATGTCGGGTCTTCTTCCTAGCGCACTTAGAGGAGAAGCGCGCCGTCTTCCACGCCAAGCTTGCGGGGGGGCTTCCTGTGACATCACCTGGGAGTGCAACCAGGTGGACGCTGAGTGGTCGACGGAGTCGGGCAAGCACGCGGACGCGACCCGCCAGGAGTGGGAGCACGGCGTGGACATGTGCGGCGTCAGCGGCCTCAGGATTGCGCACTGCCAGCCCGCGCGTGCTGGCGATGCGGCTCGGGGGAGTTCTCCAGCGCCGACTGGGCCATCGGCGTCGAGCTCCTGGATCGGGTCGTCTGCAGGAGAGGCACAGCCCCTAGACCGACAAGGCGGCGGCCCTCTGGGCAGTAACACTGCCGAGTCGGGACGGTCGGGAGGCGCCGCCGCTCCTGCCGCTGGGCCGCGTCTCTCTGGGCCAGGTGTTGGGGCAGCCGCCTGCTGACATTGCCCAGGATCAGGTGACGATGTACGCGGACTTCCCCTTTCGTGAAGGTTTCAAGCCGCCAGGCTGCAGCGGCCAGGCGGGCGGGGGGGAGCGGCGGCCAGCCCCCGCGCCTCCCAGGGGAGGTCGTCGACTGATGCTCAGCCTCCTTATGGGGCGTCAGGCCCAGTGTCGGTGGATGGCTTCCAGCGCGTGAGCAAGTGGAAGGTTTTGACAGTCAACGTGAACGCCTACTGCAGTTTCGCGCCGTTGTTGGAAATGGATCTAGTTACACAGGCCGATCTGATTCTTGCACAAGAAACCCACCTCGGGCCGAGCCACGGCGACGACGCAGTCGGCAAGCTTGTCAAAGCTGGATGGCATGCCTTAGCCCTTCCCGCTGTCGGGTGTGAGCATGGGCTACCTGGACCGGGCGGGCTGCTCACGCTTGCACCTGATCGACATGGCCTGGGTTTCGTCGAAGATGGTAGATCGGCCATGGTCGCACCAGGAAGGGCATCACTGTCATGTCACTCTGGGTTTGCGAAGCAAGGCATTGTTGTGGTGAATGTCCATTTGCATGCAGGCCAGGGAATGTCACCTGACAATGTGAGCCTCCTGCTGGGCATCGCCGAGCGCGCGAGATGCATCGGGAAGCCCTTTATCACCGGATGGGGACTTCAATGTCGCCCCGCAGGAGTTGAACGCCGCAGGTATCTTCGAGTTCCTGCCGTGCTCGGTGCGGGCCCCGCAGGTGGGCACGTGTGCACCAGCGTGTCGTGCATGACTTCTTTCTCGTCTCCAGCCACCCCATGCCGACCCAGGTGCAGACGGAGCTGTCGATCCCAATGAGTCCACATTCATCTGTTTCCTTGGGGTTGAAGTCGGGTTTGTGCCAGCCGTGGACGCGCGTCATTCCTGCGCCGCGGCCCTTCCCTGTCGTTCGCCCGTCAGGATGTGCATCGGCCGATTTCAACGCTATGTGGGGGCAGATTCGTATAAGTATGCCCACGGGATCAGGAGGGGCGGGGGACTTGTCTAAGGGTTGGGGCGTGTTCATCGGCGCCGCGGGGCAGGGGTGGCGCGATGTCTACCAGGTGACGGACGACCGCCCCAAGCATCTAGGCAGAGCGCAGGCCCCTCGTCCCAGGCGGGTTCGTTCTCAGCCTCCCCTGCCGCCGAAATTCCCGAAGGTGTCCCCCGAGGCCATCTGGTTGCGCAAGCTGGGGGCCTCAATGACGTTTGCAGCTCAGGTGGCGCAACCTGTCACGCGGGTCAATGCGCTTCGGGCAGTAGGCAAACTTGCTCGAGATGCTCCCGGATGTGTTCGACGGGGTGGTCCTTCAACTGGCAACCTCTGGTGGGCCCTGGTCACCTTCCTTCCCGCCTGGGGCCTGGGCCCGAATGTGGTCTACGCAATGAGCCAGGGGATTAAGAGAGGGGCCTCGCGCGTGGCCCGACGTGATCTGCAACGGCGTGCCGTTAAATTCAGGAGGTGGGTCTCGGAGCAGTCTGCGGGAGGTGCTGGTGGGCTCCACGCGTTTTCTAAGGGCCCCCCAAGGATGGCAGAGTGGCTCCACGGACCCCGAGGACCCCACCAATCCCCTCACTAAGCAGCAGGAGGTTGATACGTTGCAGAAGACTTGGAGTCGCTGGTGGGAGTTGGGGAAAAGCATCGCGTACTCAGCTGGCCAGAGGATCTCGGGGACAGGCCCCCGCGGCCGACGCTCGACATCATGCGCAGGGTCCTGAGGTCCTTAAAGCCTATGTCTGGAATGGGTTTCTGTGCCATCAGGCCAAGGCAGCTGCAAGAGCTGTGCGACTCCGCGGTCGAATGTTTGATCGACCTGATCATGGCCATCGAGGCCGCGGCCGAGTGGCCGTCGCTGATTACGAAGATTGCGTTTTTGGCCAAGCGGTTGGGCGGTGTCCGCCCCATCGCGCTGCTCCATGTCGTCGCCAGGGTCCAAGCCAGATTGAGAATGTCAATTGCAAAAGAGTGGGAGGCGAAGAATTCTCGGCATTATTTCTGGGCCGCTCCTGGAAAATCGTGTGGGCGAGCTGTTTGCCAGCAGTCGGTCTGGTCCGAATGGACCACTGCAAAAGGCAAAGGGGCCCAGGCGGGTCTGTGGACGTCGGCTCAAGTTATGATGGACCTCCTGAAAGCGTTCGAACAGGTCCAGCACCATTGGCTCCTGGAGGCGGCGTTGAGAACAGGCTTTCCTCTCTGGCAGCTGCGGCTCCAGATTCTGTTGTACAGAGCACCGAGGTCCCTCACCCTCGACACCGCCGTCTCGGACGAGCTGCATGTTGATCAGACCATCCTGCCTGGTGACGGATGGGCCACCACGTTCCTCATGCCTGCCCTGCTCCAACCTCTCGATCGAGTATGGTCCTTAGGACGGTCGGTGGCTCCGTTCGTGGTGGTCGGCGATATCATTCTGCGCAGGATTGGATCGTGTAAGGTCGTCACGCGTGAAACAGTTCAGGCGCCCAAGGCCTTGCAACGTGAGCTTGGTTCGCGCCAACTACAGCTGCATGGTGACAAGACGCGGGCGATGTCAAGTAGTAGTGGGGTTCGTTCTGATATTGCTCGGCAGCTTGGTCGTATCGGGGCCCTGGCGTCCCGACATGAAAGAAACCTCGGAGTCGACTTTACTTGTGGGCGTCGTGTGATTCGGAGGGTTCGACACGAGCGACTTCGTTCGGCGCGATCAAAAATACACCGACTTCGGAAGTTTTGTCGTGGTCCCCGGAAGAGAGTGGCGGCCCAGCTCGTGGCGCGTGCAGGTATGGAGGCTGGAGTGACCTATGGGGCTTCGGTGACTGGTACCTCAGCTACAGAGTTGGATTCCATTCGAAGTCTCATGTTCTCTGCGATCGAGAGGCACGGCGCAGGGAAGTCCAGGACGATGGCGCTCATGTTGGGACAGGAGTTCGACCCGATATTTCGTGCCACACTGCTTCCTGTCCTTGCGCTTGCGCGTGCGATGTGGGAGTCTTGGATGCCCGTGAAGGTCGTGGCGGACGGGCTCCTGGAGGCCAAGAAGGTTCAGTTGTGGTCCCAGGTCCAGGGGCCCTTCGGGGCCGTTAAGTTGTCGCTCGATCGGATTTCCTGGAAGTTCTCTGGCCATGACGTGCTCACCTGGATCGCGCACGACGGCGCCTCGGTGAACATTCGGGGCGTCTCGGCATGGTACCTCAGGAAACTCTTGGTCCGCGGTATCGAGGCCGGGCAGTGGGCCAAAGTTGCTGGTGCTGAAGGCTACGAGCATCTGGGCAGAGGTGCTGCGATGGCGCCCTTTCGTCGGCTTCTGAAAGGTTCGCGGCCCCAGGGTCACCAGTGTAGAGACCTAGGCAGTTTGGCCTTGCGAGAGCGTGCTTACCTTAGGAGTGTTTTGATTAATGGGCAGTGGCCGATGGCGCGGAAGCGTGAAGCTGGCTTCGTGGCTTCGCCGGGGCGCCTTCTTTGTCCTGGGATCGGGCCCCCTGGTCCACCGCCACTGCGAATGTCAGGGGGAGCTCGTAGAAGGCGAGCGCCCCCCCTCCCATGCCCGACAGGTTTCAGATGCTAGTTGCGAGGCTGCCTTGCCCACATGTACAGTGTTTGCTAAAGCGCGGGCTGTGGCCATCGCCCTCCGTGCCAGACTCATTCAGAGTCCCCGACGATGATTGCGAGACGCGGCAGGTGCATGCTGGAGGTGGCGTCTTATGTGCCCGCGAAGGTTTTCTGGATGGCTCGCTCTTCGATGGTGGGTGGGACGGTGTGAGTTCGGCGGGGTGGGCGATCGTTGTGCTGCAAGACGCCGATCCGCTGGGAATCAGCGACGTGGTGCACGGCAGGCTGCCATTTGCTTATCGTGACATCGATGGCGCAGAGCTGTTCGCGCTCGCGAAGCTGCTGCGTATCTCGGTGCCGCCCATATGCGCGGTCACTGATTCGAAGTTTGTAACTGATGGCATAGAGCGCGGTCCTCAAGGGACGACGACCTATGCCGCGGCCTGGGCCGAACTCTGGCGCGTTTTCTGGGCCGCCCTGGACGACTTTGGTGGGATTGGGCCCCAAGGGCTCCAGGTTCGGAGGGTTCGCGCACATCTCTCCGAAGCTGGCGCGTCTCGCGGACGGATTTCGCGCCGCGATCGGTTTGGGTTCGGAAATTTTTCGGCTGATATTTGGGCGAAGTTTGCGGCCAGTCAAGGTAGGCTGGCGGCCTCTGACCGCGAGTGATTCCAGCTCGCGCATGTTCTTGTGGAGGACGTTGCTCAGTTCATTGCGCGTGCTGGGGCCTCTGTGGACTCACGTGGTACGGTTTTGTTGAGGCCTGGCGCCAGGCCAAACAATGCGCCTTTGCTGCAGCTGGTCTTGCCCAAGCTTGGGCACGAGCTGGTCGGCCCTGGGGGGCTCGGTGGTGCGTGCGGTGCCGTGTTCCGTCGCCCTCGAAGGCTGGGTGCCCTGGTGCCGTTGTGTCGCGGGCCGTCGAGGCCAATCGTCGGATCATCGCCGACTGACTTAACGGCCACAAGCTTGTGTGTTTTGTCACAGATCGGGCGCTTGACCGCCACCACTTTGCGGTGGTCGGGTGCCAGGTCTGCGGGGCTGCCACGTCGGTGCAGCTCAAATCGTTGGCCCGACCCTGCACGAAGCCAGGGGTCCACGGGGCTCGGGCCATAAGAGCCATGGAGGGGGGATATGTCCCTCATGTGATAGGGGGGGAAGGTGCGCACCTCAGTGGTGGCCCTGGGGTCCTAGCTTCGCGGTGCGTGCACGGATGTGCGCGCGCTACCCTCGGGGAAGAAGAAGAGGAGGAGAGCGGAGGAGGAGGAGGAGGAGGAGGAGGAGGAGGAGGAGGAGGAGGAGGAGGAGGAGGAGGAGGAGGAGGAGGAGGAGGAGGAGGAGGAGGAGGAGGAGGAGGGAGGAGGAGGATAGGAGGAGGAGGAGGAGGAGGAAGGAGGAGGAGGGGAGGAGGAGGAGGAGGAGGAGGAGGAGGAGGAGGAGGAGAGGAGGAGGAGGAGGAGGAGGAGGAGGAGGGAGGAGGATGAGGAGGAGCGGGGGGAGAATAACAGGTCGGCCCTAGGCCGTGCCCTGGGGTGCCTTTTGGCCAGGCTCTGGGCGCAGGCCCGGGCGCGGTCCCCGAGACCCCTACGCGGTCCCACCAGGCTCCCCCTCGAACTCCCTGCCCTCGAGCGCCGCGGGGGGGGGGCCTCCCACGCGAGGAGATGGCCGAGAAGATGAAGGCCGCGGCCGCGGCCAAGGCCGCCGCCGCGGCCGCGGCCGCCGCCGGGGGCGCCGCCGGGGGCGCCGCCGCGGGGGCGCTGTCCGCCGGCAAGGTGACGGGGAAGATGGTCCCGCCCAAGGCCGGGGCACGGAAGCGGGCACGTTGTCGGCCTGCTCCTCCTCCCACGCTCGTGGCATCCCTGCCCTCCATCGGCCACCCCCTCCTCCTCCTCCTCCTCCTCCTCCTCCTCCTCCTCCTCCTCCTCCTCCTGCTCTCCGTGCTCTTGGCCCTGCCGTATCGCCGCTGGTGTCCCTGCTCCAGGCTCGCCTCGCCAAGCTGCTCCCGCGGCACGCCTCCCTGGTCGCCTCCCTCCCGTGGGACTCAATCGCGAGCACGCTGGCCTCTTGCCCCTGTTCCTGGGCCTGGGTTGCGCTTCGTACCTGGGCTGATGGTTGGATGACATCGCACCGCATCCTGCACCCCCTTGGCAAGCGCTGCTGTGCTTTCGGGTGTCCTGGCCACCCCGACGCCCTTCGACACTACGCCCGATGCCGCCCTTTCCACAACGCTCTACGTCGGGCTCTGGCGCGCCCTCTACCTCTTCCTGTACTTCATCGTTGGGGGCTGCTGGAACCAAGTCTGCCCGCCTTTCACTTCCTCGCGGTCGCCTACGCGGCCTACAACGCGGCCAAGGGCGTGGAGTGCTGGCCGCTTTCGGCTGAGTCCGCCTTCTCCTGTGCTTTGGCTGGGGTGCGCTCTGCCGCCTTGGCGCGGCCCGCTGGGATCTCGGCCCGAGATCGAGTGCTGCTTCGTCCGCGCCGTACGTGTCCCTCGCCCTCGTCTTCCTCAACTTCCTCTGCGAGCTCATCTGCGAGTCGTTCGCCGAGGTTGACGCCGCCTGTCTCTGTCCCGTCAAGCCGCTCTACGTCGCCGCGTGCTCGGGAGTCTGCTGGTGGCCTCACCCCTCCCGTCTCCTCGCCGTCGACGCCCCCTACCGAAATTGCTACCGATCCCGAGGACGTGGAGTCTCGTGATCTTTGGGCGTCAAGGATGGAGCTGCGCAATGAGAGTGATGAGTGTTCCCCTGTCCCTGCTTCGGGGGTGGGAATGCCGCCTGCAGGACCTTGGGCGTCAAGCGCATGTGGCAGCAATGAGCAGGAGTGTCCATCTCAGACCCAGGGACGGAGCCCGTCGATGTCGATTTCCACCCCGCCGAGCTTGTCTGCGCCCACTCAACGAAGTCAGATGTCGCTGCCGAGTCAGAGGTTGCCTTCTCCGTCGGTTCCGAGTGTGTCCTCGGCTTTGAGTGCCTCGCCATCGACTTCTCTGATATCATTGCAGTTCCTTTCTGCCCGTGATCGCCCCGCCCCTCTGTGCGCTTCGTGTCCATCGCCCTGTCATCTCTCCTGCGCTTCTTTTACCGCTCCCTCTTCGATTGCTGATCGTTCTCATTCTGTGTTCGACCTCTCTGGGGCTTGCAGAGCCTCCGTGGATCACGCCATGGCAGAGTCTCTTGGCCACTTTCCTCGCCCTCCTCTTTCTCCCTGTCCTCGGGTGAGCCTCCCTGGTGCTGCTGCTGCTGACCCTCCCGACTCTCTCTCCCTCGCGCCGCCTGCGTCCTCGGCGGCTGCGCCCCCGCTGCGGCCCGGGCGCGGCAATGGCCGCCTGCCCCAGCGCCTGCCTCGGCGATAGGCAGGCAGGACAGACCTCTCTTACGCTGGTCTCCTCCTCCTCCTCCTCCTCCTCCTCCTCTTCCTCCTCCTCCTCCTCCTCCTCCTCCTCCTCCTCCTCCTCCTCCTCCCTCCCTCCCTCCTCCTCCCTCCTCGTCCCTCCTCGTCCCTCCCTCCCTCCCTTCTCCTCCTCCTCCTCCTGATCATACTCCTTGTCCTCCTGCGCCTCCTTCTCCCCCCAGCCTTTCCTGTGTTCTCCATCCTCCCTCGCCCTCCGCAGCTTTCATCTTCATCGAGGTCCCCCTGCTGCTGATCCTTCCCCGTGCCCCGCCTGGTCGTCCTCGTCCCTGCCCTCTCGCTTGCTCGTCCTAATTCCCCCTCCCCCCCCCCCCCTCCACCTCATCCTCCTATTGCCTCCTCCTTTGAGCCACGCTGCGCGTCCTCTCGCCTCCTCATGCTCCCCATCTCGTCCCTTCCCAACCTCATCAGATTCCTGCGCGTCCCTGCTCCTCCCCCTCTCTACTTGTCATGCATGATATCGGCACGTCTCCTATTACTGTTTTCTTCCTCCCGCCCCTCCTAATCCAAATTGTCATGCTCCTTTTCTCCTTTTTCCAGGCCTACTCTTCGCAGCTGGGCCCTCATTCTCCGCAAAATCAGCACTCATGGTAAGCATGAGCGGCTTTCCATGGTCTCCCTTGACTCCTTTCCCTTCGGCCCATCCTTGGCCACTTTCGTTGGCCGCGCCCCGCTCAAAAAGTGTCGGCATGGCCTTCCAAGGCCCTTGCATCCTTATCGTGCATCCTCTCTGTCAGTTCTGACTGCTGGGCACGAGCTGCCACTTCCCTCATCCTGCTACCTCCCGCCTTTTCTTTTCTCTGTCTCCTGTCTCCATCTTACTCAGGGTGGGAAAGACACACAGAGGCAAGTAATCGTCGACTCCCAGGGAAACATGGGGGAAGACGAAAACCCATAAATTCTTTAAAACAATTAGAATCCTGGGATTTGTGTGTATGTGTTTGAGTGTCCCAGGGCCCCTTGACTTATCATCTTCCCGCTCCTTCCGCCTTTGCCTCCCCTGCGCTCGCCCGCCCCTGGTCAGCGCTCCGGCCGCCTGGCGATCGCAGCTCTCCTGCGCACGTTGGGGGGAGGGGTCCAGCAGTGGGGGCGCCACACACACACATTCACACACACAACACACACAGACACAGACTCAGACGCAGACACAGACACAGACAAAGGCACAGACACAAGACACATACACATACACAAACACATACACATACATATACACATACACGTACACATACACATCACACACATACACATACACATACACATACACATGCACATGCACATGCACATGCACACACACACACACACATGCACATGCACATGCGCATGCGCATGCACGTACACATCACACACATACACATCACAGACATACACATCCACATACACATACAACTACACATACACATACACATGCACCTACACGTAAACGTACACGGACACATACATTTACACGGACACATACACATACACATACACATACACATACACATACACGTACACGTACACATACACATACACACCACATACACATACACACATACACATACACATACACATCACATACATCTACACATACGCATACACATACACATACACATCACACACATACACACATACACATACACATACACGTACACATACACATACACATACACATACACAGAGACAGGCACAGACACAGACACCCACACACATACGCATACACATAAACATACACATACACATACACATACACGTGCACATACACATACACACACGCACACGCACACACGCACGCATACTCACACACCTTCTCGTTCCTCTCAGGGGTCCAGACACTCAAACACACAAGCACATACACACAGACACACAACCAGAAGGCTGAGCCTCGTCCGCGCTGTTTGCTGCAAGAGCACGGCTTTCCCGACTCCCCAGCATGTTCTGTGGGTGGTGTCGGTGTGGGAGCGGGGGGGAGCGGCCAGCCGAGTCACGTCTTGCGCCGATCGTGCTGATCGCAGACTCCGCCTCCCGGCACGCGCCCCCTCTGGCTCCCCGATTCCCCCCCTCCCACCCCCAAGGCATTGATTGCCAAACGCGCCACCATCTCCACTCTCCTTCACACCCTGGAGGGTCCAGCCGAGCGGCGTATCACGCCGATCTACCTGGTCATCGTGGCCCCACTCCCTCGCCCCCTTGCTGGGTGCTACCAGACGCATTGCGGTCCCCATACTCCTGCGCCCGCATCGTGTCGTGGGCGAGTTGGTCACGTTCTTTCGGATACTCCGCCGCGGCTCCTTCTCATCTGCCCCCTCCCTCCTCCCTCCCACTCTTCGCTACCTTCTTCTTGTGTGTCCTCACGACTTCGCTCCTCGCTCATTCTCGTCCTCTTCAATCTTGCTCCTCCTCGCTCGTGTTCGTCTCTCATGTTTCTCTTACCCAGGTTCATTCCGCTGTTGTTGTTGAAGTTGCTGCTGCTTCTCCTCTTGCTCGTCCTTCTGTTCCTTCTCGTTCTCTCTCGCCTCCTCTATCCCTATCGGATCCTTCTCCGATTCCTGCTCGTCATTCCTCCGAACAAGACGCACGTTCGATGCTTACTCGAGATTGGTTACGCTGCGGAGGATCCCCCTCTTCCTCCTCCCCCTTGCCTCCCCTCACTCGTCCTTCACATCCCTTCTCCTGCTCCTTCATCCCACCTCCCTCCTCATCCAACCTCCCTCCACACTCCGTCCGCCTTCGCCCTTCCATTTTCCCCCACGAGGAGGGGACGTGGGGACGTGCGGGGGTAGGGCGACGGGATGTATACTCCCAGGCGTTCAATTCTGAGACTTGTTCGATGCGCGTCCCTACGGACCGCTCGACCCCCTCCCAAGGGCGGACTGCTCTCCCCGATCCGTTCGTCGACGGCCCCGAGGCGCGTGAGGCACGCCTCCCGAGCTCCCGGCCTCCAGAGGCCGCCGCTCGAGGCGGCGACCGTCTGGGCTCGGAGGGCCCCCCTCCCAGTGCTCGACCGCGCGTATGTCAGGAGGGGGAAAAAAAAAAACACACACACACACAGACACAATGAATCGTCGATCCCCAAGAAAACATTGGAAAAGATGGGACTTCGGCGGGAAGACAAAGACCCACGAACTTTATGGGAAAATCTGGGGGATCCTTTTATTTGTGTGTATTTATTTGTGTGTCCTTGGGCCCCTTCAATAGGAGTGGCCGGTCCCCTGAGCGACCTCGAGGTGCGGGCTCATGGGGGTCCCCCCGACCGCTGGGGCGTGGTGCGAGAGCGGCCGCCTGCGCGCTTGGACGCGGCCATCCTGCGGCCTCCTCCTCCTCCTCCTCCTCCTCCTCCTCCTCCTCCTCCTCCTCCTCCTCCTCCTCCTCCTCCTCCTCCTCCTCCTCCTCCTCCTCCCCCTCCTCCTCCTCCTCCTCCTCCTCTCCTCCTCCTCCTCCTCCTCCTCCTCCTCCTCCTCCTCCTCCTCCTCCTCCTCCTCCTCCTCCTCCTCCTCCTCCTCCTCCTCCTCCTCCTCCTCCTCCTCCTCCTCCCCCTCCCCCTCCCCCTCCTCCTTCTCCCCCTCCCTCTCCCCCTCCCCCTTCCCCTCCCCCGCCCTCTCCTACCTCCTACCTCCCCCCGGCGTCGGAACGCCCCAAGTCTATGTCCGTGGGCGGCCTGCCAGCCGCGGGGGTCACCAGGCTAGAGGGCCCCGGGGCCCCCAGAGGGCCTCGGACCTCGGGGGGATGACCCAGAGGACATCCTGTGCCTCCTCCTCCTCCTCCTCCTCCTCCTCCTCCTCCTCCCCCTCCTCCTCCTCCTCCTCCCCCTCCTCCTCCTCCTCCTCCTCCTCCTCCTCCTCCTCCTCCTCCTCCTCCTCCTCCTCCTCCTCCGCACGACGGGCCACTCGGGCCCAGGGCCCCTCTGGCGTGTGGCCGGCCCGCGCGGCGGCCAGGGAATGGGCGACAAGGGCAAGGGCGCCGCCGGCCCCAAGGGCGCCGGCAAGGCCTGGCAGCCCGGCAAGTTCGGCTGCGGCAAGCCCGGCAAGTGGTGAGGGCGCGGGGCCTCGGCCGCCGGCGCCCTGCCCGGGCGGCGGCGCCCGGGCGGGTCGGCACGCGCGGCGGGGGCGTCCGCCCCCCCCCCCTCCGTCCTGGCCTTCCGTCGGGCCTGTCCCTCTACACGGGAGGAGTAAGCAAGCAGATGTAGAGAAAATAGTCTGGGGACGGTTTTTGTTGGCTCATGTGTATAATTTTGGGGCATCTGTTTTTCACTCAGAATACACAGGAGGAATAATAGGGGAACGAAAAGTGGCATAAGCATAAAAACTCTGAGCTCCGCGCGGATTTCTCGTATCCGCGCTGGGGCTCCCCGGCGGCGCCTCCGGCGCCGCCCTTGGCGCGCTCCGCGCCCCAGGGAGGGGGGTCCAGCGCGGATCCGAGAAATCCGCGCGGACCTCCGAGTTTTTATGTTTATGCCATGTTTTGTTTCCCTAAATAAGCAAACAGATATAGAGAAAATAGTCTGGGGACGATTTTTGTTGGCTCGTGTGTATGGTTTTGGGGCATTCGTTTTCATCCAGAATCCGCCAGTAGGAGGCCACGCCCGACCTGATCCTGGCCTCCCCCCCTCTGGCCGCACCCGAGAGAGGTGCAGGGCGCATGCACCGATCCTGGGTCCAGCACGGGCCTGGCCAGGATCGACGTCGGTGTATAGGTGGCGCCCTCGCGCGCCGCCGCGCGCGGACCGCGCTCCGCGCACAAGGCTCTGGACGCGCTGCCGCGCAGAAAGGACCCTCCGCATCTTGCGTTCCCGCCCGCTCTTTGGGGGCGCTGGCCCCTTGAGAATCCATGTGTGTGTGCCCCCTCTCCTCCTCCTCCTTCCCCTTCTCCTCCTCCTCCTCCTTCCCCTCCTCCTCCTCCTCCTCCTCCTCCTCCTCCTCCTCCTCCTCCTCCTCCTCCTCCTCCCTGTAGGCATCGTTGCCCCGTCGCGGGTAGTGATGTCATGGTTGCTATCTCTGCCGTGGGGAAACCTCATCGTGGACGCGTCGCCAGGTGTGTGTGTGTGTGTGTCCATCGTTCTGGTCGCTGCACGCTTCCCTTGAACTGACAGCTCCTCTTTCGCACACATCGCTTGCGTGCTGCGGTGTTGCTGCTTGTACGCCGCGCTATCGACAGCGTTGGGTCGCAATTAGCACCTCCATCTGCTGCTCGCGCTTGAGGACCCTTTGCGCCGCCGGCCTTCGAAGTGTGTTCCAAGATTCGGCTCGTCCGCGGCCAGGCGCGCCAGTCTTCCACAGGCAAACGCAGCGCGTGGCCTCTGGATTTTCCACACGTGTATCCGAACATGCGTTTCATGACGACGCTTGGCGTATCCCCACCAGCTCATCCCGAGACGGTTCGCAGGCGATTTGCCCTCCTTGTTTCCTGTGGTTTCTTGGGTTTCCCGCGGGTCAGCCGTTGGGGCCCGTATGGCCCACCGACGTCAGCCGGGAGACTCTCTCGGAGGCGTTTTGGTGCCCTTTCGGGGTCATCCTGGAGGTCTTCGGCCAGAGACGAGGGCGGCTTAAATTGGCCTCCCCCCGTCGGAACCAGAAAAATCGCCTCTTGGAGCTCTCGTGTGGCGCTCTTACCACTTGGGACATTATTGGATGCCTCCGGCTCTCTGGTCTCCGTGCCAGCAGCTACCACTTCCCTCTCTTGTGCATTCTTTCCTCCTGCATACTTCTTCTTCCATCCTTCCTCCTGCGTCTCTTCTTCATTCCTCCCTTTTTACCAGTTGCTCCTCCCTTTGCTGCCACCGCTGCGGTTGTTCCTGCCGCTGTTGTTGCTCCTTACGCTCTGAGGATCCTCCCTGGCATCCCACTCCTCGCACGTTTGGGTTCGAGCTGCCTCGGTCAAGCGCAGGCTGTGATCGGTAGCTTTTCTCCGATTTCCGGCGTTATGAAAACGAACCAGGGCGGTGACCCCCCAGGGTTCCATCATAAGCACACGAAGCCTCTAAGCTCTAAGCTTCTGGGCCCATTCGGCCGCCGAGACGCTTGAATTTTCAATGACTCTGGTGGGCATTGGCCCGGTCGGCAGCAGGCTGGGCTCGATACTGGCCCGCTCGGCGGCCGAGTGGGCGGGCTCGGAAGTGAACCCTACGGCGGCTCCTCCATGCCTGCTGCCAGGCAGCCCCGTGCAGAGGGGCCCGGCTCCCAGAAACAAGGGCTTCCGACTTCTTAGGATTTGCCAGATTCGGCGGGCGAGGACGACGAATGGACACTGGTTCGACCCACAGCTGCAGTTTACTGTGGTGCGCCAACGTTCTGGCGTATCCAATTCTCCGTGGACGGAGCTCTGAAGAGGGTTGGGCTGTCCGAAAACAGGGTGGTGTGGAACAAGGTCTGACACCAAAGTTTCTGCATGCAGCTGGTTTCTGCAGCAGCCGGGTTCTCACAACGGCGGAAGTCTGACTTTTTTGGGGGTTCTTGGCCGGCGCAGGGTAGAACATGGCTCCTAAAGCGGCCCAGAAGAAGAAGTCGGTCGACGCGGAGGCCAAGGCAGAGGAGCCCCCCGCGAAGAAGGCGAAGGCCGAGGAGGAGGCGGAGGCGGCGACGAAGCCTCCTGAGCCCGAGGAGAAAGAGAAGGATGCCCCGAAGGCGAAGGGCCCGACACTCGAGAAGACGGTCGGCTTCGATCCGAGCGGCTACTCCCTGAACGTGCTGCCCACCATGGGAGGCCACCTTCGCCCTTCTCTCGATCTTCTTACAGTCGGCCCGCATAGTACGGATAAACAAGTTTCTAATACCCCTGAATCCTTGCCCCTTCGGCCCATCCTTAGCGACTTTCGCTGGCCAACCTCGCTCGAACAACTTCAGCATGGCCCTCCAAGACCCTTGCATCCTACCATCGCATCCTCATTCTACGGGTTGACTGTACATTCTTCGTCGTTGCTCATCATTTCAGGCATAGCCCTCATTTTCCTCACCGTCATCTTCAATATACAGAACATCCTCATTATCTCATCATGCATGTCGCGCCTAGACGGACTTCGAGACACAGGTCAGATGCATACTTGGAAGGGGCCTGATGGCAGAGTTGCGAGACGGACGGGACCGATCGGGATGGGGGGAGGAAAGAGAGAGAGAGACAGAGAGAAAGTGAGAAGGAGGAAAGAGAGAGAGAGAGAGAGAGTGAAGGGGTAGGACTTGGGCAGGCGATAGCCATTGCAGGGAGAGGCGGGAGGAGAAGGTTGAAGGGGGGGGGCTGGAAAGAAGAGCGTCCGCACTCGCTGGTCGTGGCTCCCGTCACTGGGGATGAGGGACCCCATTCGGACTGGGGATGAGGACCGATCGATTTAGAGGTGGATGAATCCGGTGTTGTCAGAGCTGGCGGGGACCGACCGATCAAGGACCGATCGATCGAGAGAAGGATCGGTGGTGTGTACTCATTGGTGAGTGGAGGGGGTACTCATTGGTGAGTGGATCGTGGAGACAGCCTCTGTTCCCCCCGCACTTCTCCTCCCGCCCCCCTTTCGCCCCCTCGCCCTTGCTCCTTGGGTGGGGGGTCAGTATTTTCTATTGTTTGTGGTCGCCGATTTTTTATTCCTTGGGCGCAACACGATTCTTGTGGGGATGCATTTTTGGGTGCGTGGCCTGCCAATTCAGGAATCACGGGCACCGTACGGGCTCCGCTTTGGGCGTGTAGAGGTCCATTTCGGGCACGTGTCCAGGCACCCGCACGTTGGATTACAAGAGTCCCGTGTCGGTGCAGCGCTGTGGCGCGTCGTGATGGCACCGTGTCGCAACGGCTTCGCGTCGCAAAGATGTAGCCCAAAGGGGCCTTGAGAGGGGGCCTTGAGAGTGTTGGGCAAACAGTATTAGAAGGGCAAAAAGGCATCGGGCAAACGCAACCAAAGCGATGGGCCACGAGGGTACCGGGCAAACCAGGAAGGCAATCGCGAAGCACACCGCGTGTGTACAAACCGAATGATTTGTTGGGCACCGGTTTGGGACCGGTTTTGACCACCGTGCGGTGCACCGCCGCTGTCTTAGACCAGCCCGTTGATGACACCACCGATATCAAGAGCGCGCGTCCGTTCATCAAGGTCTGGGAGGACGAGTGGGGCCTGCTGCCCGGCTGGGGCGAGAGCGGGATCTACCGCGACACCGTCGGCACCTTCGGCATCTCCTGGGCGTCGGAGTGGCGGGCCAGGCTGCCCGGCGACGCGCGGCGGGTGATCTCCTGCGCGCAGTGCAGCACATTGCCGGCGGAACGACTGGACTACACCGACGACCTAGAGGCGAGCGGAGCAGGGCGCAGAGGGGCTTGCCGCCCGTTGCGTGGTCATCCTCCACGGCGTACCCTGCTTTCCACGATCAAGAATTCAGACGTGGGCGACTTTGGGGGACGGGACTGGCCTCCACCGCGACTGCGCCACCGACGCCAGGCGCTTCTCGGTGGCTTCTCGGGGCCTGCCGACGGTTGGACAAAGCGCCGTCGACGGAGGCGAGACGGCGTCTGGCCAGGGGCGCCCGGATGCGCAGCGACGGTGTTCGTGCGGGAGAAGCCGTTGCTGCGGCCAGTGCGCGCCTGGTTTGCAGCAGCGCAAGGAGGGGACAAAACCGTCGGGGCGTTGACCTAAGGAACCCAAAATGAGGAACGAGGTCCCCTTTTTCCACAAGTTAAACTTCGATGTCCCATCGAAAACATAAGGAACACCTGAGGCAAGCTCTCAAACAATCAAGGAACACCGAGCCCCTCCCCAACGAAAAGGGCTCCTTCTTCAGCGCCTCGACTGTACAGGCCTTTCTGCCCCGCGTGGTCATGCTCGTGCCGGCGTGGATCTCACCACCCACCAAACCACCCCAACCCAACCCGAAGGCTGAGATTTTCCCTCGATTTCCAGTGGGGGGGATTCGGGAAACATCGAAGAAACACATGTGGAACCCTTACCCCCCCCAACCCGAAATTCGGGTCTTCGGGTTGGGTTGGGGTGGTCTGGTAGGCAGTCAGGATCGGCAAGCGGCGGGCGGAAGAGCGGAGGCCGGGAGCGCCCACCGAGTCCAAGCCCGAGGGCGCCCGGCACTCCCGCGCGGACGCGATGGGCAGAGACAGGGCGTTGCTGCGGGGGCGACTGCGGGGCACCGCCGGACGGCAGCAGCCGAGAAACCCGCTGGCACGCATTCGAGGGGGAGAAGGGGAAAAAACACACAGACACAATTAATCGTCCACTCCCAGGAAAATATAGGAAAATATGGGAAGTGGGGGGGAAGACAAAAACCCAGAAAATATGGGAAAATATGGGGGATGTTTTTATTTGTGTGTATTTATTTGTGTGTCCTGGGGCCCCTTCAAGAAGGCAGGGTTTCTTCCGAGCTCGCGGGCCAAGGTCGACGGCCCGAACGGGGACGCCGCGGCACCGAAGCTTCTCGGCGGGTTTCTCGTCGGGAAGGTGCCCTCGGGAAGTTGCACCAGAGGGCGAACCTTAAAGAAACTGGGGTCACGGACGTCCAGGGGTACGCCTACGCGGGGCCCAGTGCCCGGGCATTTGGCGGCCTGGGGCGGTCCTCCTCATCGGTCCAGTTCCTCGGAGGAAAGGAGGCCGCGCAGGCTGGCGCCGGGCTGGGACGGGATCCCGCGCGAGGAGAATCGGCGACAGCCGACCCCACCTGTACGAAGACGGTGGGTTTCGACGAGCCCTCAGGATCCACGGGGCGGCCGCGGACCTGGAGTGGCACGTGCTCGACGAGATGAGGCAGACCTCCCAGGGGCACCTAGACGCGATCGTAGAGGACAGGGCAGCCGCTGCGGGGAAGTCGGCCTTGCCAGGGTGACCGCGGGCACCGTGGACGTCGGGTGCCGTGGCGACAGCTCCGCTCGAGTACGTTTCGGACAACGCCGGTTGCGGGGGCGGCTGTGGCGAGCGCAGAGGCGTCGGGCCCCGCTCGACCTTTCGGGGCCGGTGCCGGACCGCGGGAGATGTTGTGCCTCCCAGATAGTCTTGAAGCCCGACCTTCCGGTGAGCGCCGCCACGGCGTGTGGGCCCCCCATCCTTCCGCCGCGGACGGAAGGCGGGGTGCAGGGCGGGATCGACGCCCCCGATCGCGTTGGGCCCTCTGGGGGATGGGTGGGGCTTCGAGACCGCTCCCGCTCGTTTGCGCGTGGGCGGACAGGTTCGCGCGGAGGCGATGGTGCCGCAGGAGCCGGGAGACATGGAGCGGAGCGAGGTGGGCCTCCTCCGTGGTCCGGGGCCCCTGCCCCTCTGCAGTGGCCGCGGCGCCTGGGGCGAGCGGCCCTCCCGCGGAGGGGGCACGGGGGGCGCCTGGCCGAGGTGAGGGTCCACGGTCAAAGGGGGATGGGCCCTCGACGCTCGCAGCGTCCGGCGGGTGCTCCGGGCTCCGCCTCCTCACCTCCGTGTGGCGCGCCCCCATGGCGGAAGTGCGGGCGTCACGTTCCTTCCTGGGAGTGGCACGGGGCCCTGCGCCAGGGCCCCGGGTCCGCCACCCGGCTAACACAAAATATTTCCAGTTAGTTGCTGCTTCGCTCTGCCGCCATCGCACCGCTGATTAGGGCTCGCCGACGATATATTTATATATGCATATATATATGTATATATATGTATATATATATATATATATATATATATGTGGAGGCCCCGCTGGCGACCCCCAAAAGCCCAAAGCGCCCAACGAACGACCTCGAATATTCGTGTTTTTTTCCATTCCAGCCGTCACGGACATCGCGCGCGCAAGCGTTTTTTTTTTGTGTGTGTGTGGGGGGGGAAGCCACGAAATGCCACATCTTGTTTTGTTGTTTGTATCTGTTCTTGTTTGGGAATCAACCAGGCTCTGCGTATGTTTGGTTTTGTTGGTCTTCTGCCCCGCCCAGCACCACTTTTTCTGAATGCTCAAGACCGAAGCACACAATAACTTTACATACGCAGCGAAATGCGCCGACTGTGCTCTTTTTTGTTAGTGCTCCCTGGTCTGGGAACCAACGAAACACTGCATATGTTTAGTTGGTTTGGTTGTTTCGATTTGGGAAGGCCCCGGCTTTCGCCGCGGCTTTCCAACCAGGACGTCTCCATCCCAGCAGCGAAAACCACACACAACAAAACAACACATACGCATTGTTTCGTTGATTGGCCAAGAAACAACCAGAACTACCAAGCATACGCAGCGTTTCGTGGCACCGGGGTCACGGAACGCTGCGAATGTTTGGTTGTGTTGAAAAACGAAGCAAATCGTATGTTTTTTTTGTTGTTGTTTGGTCTTTTGGGATTCGGGAGGGCCCCAGCGCTAGCCGCGGCCTCCCAACAAGGATCTCCCCAGCCCAGCGTCCAAAACCCGAAACCCAAAAAACAACGAAAAACATACGCAGCGCTGTGTTGATTCCCAGACCAGACAAACCAGAAACAACAACAGTGCTGTAACAGCACATACGCAGCATTTCGTGGCACCGAGGGCGACGCTTGCTGATTTGCGCCAGCATCGAGGTCTCGTGCCTTCCTCGCTGGCAGTGCTGCTTGAGGAACGCCTCCTGAAGGAGGACGAGGAAGGACGGGAGGATGAAGAGAAGGATGAATCTGCGGATGGGATTGCGGAGGAAGAGGGAGAAGAGGAGGACCACGAGGAGGAGGAGGACGATGAAACATAGAAGAATGAGGATGATGACGTTCAAAGTTCAGGGGGGGCGCTCGGAGGGGGGGGCGATCTCTGTAGGTATACACATATACATACGTACCTACCCACAAACATGTATATATATAAACATTTTACGTGTAGGTGCGAATGTTAGGTGTGTGTGTGTGCGCATGCGCAGCACACTCCGTTAGAATTTCTGGACCATGCGTCGACGGTTATAGTAGATACTTGAATGCAGTTCGCATCCAAAGTCCCCTCATCGATACATCGAATGCCTCCTTTCTTGATAGACTTGTAGGTCTATCCCTTTCCCTCGGTCTCTCTCTCTCTGTCGTTCTCCCCCTGTCTCCTGCTCACGTGTCCTTAGATGTTGCTTCCGTTCGGTAGGTGGCTATCTCGGTTCTCTCTCTCTCGCTCTCTGTCTTTTCTCTCCCTCTCTCGCCCAACATCCTTTTCTAGATATACACATATAAATGTGTATACGTCTCTCTCTCTCTCTCTTTCTCTCTTTCTCTCTCACTCTCTGCCACGGTCTCTTTTTTTCAGTGTGCGTGTGTGTGTGTGTAGATTGACGTTGCGTGTTTAGAGGTAGTTCGATTGATATCTCTTGTTTCCCTTTCTCTTTCCCACCTCTCATTCTTGCTTTCTTCCAGCGCTTACACACATATATATATATATATATGCTCAATGCTCCCACTCATGATACTTTGTATGTGTACGGTGCGCACAGACATGCCAATACAGACCGGTGTGTCCACACATCTCTGTTCACATGTATTTACATCTTGTTTCCAAACATTGCTTTCACTTCGTGCTGTTTCATTCGCCTTCTGAGGAAGTTGGTCTGCGCGTCGGTCTGGCTGCTATGTTCTCGCCGTCGCTGCCCCTTCGCCGCCCCGTCCTGGCCCGTCGCCTGGGCCTGCGCGTTGGTCTGGCGGCTATGTTCTCGCCGTCGCCGCCCGGGCGCCGCCCCGCATGGTTTGCACAGCATAGGTTGCACCGCACCGACTGCACCACATAGAGCTCACCCAGTAATCGCACCACATACTTTTCAGATCACCACGGTGCACCGCATATGCTGTGTGCCTTATAAACCAATAGTCGCAAACCTGAGCTGCACACCGCAGAGCGAACCACTGAGATTCTCCTTTCTACGAGAGTGATAGATTCTACCGCCCCCCCCCTCCTTCCTGGAATTAACGATTCGCCCCTTCGTATTGCAATTGGCGTATGATTATGCCCCACCGTCCATCCTAAATGTGCGTCCGTACCATTCTAGCAAGGCCGGTATCGACACCCAGCGCCATCCTCTGCAACAGACTATGCGCGCGCATTCTCGTCGGTCAGATTTCATCAGGTGTCAAGTCGCCCTTGATAGAGTGGGACGAAGTGCACACGCGCGCGTTATTGCGCGCGTGTTTCGGAATCCTCGAAACAAAGCGGTGGGTGTCTCAAGGATCTCAAAATCTAGTGCCACGAGCACATATAAACAGACGGTTTTATAACACGAATGCGGGCTCTTGAGACCGTAGGTTTTCAGCATGTTCATAACATGCCGCCAATGTGGCCTCTCGCGCGCGCGTCTCGAAATCGTTCTAACGCCCAAGCGCGCGTGCTGTCGCAAGAATCCCTTTCAACAGTGAAACGAAGTGCACACGTGCGCGTCGTTTCGTGCGCATGCCGAACTCCTTGAACATTCCTCGTCGGTTTCGGATGGATTTCAAAGTCGCGTGTCCGAAAAACATAGAAACCATACGCGGTTTTGCAACATAAGCTTTCAAAAACTCGGCGCTCGCGCTCGTGCGGGTTCTCAAGAAAACCGTCAGTGTTCCAGGATATTCATCACATTCTGCCAAACGGGCCTCTCGCGCCACATGTCGAACTCATTCGAACGACCTTGCGCGCGTGCTTGGGGGGGGGCACGATCCGTGTGCAATAATGACACGCTGGCCAATCGCGCCCGTCGGCCGCACGCGCATGCCGAACTCCTTCGGAGAACCTGCATCGCCTACGCGAGGACATCGTCATCGTTATCGGCGGGCGTGATCAACATCGACGCCATTATTGGCTTTGCCGTCATCATCGCCCCCTTCGTCTCCACCGCCATTCATAATCGTGTCCACCGTCGTGGGCGTCGCTATGATACCGCGCCCGCCAACGTCACCGATTCGCATTGAAGTGCCAGCTGCGAAATGCCCGGTGGTCAGCGCCACCGCGGCCGCGTCGGTCGCCTCAAACTAGCTTGCCGCTGTGCGCACGAGCATGCGCAGGCTAGCGCGGCCGCAGACATGCACCAGCCACCGCCAAGCACTCATCGTAATCGCCGCCGCATGGGCTTTGCAAACCAAGTTGCGCTAGGGTGGGATGTTTGCAAAAGCATGGGGTTTGCCAGCTCGTATGCGCAAACCAAGTGCACAACAAAGATTGCACACCGCCTATATCGTTCAACGCAGGTAGCACAGCATATATTTTCCGCCGTTAAAAGGTTCGACTTTCCGGGATTACCCGTACCCGCTGCTGTATGGCAATTTTCATATGATGTTGCCCCAAGCCGTCCATCCGAACATAAGTTCATACCATCCCAGGGAACGCGGTATCGAACCTCCCCGTCACCCTCTCCAAAACATACTATGCCCGCGCATGCGTTCATCAGAATTCATCAGTTTTCAAGAATCCTTTGCAAAAGAAATGGGACGAAGTGTGTTCGCACGATTGTTTGGGGAAAGAGCATCAGATTTCGTAAAGATTTCAGAGTCGAGTGTCCAAGCAGCATATACAAACACATGGTTTCGCAACGCGGGTTTTCAAAACAAGCTTGCGCGCGCGATCTTGTGATTTATTTTATGTGAGCCACGTTTTGTTTCCCATGATTTCCAAGGCATGCTGCCAAACGGGTCTCGTACGCGCATGTCGTCATTATTCGAATGCCGTTTCGCGCGTACTGTCGCGAGGATTTTGCAACATATGGGGCGAAGTGCGCGCGCGCGCGTCGCCGCGCGCGCATGCCGAAATCGTTCAAAACCGATCGCCCCGAAACCATCTAAAACAAACTATGGTTTTGCAGCATCAGTTTTCAAGAGAGCTTGCGCCCGCGCTTTGGCGAACCTTTGCGAAACCCATAGGTATTTCAACATGTTCTTTGAGCTCTTCCAGCGGGCTTCTCGAGCCACATGCCGAAATCATTCGAACGCCCTTGCGCGCGTGCTAGAGGGGCACGATACGTGCTAAATCGTACAATGTGGGCCACTCGCGCGTCGGCCGCGCACGCATGTCGAACTCTTTCGAACACTTGCATCACCGACGCGAGGATGCCGTCATCGTCGTCGGCGTGATCAGCATCGGTGCCGTCATTGGCCGTGCCGTCGTCGCTGTCAGCATCGCCACCAGCATCGCTACTTTCATCAGCGTGTCTACCGTTGTCGACGTTGTCATGGTACCTCGCCCGCCCATTTCGCCGACTCGCATTGAAGTGCCCGCTGGGACGTGCCCAAAGGTCTGCGCCGCCGCTGCCGCATCGGTCGCGCCAAACTAGCTGGCCGCTGCGCGCGCGTGCATGCGCGGGCTGGCGTGGCCGCAGATAGGAACCACCCAGCGCCCGGCACTCATCGCAATCGCCGCCGCATGGGTTTTACAAACCAAGTTGCGGGTACTTGGGTGGGATGATTGCGCGAGCAATGGAGTTAACAATTGTTTGTGAACAGAAACTAACTGAACCACAGAAGGTTGCACCACATAGGTTGTGCCACCTGTGTGTCTCCACATCGATTACATACCATATGTTGTTATAGCCACGCTGGTTGGATTCCGCCCGGGATAACACCGACTACGTATATCTCTTCATATGTACCGACCGGTGTTTCGCATACCTGCACTTGTGCGCGCAACTACATATGTATATGCACACACATGTCTATAAATATTTAGAGGTATATGGAAATGGGCACTATAATGTCGATACCCTCGCCCCAATGTGTATAGTTGCGTATGCATGTATAGCGTGTGTTGGTGTCTCCCTCCCTTGTATCGCTTAGCCCTTTCCTTTTGTCATGTGTCCTGACGTTTTGGTATTGCACACTGTGACCTCTCCGCCAGTGCTTTAGCATCATGCTTCAAAGCCGGCGATCATCGACTTCGTGATCGATGGAGCGTTTCGTGCGTGTGCGGGGAGGAACAGTCTGAATGCCGATGTCGATGCATATGTTTCCTGATGCCTATGTGTCTGCACATGACATTTCTATGTGTGCGTGCGTGCGTGGGTGCGTACGCGTGTGTGTGTGTGTGTGTGTGTGCGTGCGTGCGTGCGTGCGTGTGTGTGTGTGTGAGAGAGAGAGAGAGTGTGTGTGTGTAAGTGTGTATGTAAGTGTGTGTGTGCGTGCGTGCGTGCGTGCGTGCGTGCGTGCGTGCGTGCGTGTGGCTGTGTGCGTGTGTGTGGCAGTGTGTGTGTGTGTGTGCGTGAATGCCCCTCTCCCTCACTCCTCTTCGGTCTCCTCCTCCGTATTTTTCTCTCCTATCCCCCCCCCTGCGCATCCCCAGCCCCCGTCCCTCCCGTCCCGCCCGCGGCGGCCGAGCGGGTGCCGCCCTGCTCCCCGACCACCCCCCTCCGCGGGAGGCACCATGCTCATGTCGCTGTCGGATGGTGGTACGCAATTCCTCCTGGGCGGCGCCCGCGCCAACGTCGGCCTCAAGGCGGGACGCTACCTCTACGAGGCGAAGGCGCGCGGCTGTGCGCCGCATCGGGCGGGGGTTTGCTGCGGGCCCGCGTGCGGCTGGGGACTGCAGGGGCGCACCTTTTCGACAGTAGCGCCGGGAGCTCCCGCAATGAAGGAGGGGCAGGGGTGAAGGGGGAATAGGCCGCTCCACGGCACCGCCCACGGCCCACACGGCGCCGCCCACGAGCGACGGGCATTCCCATGTCCGTCCCATTGCGGCTTGGGACGCCGAGGCGCGGTGCCATGTCTGCGCGCTGCCATAGGTGCGCTCCGCGAGAGGGATCCGGGCAAAGAGGCGCCCTGCATCCGCGGGGGTGGTTGGGGGCTCGGCCGAGTGACATGGACGCGCGAATGCCATGGTGCCCTTACGCGATTGCAGGGCCAGGCCAGGCATATTCATACGTTTCTCGCCTGCAAGCCGTACCCAGGTCGTGGTGGTCGATTGGTTGCATGGGTTTCTTGGGGTCTTAGGGGGGATGGCTTCGGGAGCCCCTTAGAGGCATGTTCACTGTCTCGGGTGCCATTTTCGGACAGAGGGCTCCAAACGCCAGGTCGAGTTCCACTTATCGGGGCCCTCTCAGGATGCTTTTACGCAGGTTCATCATTACTGGCTAGTTTGAGTTGTTGTCATTGCTTAGTTGATTGCACGTATTGTATGCGTTTCATTCGAATGGGTCGTGTATGTCAGTCTGTAGGTTAATGCTGATATGTGTTGCATTGGTATGTGTGTGCTTGATGCATGTGTGGCCTGGACACAAGGAACATATAATTGCCAGTGTTCTTACTGTGGGGGTTACGTGTGCATCCTATTTCGTATGGTATCCGATTGTGTCCGCTACAGCGATACACTGAGCGTGCAGTTGCTGCATATAAGCTCCGACGTGTTGTATGGAAGTGGCTCAATTACGCTACTGGTGTATTATCTCTACGGCGGCTATGTGTCTTTGTCTGTTCCGTGCGGGTGGTCTTATATCATTCGTTACGTACGCGTGCAGCGTCTACCCTCATTCCACGTATCGTGCCTGTATTTGCGTTGTACGTCTGCTATTCGTGTATGTGGTGACGTTATTTCATTTGCTATCCTTGAGTTTGAAACCAGTAGTGACAATTATCCCTGTGTGTCTATTATGCATGCCACGAATGTCAGATATTGCGGCTCATGTACGTTCGTGTCGTCGGTGCATAATGCACTAACGAATGTTCATGTTGCATATTTGTTGACACTTCTTGCCTTGTTCATCCGTATCTATGGTGTATGATGTACGGTCTGTGTGTGCCCTTGATGTGAGTGTTGATCATGCGTCGTTTGTTGTTTCGTGAGCGCCCGTGATATGTGCATATGTTTTTTAGACAGCATGCACGTCTCTATGCGTGCCATGCGTGTCCTTCATTCGGGTATGCCACCGGTTCCGTCGTCATGTGTTCAGGTCGGGAGGCGGGCATCCAGGTATTGTCGGGAGTTGTGGGGCCCGGCCGTCGCGGTGTGCAGGTGTGGCGGGCGGGTCGGGGACATTTTTTTAGATGTTTTCACGAGGCTGGTCCAAGTCTGCCGGGTGGGTGGTAAGGTTGTTCAAATGCATTGGCACCTTGGGCTGCTTGCCATACCCTCCAAGAGAGGGCGGCGGCGCCGGCGGCAGGAGTCAGCACGCAGACGCCTGAGATACCAACACCAGGTGGCTACGGGAATTTCTGGCAACACGATGGCGGGCTGGAAGGGGTGCTGCCAGATGCTCCAGGGCAGGCTCAGGAATGAAGCGTTGGCGAAACGAAGAGACGAGACCAGCTTCAAAGTTCTGCCCAGACCATCAGAGTCCGTGTTTGGGAACCCATGTGGGAGTGCGGCAGTGGTCTGTGCACAATGCTCAGTAAGGAGGAGGGGAGCGACGCGGAAGTCGGACAACGGGGGGGCGGATGATGGGGGTTGTGACCTCAGAGACCAGGTTGTGGAGGTGCTGAGCCCCGACGAGGGCAAGCAACACCACGGGCAGAAGAGCAAGATGTGGGGAAAGCAGATGATCCGTGTGGGCTTCTCCACGGAGGGCTCGTCGCTCATCCTCGGCGACGGAGACGACTGCATCGGCTTCGACGGGGACGGCTCCTTCCTCGCGGACGGGAAGAAGTCTCCGCCCAAGCACGCGAACAAGTTCTGGCGCGAGAAGGTCGGGCGGCAGACACGTGGCCTTGGCATCGCTCGGACGTGCGCATGTTTTTACCTAACAGCGAAGACTGATAGGTTTCTAGTAGTCTTAAAAGAGAGCAGCAGATGACTCCACAGGGGGGTCTGGGCGGGTGCCGGACAGGGTGCCGCAGAAGTCGTTTTAAGCAAACAGTCACACACTTCGTGCTCTTCGACCTCCCAGAACTCCATTCCCGGGCCACATTCTGAATGCCCGGAGCCAACTGTAGGCCACTTCGTGCTCTTCGACTTCCCAGAACTCCATTCCCGGGCCACATTTTGAATGCCCGGAGCCAACTGTAGGCCACTTCGTGGTCTTCGAGTTCCCAGAACTCCATTCCCGGGCCACATTTTGAATGCCCGGAGCCAACTGTAGGCCACTTCGTGCTCTTCGAGTTCCCAGAACTCCATTCCCGGGCCACATTTTGAATGCCCGGAGCCAACTGTAGGCCACTTCGTGTCTTCGAGTTCCCAGAACTCCATTCCCGGGCCACATTTTGAATGCCCGTAGCCAACTGTAGGCAACTTCGTGCTCTTCGACTTCCCAGAACTCCCTTTCCTGGGCCACATTTTGAATGCTGAGGCAGGCTGATGCTGCGGTCGAGGCAGGCTGGGGCTGAGGCAGGCTGAGGCTGAGGCCGAGGCTGAAGGCAGACTGAGGCTGAGGCTGAAGCAGCTGAGGCTGAGGCTGAGGCAGGCTGAGGCTGAGGCTGAGGCAGGCTGATGCTGAGGCAGGCTGAGGCTGAGGCTGAGGCTGATGCAGGCTGAGGCTGAGGCAGGCTGAGGCTGAGGCCGAGGCTGAAGGCAGACTGAGGCTGAGGCTGAAGCAGGCTGAGGCTGAGGCTGAGGCAGGCTGAGGCTGAGGCAGGCTGAGGCTGAGGCTGAGGCAGGCTGAGGCTGAGGCTGTGACTGCGACTGCCGTTGCCGCTGCGACTGTCATCGCGAATGCGACTACGACTGCGAGAACAGCAGAATTCTACAACTGGATTTTCATCTGAATCTTAAGGGGAATGCTTTCAGATATGCTTCTACACATCGCTGTTAGGTTGCTTTGCCGGGATAATCTCGGCGAGAACCATCGAGGACCATCCTTCGGGCGAAGAGAACTATGCACATGCACCGATCCTGGCAATGCCCATCCTTGACCCAGGGTCGGTGCATATGCCTTCCTGGCCAAGGCAGGAGGGCGTATGCACCGATCCTGGGCTCAGGATGGGCCTGGCCAGAGTCGGTGTATGTGCATAGTTCTTCTTCCTCTAATCCTGGACCATCGAGCTAAAGAAACACGCACCGAAGCCGAAAAAATGCACGGGTGATGGACGTCCGAGCGACAAGGAGCAGCGGGGGGGGCCAGAGGGGGGCGGCCTGCCCGCAGGCCGCCTCGCTCAAAAGGGGGTCGGCCTGCTGCCGCCCGCGAGGCCGCACGAGTCGGGGGTGGACGGACCTCCTGCCCCAGATCTCGTAATAAAAAGGGAGGGGGTCTGGAGAACCAGATTCCCCATATTTTCTAATCTTTTCTGGGTTTCTGTCCTCCCTCCCACCTCCCATACATTTTCCCACATTTTCTGGGGAATCGAGGATGAATTGTGTCTGTGTGTGTTTTCCTCTCCTGAACATTCCTCTCCTGAGGGGGTCTGGGCCCTCCAAGACAAGCCATTTCAGACCTCCCCCGTGGGGGAACCCTCCAAACCATCGTCCCCAGGCCCCCCAGGCCCTCCAAGATAGCCTGGAAGAGACCACCCCCAAAACGAGACCCCCTCCCTTTGATTACGAAGTCTGGAGTACCCTGACACGTCGATTCAGGAATTAAGGAATTGGCCGTTTTCGGTTCGCGAGAGGGCGTCACGGCCGTCATTTTTGCGGGTCCATGTCCATCGGTTTCGGTCCCAGGCCGTTTTCACTGAGGGGAGGTTTACTAAAGGGAGGTTTGTCCACCGCCGAATGAGGCGCTGGTGAGAAGTGCCGAGCCCTGCCAAGAGCTCCCTGCCTTCGCTCACGGCTGCCATTTCCCGCCGAGCCCCCAGTCAAAGCTCAAGTCGGGCCTGTCCCTCTACAGGGGGAATGTTCAAACATAGCCAAAAAATAACAGGGCACGATGTTTCTATCATTTTTGATTCTGTACGAGTATGTTTGGACTACTTGTAGTTTTCGTCCAAAATCCCCTTCTAGGAGGACATGCCCGACCTGAGTCCAAGTCCGCAAAAAAACTGTTCCACGGACTCTTCCTGCGTTCCACCCTGGCCGGTGTTCCAGGCCGCCTCCGGCCGTGGCGACAAGGGGGTTTGTCCAGGAGGCCAGAGGTCGAGGAGCTCGAGGGGGGCGGAGGATGTCCAGGAAGAGCGTGTGCCTCCAAGAGTCAGGCGATCGCAATTTTGGATCAAAGGGGGCCCGAGATGACGGAAAGCGCGCCTCGCGTGCGATCCGGCAGTCGGGAGAAATGATCAGGCGATCGTAAATCGCAGACATGGATCGAGGGGGCGTGGATTTGCGACGGGTCTCGTTTCCATGGGAAATCGCGGACTTCCGCCGCCGAGCGAGGCGGCACCGGCCGCATTTTTGGGAGGGCACCTCCCCCGATCCATGGATTTGGCGACCGCGCGCCAAATCCATGGATCGCTAATCCATGTTTGCGTGCCCCCGACAAGAGGTCGTCGGCTTGCTCCTCAACCTGGACCCCACGAGCGAGAACGCCAACACCGTCAGCCTCTTCAAGGATGGCGTGCGGGTCACCGAGCCGATGCCGTTGCCGGACAAGCTCAAGGTCCGCGCCGGGGACTCCGCACCTCGCCTCCGGGTCCGGGTGATCGTGGCCTCCCGCAGAGGGGCAGGTGAGGTGGCAAGGCTTAGTGTTTCGCGCTGACTGCCACACCACACGGGGTTCCCTGTAAGCGCGATCCGCGTCTGAGCCCGTTCGGCGGCTGAACGGGCTCCATTCCCACGGCGTTATCGGAGTCGAGCCCACTTGGCTACCCGCTCGGCGGCTGAATAGGCTCAGACGTCAACTGAGCTGAGCAGGGATCTTTGGGACATTGGATTGACAAGTGAGGCGTCAAGGCTTGGGTTTACGCACAGTCAGCCGCAGAAACAGGCAGGTCTGACCTTGACTGGCCCCCAGGGTAGTCCGTGGTTGTATCAACAATGAGTACTCACGTCCGAGCTTGTGACCTCATCTTCAGATGTTGTTCTCCGAGCTGGATGGGTCGGTGCGCAGGGCCTCGGGTGTCCCGAAGCAGGAAGCAGGGCAGAAAAGCTCGTCGTGCGTTTTCTTTCAAGGCGCACGGGTCTGAGGTGAGGAGTGAGCCCGTGGACGAGGAGGAGGAAGAGCAGACGGAGCTCTGTGGAGGGGGGGGCGCGTGCACTTCTCTTTCCTGCGCTTGCTCTGAATAGTGGCGGGGGCCAGACAAACCACCAAACATACCATGCAGAGGCACAGAAACACATTAGATGGATGCTCTCCCTGATTTGGTAAGTGTGTGTCCGTTATTCTGGCGGGTATGTGTGCTTGGCTGTTTGTGTGTCGCCCCCTGCCCAGTAGTGGGGTAAGTGGGCCGCGGTGCAAGGGCAAGCCCCTCTTTCCGCATATCACCTTCCGCAACGTGACGGTGCAGACAAACTTCGGCCCCAATCCGATGAAGCCCCTGCCCTTCAAGTGCCTCATGGTGCAGGGCGCCTCGGCAGCGGACACCAAGGCTCCGGAGCGTTGGAGGATGATGGGGACGTGGAGGAAGAGGGGGAGGAGGAGGAGGAGGAGGATGAGGAGGAGGAGGAGGAGGAGTAGGAGGAGGAGGAGGAGGAAGAGGAGGAGGAGGTAAAGGAGGAGCAGGGGAGGAGGGGGAAGGATTTGGGGAGGAGGAGGTGGAATGATGACGCAGGTATCGGGCCTGAAACCAGGGGGGGGGGGCTCCGGCATCCCCTGGACCGTCTCGAAGTCTTGGTCGGGGCGCTCCCCAGCAGAGCCGTCTGGGAGTTGACAGGGTGCTGGGAGCCGAGGAAGCGCAAGCATGGATGAAGGCACGTGGCACGTGGATTCGCTGCGGGTCCCGTCCACCTTTCATATCTACGCGATCCGTTGTCAAACCAGGCGGCACTGGCGCCACGCGACTGTGTCGGGGTACCTTCCCCGATCTGCGGGTATGGCGCCCGCGTGCCAGTTCCGCGGGCCCTTAGTTAATCCCTGTCAGCGTGCGCCCCAGCACGGAGGAGATCAGCGGGAACAGACATTTTTGATCTGCGGGGCGAGAGCGAACCTCTTCCGCTAAAAGCTAGGCGGGCTACGCACAGCTTTAATTGGGAAGACAGGGCACAGGAAGGCGGGGCCTTAGCGGGAACAAACAGCCGAACTGCACAAGCGGGGTGACGTGCCGTGCAGCGGCTCTACTCCGCGCGACCGATCGTACCTACGAGCGTCGATGCGGTTGTGTGGGACATGTAGGCGGGGAGCGCCTGCAAGGCGCTCCGATGCAACATGGGGGCCTGGCAGTTCTCGTGCGAGGGCGCCTTCCTGCGCCCAACCCGCTGCAGAGTTCCGCCAGCATCCACCAGGAGATGCGGGGAGGAGAGGCGAAATCGAACGCTCAACGCAAATGCGTACACGCAGTGATGTGAATAGTTTGTGGACCCATCCTTCCGCTGCAGGGTGAAACGAAGGAGGGAAGGAGGAGGAAGAGGAGGTGGACGTAGGATGGATCCACGCGCCAGCGCTTGCACGCACATCGACTAGCCCACCGGATCGATGGGCCCGACCAGCTCACTTTCCCGCGCCGGTGTTTCCCCTGCGCCGCGCGCGCCGCCACTCTCGCTGCCGAGCTGCGCCGCGCGGCGCCGACGCCTGGCGACGCCAGCAGTGGCCTCGATCAGGCACGGCGGCCCCGGGCCGAGCTCCCATGCCGGGCTTCACTCTCCCATTCGTTCGATGCTCGTTTCGGGGACCTTCCTGGAGCCCACCTAACGGATCTGTTCGACCCCAGTTCGACTCAAGTTCGACTCAAGTTCGAATCAAGTTCGACTCAGGTTCGACTCAGGTTCGACCCAGGTTCGACTCAGGGTCGACCCAAATCGACTGACGTTCGACGCAGCTTCGACGCACGAGTGGAGCGAGTGGCTCCAGGAAGGTCCCCAGAACGAGCATCCAACGTTCGTCCCCCCTCTCCCCCTCCCGGCGCTCTGCCTCGGGGCCCGCCGTGCCGCCGCTTGCAAAAAGCAGCGCGCCTCCGCTGCGCCTTCCATTTTTGGGGCCCGTCCTCCCCGACGTCGATGCCGCTCGCCCGCGCGCCCGGGCCGAGGGCCTCGACGAGGCCTACCGCGGGCGGGGGGCGCCTTGGGGCACCCGCGGTCTCGTCCGCGGCCGTCGCTGCGACCGCTCCCTTGCCCATGCCCGCTCGCGGCTGCTCGGCGGCTTGCCTCCGAGCGGGGCCCCCGCTCTCCCGGAGGGCGCCCGGTGGGCTGGCAGCGGGCGCTGCGTAAAGGGGGGTGCTCTGGGGCCCGAAAGGGATGGTGTGGCGGCTGGGGGCGGTGCTCCGGGGGCACGCCGGGGAGGTCTGGAGCGCGGCCTGGTCCCCAGACAGTGCACGGCTGCTCACGGGCGGCGCAGGCTCGGGGGCGGCCGCAGGGGCGGACATCGGAGGGCACCAGCCGTGCACCGCCGTGGCGGGGTCAGGGATGGTGCTCTTCCCGTGCAAGTCAGGAGCCCGGCAAGGGGCCCCCTGGGGCCCGAAAGGGAAACCAAAGTGTTTTTTTGTTCTTCGGCCCCCCCCCATTCATCACCCCCCATCGAGCAACGCCCAGTGGCAAGGTGGACACCGCCACCCTGTCCAGCGGGATGCTGGTCTCGGTGTGATTAGTCCTCCCGTCGACCTTCTTCTTCCTCGGCACCTCATCGGCACCTGTCCGCCACGGAGATGCTTGGAGTACCTGCTGCTTCGTGCGGCGTCCACTGCCGCCTCCACGCTGCGCACCGGAGCTGCGTGGAGCCATGGCCCTTTGGTACTCTTAGTCGGAGGTTGACAGACCTCCTACCCTGACACGTCGATTAGCGAATTGGCCGTTTTCGGTTCGCGAGAGGGCGTCGCGGCCGTCGTTTTTGCGGGTCCATGTCCGTCGGTTTCGGTCCGAGGGTGTTTTCACGAAATGGAGGTTTACTAAAGGGAGGCTTGCCCACCGCCGATTTAGGTGTTTGTCACTCTGCCTCGGGAGCGCCAAGACGCGCTCGCTTAGCCAGAGCTTGCCCTTCTCGTCGAGGCCTCTGGCCCGCCGGGCGATTGCCACCCTCGATGGCCGCGGCCGTGGCGCGCCAGCGATCAGCGCTCTCGCGAGGGGAACGAGGAGCAGAGGGTAATGGAGGGCGTGCAGGAGAATGCGCGCAGAATGGGGGGTCTAAGGTGTTTGGCGTTCTAGGGTTATGATGTTCTAACCTGTTTTAGCCTTGATCATCACAACGAATTTCGAGCACCAGCGAAGCACCGAAATTTGAGGGTTTTCACGTGTCGGGCCCTGGGAGACTCGTCCGGCCCTGTTTCGACACTCTTTCGACAGTTTTCCGGGTGCTCGACATTATTGCTGGGATGTGGTCCTTAAGTTCGATGGGAGCAACATAATTCTATGGGGGGCTCTGAGGGGTTTTGCGGAGCTCCTGCAGGTTGGGAGGAGACGCAGCGAGGGTCGCGCCGCGGGAGAGGATGAGAGGGGAGGATAGGGAGGATAGGGGGTAAGGCGTAGTCGCGCTTTCTAGAAGCATGAGTATTCGTCCATTAGCGTGGGCGGTGGAATATGGCGCGCCAGTGGAAGGAATGCCTCTGTGGTAGGGCTGCTACTGATCTAACTCCTCATTTCCCTGTTCCTCCTACTCATCAACCTTGTGTTCCCCGTCATCTCCCTCATTCACGCTCGCCTCCTCTTCCTCTTCCCAGAACGCCCTAGGATATCGCGAACTCATCCTCCGCGTGTTTCTATATTCTACCCTCCCATCCTCGCAATGCTCCTCCTATCACTCCTCATCCCTCTCACACTCCACTTCCTCCTTGTCCCTCGCTCCTCTTCCTCCTCCTTCTGAAGAATCGTCTTATTCCTCCTCCTTCTCCTCCTCCTCCTTCTCCTCCTCCTCCTCCTCCTCTTCTTGGTTCTCTATGTACAAGACTCTAGAACAATTTCGCAACATCATTTCTCCTTGGCGTCCTCGTCCTCCTCCTCGGCCCATCTGCTCCGCATCCTCCTGTCCCCCCCCCCCTTCCGGGCTCCCGACCCAAGGCGGCGGCAGCTCCCGCGGAAAAGGGCACGGTGGTGTTCCCGGTGGGCATGCCGGACGAGGGGAGGGAAGCATTTGCTGTCGCGCGCAAGTGTGCAGGGAAGGGGTACTAGGAGGTTGGGGAGAAGAAGACGCAGCAGCCGAATGTCGAAGGGGGGGGAAGGGGGAGAAGCGAAGATGGAAGGGGGGGAGCGAGGAGGACAGGAAGCAGGGGGAGGGGACCAATGGGGGGGGGTCAGGATGAGGCGAGCGCGGCTGCGGAGACAGAGGACGAGGAGAGGCAGAGCTTCACAAGCGAACGAGGAGCCCCGTGGCAGGAAGCGGGACGCGACACGGCAGACAGACGAGCCGAGGAGAGGAGGCGGATTCGCCCCCGAGTTTTCCACTCCCCCCCCGCTCCCCCTCCTGAGAGAAGGGGTACGGGGAGGGGATACGCAGCTCGGGAGGTATGACGTGTACGGTCGGACCGAGGTGCAAGATCGAGGTTGGTTCGGGGAGGGTGCCTTAGTCTTCTTCGTGTTTGTTGGATGCTCTTGTGCACCCTGGGGGAAGGTACCCTCGAACATGTTCTTCGGATTGGCCGGCGGAGGGTCTCGTATTCTTGGCGGATGTTATTATGTCCTAGATCTGGCTGTATCCGTAGCACTCGCGCCGTTGCGAGCGGTTCTTAGTAACTTTTTGTGACCTCAGGGGGCCGTCCCCCCCTGTTTCTTTTGGTTGTGAGCACACTCCCCCCTCCCCCTCCTGCTGCTGCTCCTCCTCCTCCTCCTTCCCCCATTCTTCTTCACCTCCTCCTCCCCCATGCTGCTCCTCCTCTCACCTCCTTCTCTCCCTGCTGCTCCTCCTCCTCCTCCGCCTCCTCCTCCTCCTCCTCCTCGTCTCATTCCTCCTCGTCGGCGCCCGCGTCGCGGGCCACCGATTAGTTCCCCATTATTGTGAGCCGTGCGTGCTCCTTGGGCGTCCCTGTACGACGGAGGAACGTGTCGCCGCTATAAGAGGATTGCCGTATAGATCGGCACAGTCATCGTCGAAGGCGTTGCCCAAAAAGCTTCTCCTTGATCTCGTCGTAATTGCAGTGCGGTTACAATTTCACCGTAGGAGGTCGTTGGTGTTGCACCCCCCCTCTCCGTTTTTCTCGGCGGGGAACAAACTCCGCCCCTTCTCCTCCCCTTCTCCTGCTCCTCCTCCTCCTCCTCCTCCTCCTCCTCCTCCTCCTCCTCCTCCTCCTCCTCTCCTCCCTCTCCTCCTCCTCCTCCTCCTCCTCCTCCTCCTCCTCCTCCGCCTCCTCCTCCTCCTCCTCCTCCTCCTCCTCCTCCTCCTCCTCCTCCTCCTCCTCCTCCTCCTCCTCCTCCTCCTCCTCCTCCTCCTCCTCCTCCTCCTCCTCCTCCTCCTCCTCCTCCTCCTCCTCCTCCTCCTCCTCCCCCCCCCCTCCTCCGTCTCCTCCTCCTGCTCCTCCTCGTGGTCGTTACCGTAGTCGTCGTCGTTGTCGTCGATGCTCGCAGATTATTTTCCTTATATTTTTGGGCGTGCCGGGTCATGTTTGGGGGATCCTCCTCCCAGGGAGTTAGCCACTGTGGGCTACCCTGCACGCGGGAGTGTGCATATGATCATATCCTCATGAGAATGGCAAACGGAATCAGTGGTTGCGGTTGTAGTCGTGATTGTGGTCGTGGTTGGAATCGTGATCGTAGTCGTGATATTAATAGTAATTTTGATTGTAGTCGTAATCGTCGCCGTCGCGGTTGGTATTTTGTTTTCGCTTATGTTCCCCGCCTTGGGTGATGTCGGGGGTTCTTTCTCCAGCGAGTAATGGTCTCTGGGCTACCCTGCAGGTCAGAGGGATCTTGAGCACGTGTGTAAGAGGATTGCCAGATAGATCGGCATCATTTGCCGAAGGCGTTGCGCACAATCTACTATCCGTAGTCGTAGCCGTAGCCGTAGTCGTATCGTCGTCGTCGTCGTTGTTGTGCGGCGGGTGATTCGGATAAATAAGTATGTTCCGTTAGCGGTGGGATCACAGTCCGTCAATGAGGTGGCCGAGAAGATCATTACTTTAAGCTGTGGGGCGGGTTCAAGAGACCTTTAGCGGTTACTAACATCTGGCACCCCTCCAGCAGTAGCCGCTGCCCTGCCGCCGCCTCTTGGCCCGCAGGGCCGTTAAGCGTCGTGTCGCGCAGGCTGCGTCCCCCTTGGCGCGCGCGACAGAAGACAGAACGCAGCCTCGTCTTTCTGCGGGTCCCATTACTGCTCATAGGAGTACTCCGAGTTTCTGAATAAGCGTGGGGGGGCGTCACTCCCGCCGACAGCCCCACATCGACCCCCGTCGCGGGCAGCCACCGCGCGCCGAAGGCGCTCCGACCCTCGTCGCGGCGCGACGACGAGGCGAAGTTGACACCCGTCGGGGGGGTACCCTTCCACGCTTCTTGAGAAACCCAGAGCAGATACCCCAGCTGTTTTGAGCACAGTGATGTCCACATGCCGTTATTACCATCATCGTAGCGGATGGGGAGGAGCGCAGCAGGAAAAGGGGGCAGGCGGGGGGGGGAGCAAGCGGTGCCCGCGGATCGGTCGCTTCGGCTGCCTCGGAGTCGGCTGCGCTGGGTCGGCTCGCGTCGGTCGGATGGCGCATCGTTCCCAGGTCGCTGCGCCTTGCTGGATTGCTTGTTTCGGGGGCGGTCAAGAGGGGGGTAATGATTGGGGAGGGGGTATCATGGCGGAGGCCATGATCTCTCTCCAGAGTTCAGGGCGCCTCTTCTTACTTCTTTACGTCCCCGGCCCCCCCATGGGCCGCGGACAATCCGCCGGCCATGATTTGCACCCCCTCCTCTTGGGCGCCCCCCTCTTGGCCGCCCCCAAGATTTCTTGCCTCCCTTTGCATTTGTGCCAAGTTTGTTTCGGACGCGCCTCGCCGCCAGCTCGACCGCCTGCTGGGCCCAGCTCGCCGCTGAGCAAACTTCGGCGTGTTGGTTTTGGTTCGATTCGGTTTCGCCATAGGTTCGGTCATTTGTTGTTTGTGTTGTCGCCCATGGTGGTCTTCGGGGGCGGAAGCAATGGTGTGCGAGGAATGGCGCCGAGGGGAGAGCCAGGATGAGGATGAGGAGGAAGACGGGCACGCGCTCGAACGTGCTTCATGTTTGCTACGCTCACAGGACGAGGGCACATTCGATGTGGTGGATGCCTTTCTCGAGAAGAACCCTTCGTACACCGAGCTCAGCGACCGCAAGGCCCGGACGCGAGCGTGGGGAGGGGGAGGACCAGGAGGAATGGACGAGAAAATAGGTCCTCTGGACCTCCATTAGACCTCCACTGGTTCTAGCAAAGTATTTCGAGGCAGACCCAGAAATCGACGGGGCCCCCAGGAGGACCGACCATGCCCCCGCTGTCACCAGGAAGTTGGGTATACATGGCGCGGCTAGCCTGGTCGGGAACTAGAAATTCGTACGCATGTGGCCAGTTGCCTTTTCCGGTGCTCTGTCCTTCGATGCCCGTGTGAAGCGTTTTGACCTCCGCATGCGCATCTACCGCGCGACCTCCAGATGCTTCTCGCGTGAACCCGGCCATGAGTGCTTCCACCTCCCCGGTATCATCCCCCATCCCTCCTCCACTCAGGAGGAAAAGAAACACACAGACATAATGAATCCTCGATTCCCCAGGAAATATTGGAAAATATGGGAAGTGGGGGGGAAGACAGAAACCCAGAAAATATGGGAAAATATGGGGGATATTTTTATTTGTGTGTATTTATTTGTGTGTCCTGGGGCCCCCTCCTCCACTCTCCTCTGATGGCTCCCGCTGCGCGTGGCATCAAAGAGAGGTGCTGGAGTGGGCGATCAAGAGCGGGGCGTGGAAGGGCAACAGGGTCGCCTCCAACGACAAGCCGCCCTTCGACTTCGGCATGGAGACGTCGTGGCTTCGGCCTTCGGCCTCGGGCCCCTCTTCCCCCCTCCTCCTCCCCCTCCCCCTCCTCCTCCCCCTCCTCCTCCTCCTCCTCCTCCTCCTCCTCCTCCTCCTCCATCCTGTCCTCATTATTTGTTTTGTCATCGGCCTCCTCCTCATCCTCCTCTTCCTTCTCTGGTCCGTCTCCTACTCTGCTGCCCCCCTCTCCGTACTACTCGCCGTTCCTCCTCATCAGTCTGCCCCCTCCACATATTCCTCCCCCTCTTGCTGCTCCTCTCTACTCCTTTTCCCCCTCCTCGTCCTCGTCGTCCCCTTCTTCCTCCTCCTCTGCTACTGCTCCTTTCCTTTAGCCCCCCGTCCCTCCGTTCCCTCCGTCCTCCTCCTCCATCATATCCCCCTCCCCCCTCGCGCGCGCGGTGAGAGGGATGGAGGGAAGGAGAGTGAGGAGGAGGAGGAGGAGGAGGAGGAGGAGGAGGAGGAGGAGGAGGAGGAGGAGGAGGAGGGAGGAGGAGGAGGAGGAGGAGGACGAGGAGGAGGAAGTGCTGATGCACAAGGGCACGCGCACAGCTCGGTGGGCGGGGGGGGGGGTCGGATCGGAATCGACTCGCCCGAGCGCAGACAGCAGGGTGCACCGTGGCACCAGCCATCTTCATTCATGCAATATTATGTATGTGCAAAACTGCAAGCACGAGCATTCCAAGGGTCAGAATAGATGCACGTATTAATTCTCTGACTCGTAACGAACACTTGCGCAGCATAACAGCTGCAATACACAGACAATTCAGCACTGCTCAACATTGCGTGACACAGGAAAGCTCCACTGCTTGATTCCGCTGCTGTAGTTTTTGCAGCCAACACCTGGAGAGCAGGTACCGGCTACAACGCCGAGGCGATTCCTATGTACGGCCCTCAAGCTCAGGTTTCGGACATACACCTTGAACAGGTGCGTCTCCAGATTCATCCTGAACTCGGCGTCGCTGCCACCAAACTAGTATGTTTTGGTATCTGGCCTCCAGCGCCTCATTATCACCGGAATCGTCGAAGGAGCTGAAGATCTCTAATGTGCCATTCACGCCACAGATTCTCAATTTTTTGACTGGTGGTCCTCGTAGGTGGTGTTGCACACGGCGACCTTCTGCTCCATGGCCGCCTCGCCGCACGGGTCGACGGCCTCCCTGTCAGCGGGCTCGCGAGTCCCGCAGGCGGTGTGCTTCAGTCCCTTGTTGTCCACGTTGGGCGGATTGTCCTCGACGCTTTCGTCGAGTGCCTCCGTGTCGGCGGGCTTGCCGCTGCTCGCACTGGCCAGTAATGGGCCAGACGTGTCGGGGTCTGCTTGTCGATGTGGACCAGGCTCTTCAAGGACGATGCACACCTGGGACTCGCAAGTGGTGTCGCTCAGCACCCTATGGTCCACGATGAGCAGGCCATCGTGGCGGACATCGATCTTCTTTTTCTGTTGAGCAGGCAGGCTTCCAGCATGCCGATGCACGAGGAGGAGGAGCAGAAGGAGGATATTGAGGGTGAGCAGGATGAGGTGGAGGGGGGGGGCAACGATCTCTGGAGGCCCCCTCGCCGCCAAGGCTGGATGCGCCTCGAAAGAACTTTCAGAGCGCTCACCACAAGAGGACAGATGGATGACCTTGAGAGGAGGGAAGAGAGGAGGAGAATGGTACATTGTAAGCTGGAGGGGGAATATAAGCAGGAGGTGGAGAAGGCGACGTGGAAGGAAACTGAGGAGGGGATGGAGGAGGCGAGTGAAGGAGGCAGGGAGCGGAGGAGGGGGAGGAAGGGGGGGAGGGGAGGGGACGGGGACGGAGCGGCGCGAAATCGCTGAGCGTCCTCTTGTGGGGGAGGAGATGCTCGACAACAAAAGCGCCTGCCGCGTGATCGGCTCCATGGCCCCCTGCGTTCCCCGCGACTACGTGTTCATGGAGGCGCCGGGGCGCCCATGTAGCCATCTGCCGCTGCCTCCCTCTCCCGGCCCTCCCCGACCCCTCACGTCGCCTCCCCTCGCCGCCTGCCGTGCCTGCCAATCCCCCCCCTCGTCGCCGCCCCTCCTCCCTCCGCCCCCTCCCCTCCCCCCTCGTCGCCGCCCCTCCCCACCCCCTCGTCGCCGCCCCCTCGTCGCCGCCCCTCCCCATCCCCTCGTGCCTGCCCCTCCGCCGCCCCCCCGTCCCTCTCTACAGTCGGGCCCTGCTGCGGTTGCTGGTATGCGGCCTCGCGGGCGTCCTCGATCAGCGGGCTCGTGGTCGTTCGAGGGTAGTTACTGGCTCCAAACACGCGTTGCACACTTCCATTTTGCAAGCCCTTGTAATACACAGGATCCTTTTGATATTGATTCCATGGTATGCTGCTGACCTCCGCTGTCGTCGGCGCGCTCCAGGCTGTCCACAAGCCTTCCGCCCTAATCACACTCCGCAACCGCATCTGTCGATCTGGCTTCGGACGACAATATTTCACAATTCCTCCCAAAGCTTCCACTTGCAATGTGCGCGTTGAGACGCACAGTGTTATCAGTCACGTTTCCTCATCGCAGTGTTCTCGTGCCGCGCATGGATAGCGGTGGCGGGGGTGGCAGGAAAGAGATCGTCTCTGGAGCCCCCGCGGCCGAGGTGAAGGGGAACCTGTGCCCAGAGGATCGGAAAGCCAACCTGCAGAAGTTCAGCTCTGCCAAGTTCAAGAGGGTCGCCAGGGTGGCCATGGGGAAGCCTCCGAAGGACGGTCGAGCAAAAGGGGGACGACGAGCAGTAGCACGGACCAGGGCCACGGCCGGCATCAGGAGCCAGACGAGGATGAGCCGGAGCTGAAGTAGGATGGGGCAGTTGACGCTGCAGGTGCCAGCGCCTTGCAGCATGCCAACAGGAATGTGGCAGGGGTAGAGGAAAGTCGGAGAGGTCGACGTATGAGGAGAGGGAGTCTGATGGGGAGCGAGAGGGGAGAAGGGTGAGCAGGAGTTGGAGGGAGACGGAGGATCCAGGGGAGAAGGGAGGGGGAGGACGCAGGAGGGAAAGGGATGAGAAGAAGCATAAGACGGAGGACGGAAGAAGTGAGGGAGAGAATGAGAGCAGTGAGGAGCAGGAGGATGAGGAGGACAATGAGAAGGATTCAAAAATTATGAGGTAGGAGGGCGGAGGCTGAATGAAAAGGAGGAGGATGACGGAGGGAGGAGAGAGCAAGGAAGAGCAGGCAATGATGGATGAGGAAGGATGGGGACGGGTGGTATGGGACGGGCGGGGAAAATGACAGAGGGTTAGTATAGGCCAGACGGGGAAATATGCATGGAAGCGGGGGGTGAAGGAAGAAGGTAAGAGAGGGCATGGAAGCGGTGGTCTTGCTGGCGAAGTTTTCCGGCTGGTCTGGGGAGTGTTGAATTCTTCCGAGAGCTTGGGGAGGCGCGATGCAGGGAGGAGAGAGGAAGAGGGCGGAGGAATATGCAGAAGAGAAGTCGGAGGAGCGAGAACGAAGAGACTGACGGTATGGAGAAGACAGCGGGAAAGGACCATAACCACGAAAAAACATGGAGAGAAGTGGGAGAGGGAGAGGGGGTGCGGGAACCAAGGGAGGGGGCGTGCAGCTAGGAGTGGAGGGAAAGGATTGTAATTTGGGGATGCGGGGGGCGGGGGAGTTGCCATGGGAGGGGTGGGGAAGGATAATGGACCAGACGGGGCGGAGGGTCGTCAGCCCCGAAATGTGTTACAGGAGTACATCGCGAGGGTGCACAAGACCCTGCTCGAGCAGAAGCAGGCGAAGCTGGAGCTGGAGTGGAACAAAAGGAAGGCCGAGAAGGCGAAGCAGAAGGCTTTCAAGCTGAAACAGAAGGAACTCGCTGAAAAAAGGAAGAAGGCAGAGGAAGATAAGAAGAAAAGGGAGGAGGAGGCCAAAGCCAAGAAGGAGGAGGAAGCCAAGGCCAAGAAGGCGGCTGAGGAGGCCAAGAAAACGGAAGCAGAGGGTGAGAAGAAGGAGGAAGCAACGAAGGGGGAAGAGACCAAGGAGGCGGCCAAAGAGGAGCCCAAGACGGAGGAGGCCAAGGAGGAGCCCAAGACGGAGGAGGCCAAAGAGGAGCCCAAGACGGAGGAGGCCAAGGAGGAGCCCAAGGTCGAGGAAGAGGAGGAGGAGCCCGACGAGCCGATGCCCGTGGCTGAGCTCACCGAAGAGGAGAAGGCGATGATGTAAGAGGCTATCGCCATTCCGCCGATTCCGAGAAGAGGAGATGTGCGGCTTCAGATTTCGTACTTAGCACCCCGCAGTTGCGGATAAAGTGTGGAGGCGGCGAGGACGTCGGCAGCCTGCGAGGCTCTGAGGAAGCTCGCCGCAGGCGCTGATTTTTTCGTTGAAGCAATGTCAGTGGGTCGCGGGGTGGGTCGCGGGTGGGTCGCAGGCCAGGTCGCGGTTGGGCCGCGTATGCGTCGCATGTGGGTCGCGGATGGGTCGCGGGCGGGTCGCGGGGTGGGTGGCGGGTGTGTCGCGGGGAGGTCGCGGGGTGGGTCGCGTGTGGGTTGCGAGGTGGGTCGCGGGTGGGTCGTAGGTGGGTCACGGGGTGTGTCGCGGGTGGGTCGCGGGTGGGTCGCGTGTGGGTTGCGAGGTGGGTCGCGGGTGGGTCGTGGGTGGGTCACGGGGTGTGTCGCGGGTGGGTCGCGGGTGGGTCGCGGGGAGGGTCGCGGGGGGGACGACGACAACAACAACGACAACAACATTAACAACAACAACACCAACAACAACAAAGGAAAGGCGTGCACTCCGGCCCCGGTCAGGGCCGGAGCCTCCGGTGTCACTCCCCCAGTGGACGGGCGCACACTCCGGCTCCGTGGGTCTGTTGGCCTGAGACGCTGTGTGACGACGACTTCTCCGGCCCTGCGAGAGGCCATCTGCGGCGGTTTCGCGCCGCGGTGGGCAAACGTACACTCCGGCCCCGTATGCACCTTCATCTGTGCTGTTCCCTCCACAACACGCTCCCCATGCGCTACCCCTTTCTCTGGCCCCGTGTGCAGCTAAGACACCCTCATGGACCCTCACGACTCTTGACGAAAGCTAAAGGCTCCCTCAGGGACCCTCACGACGACGACGGCGGCGGCGGCGCCGCCGCCGCCGCCGCCGCCGTCGAGAGGGATGCGGATTTTTCTGGGGTGCCTCCCGGCCACGTCTCGCACGGCTCCTGCGGCACTCGGCCCCGCGCGGGGGAGCCTGCCCGGCAGAGAGCCCGGGGGCCCGCGGAACTCAGAGGGAACCGCGGGCGCAGCATGTTAGCATGAAACAAACGGGCCCTGAGGGAAAGGGGTCCTGGAGCGGCGGGGCTCCCCCCGCTTTCACCCCGAGTCGGCCTTCCAAAGTCGGCTTTTTCCCCCGGTTTCACCCCGACACGGGCTCCCCCCGCTCTCACCGCCGAAGAATTGCAAGATATCCTTAAAGAGGAATCCTATGGGATCGCAAGGGGCCTTCAGGCATCCGGGAAAACCTTTGAGGAAGATCCCGGGGCATCAGTGTGGATCCTGCGGAGGAAGCCACCAGACACTTTGGAGGGGGCGGGGGGTCCTGGTGAACCCTAAGGAGTCCTTGGGGGTCCTGAGGAATCCTGACGTGTCTCGAGGAATCCTTGGGGGTCCTGAAGAATTCTATGATATCCGGAGGAATCCTGAGCAGCCCCTCGGGATTCTGAGAAACCCTGGGGAGATCCTGAAGACTCCTTGAGGGTCCCACGGGCTCCTGTAGGATCCTGCGGAACCCTGGGGATCCGGGAGGAATCGTGAGGAATCTTTAAGGGCCCAGAGGAATCCTAGCGAATCCTGAGGAGTCCTGATGAGAGCCCAGAGGAAGCCTAGGGGATCCTGAGGAATCCTTGTGGGTCCTGGTGGGTCCCGGCGGACCCTGAAGAATGCGAAGGAGTCTTGTGGAATCCTGAGGGGTACCCCGAGGGGATCTTGAGGAATCCTTAGGGCTCCTTCGGGGTTTCCGGGCATCCTGGGGGACCTTGGGGATCCTAAGGAAACACCGTGGAGAATCCGTAGGACTCTTTTTGAGGGGGGGTCCTGGGGAGTCCTGAGGAGTCCTGGGGAATCCTCGGGAGTCCTGAGGTGTCCTGGGGAGTTCTGACAACTCCAAAGGAATCCTGATGAGCCCAGAAGAAGCTTAGGGGATCCTGGGGAATCCTCGTCTTTCCTGGGGATTCCTGAAGAGCAGAGCGGAATACTGAGAAACCCGAGGGAGATCCTGAAGAATCCTTTGGGGCCCCCAGGGTTCCTGTGGAATCCTGAGGAGCCCTGGGGCCTCGGGAGGAATCGTGAGGAATCCTGGGGGATCCTGAGGAATCCGGACGAATCCTGCGGAGTCCTGATGAGTCCAGAGGACACCTTGGGGATCCTGATGAATCCTGAGGAATCCTGAGCAATGCTAATGGGGGTCCGGAGGAATACTGAGGGGTACCCAGAGAAGATCTTGGGGACTCCTTGGGAAACCTGGGCCTTCAGCATTCTGATGAATCTTGGGAGAACCTGAAGAATCGTTGTGGGTCCTGAGGTAGAATCCATCGGAGTCATTTGGAGGGGGAGGGTCTTGGGGAGTCTTGAGGAATCCTGGGGGGTCCTGAGGAGTCCTCACGTGTCTTGAAGAATCCTTGGGGGTCCGGCGGAATTCGAAGATATCCGGAAAAATCCTGAGGACCCCAACGGAATCTTGAGAACCCCATGGGGAGATATAGAAGAATCCTTGGGGATCCCCAGGATTCCTGCGGGATCCTGATGAATCCTTGGGATTCGGGAGGAGTCCTGAGGAATCCTGAAGGTTCTTGAGGAACCCTGACGAATCCGAAGGAGTCCTGATGAGTCCAGAAGAAGCTTCGGGGAATCTCAGGAATTCTTCTGGGTCTTGAGGAATCTTCGGGAATCCTGAAGAATGCTTAGAAAATCGTCAGGATCCGGAGGGGTACCCTGAGGGGATTATGAGGAATCGTGGGCGATCCTGAGGAGTCCGTAGGCGTCCTGAGGAGCCATGGTGGATCCCGAGGAATCCTGAAGTGTCCCGAGGAATCCTTGGGGATTCTGAAGAATTCGAAGATATCCTGATGAGTCCTGAGGAGCCCAACGGAATCCTGAGAACCTCATGGGGAGATCCTGAATAATCACTTGGGATCCCAAGGATTCCTGGGGGATCCTGAGGAATCCTGGGGACTCCGGAAGGAGCCTGAGGAACCCTGGAGGATCTTGAGGAATCCTCGGGAGTCCCGCGGAATGGCTCCTGAGGGATCCCGAGGAAACCTGGGGGGTCCTCAGGAATCCTTGGAGATACTCAAGAGTCCGGAGGAGTCCTCAGAAATCCAAATAATTTTCGAGGGATTCGCGGAAATCCTGGGGAAACCTTTGGAACCGCGCCAGAAATGCCGACCTCTTCTGTTGCCCCGTGGGGCACCTTGCGCTTGCCGCCTCAGTGCCAAACCCTTCTCTGGCCCCGTGAGGCAAGCCCTTGGTTGCTGGAGCTTTGCTTGCCCGTAAAGAATCAGCATTTGAGTTTTGAGAGAAGAAAATGAGTATCTCAACAACAAGCCGGGGCCGGTGTCAACGCCTTACCGAACAACAACAACAACCACATCAACAACAGCAGTCATGTTAAGACTGGTCGCTCTTATCTGCTCGCGTGTCATTCAATATGCAGATCCCAAACCCTGGATACCCGCCCTCTTCGTCTTCGATCGTACCGCCTTTCGGGGGGTATACTCATTTCCTTCCACGTGTGGTTGGTGAAGCCCTTGAAATCGAAACGAAGGCCATTCTTCGATGGGGCCGCAAAGGGCGATAACGGGGCCAGCGAGGGCAGCAGAGGGGCCACGAAGGGCAGCGAGAGGGCCACGAAGGGTGACAGCGGGGCTACGAAGGGCATGCGTATGGGGCCACGACGGGCGACTGCGAGCGGGGGCCACGAAGGGCATATAACGCGGGGCCACAGTGGGCAGCGACGGGGCCACTGAGGGCAGCAACAGGGCCACGAAGGGCAGCGAGCGAAGGCGACCGCGGAACCAGTACGGACAGCGAGGGGCATCGAAGGCAGCCAAGGGCAGCGAGCGGCGACTGCAGTCCCTAACGGGCTGGTCGGGCGGGCAGGCCCGGACGGGCGGGTCGAACGGGCGGGTCGTTGAAGCGTAAATTCTGCTTGAACCGCTAGGCAATATGTAGCGGGAGCGCCATTCCTGAGTGTCGAGCAGCGGCATCTGAATAAAATGTGAGGAAGTATCAGGCGGGAGCCGCGATTCGGCGGTAAGTTGCGAGGAAGTCCCAAGCGAGAGCGCGATTCTTCAGTACATTGTGAGGAAATATCAAGCGGGAGCCGCGATCCGGTGGTAAATTGCAAGGAGGTCCAAAGCGAGAGCGCGATTATTCAAACAGTTGTGGGGAAGTATCCGGCGGGAGCCGTTGTTGTTGTAAACCGGGGGCCAACGACAAAGTTTGACCCTCAAAACTTGTCATTATAAAAGACATGGTGCGAGCCCCGGGAAGGGCGCTTCAAAGGAAAAAAACATGTGCACCGGACGGGGGGAATCAACAACAATGCTTCTTCAGAAGTGAGAGTTTAACAACAACAACAACAAACCGCACCACAGAACCTCACTTCAGCCTTGCGCCCAGGGACAGTGCATGACCGTTCCTTCACTCTGATGTGGTCGTTTTGGTTGCGTGTAGTAGTTGCTGAGTCGTCCTCCTTTTCCTCCGACTCTGTTGCGGGGCCTGTTGGGAGCATCTTGGAGGCCTAGGGGGCGGTTTTTGTGCGCTGTTCCAAGTCTCGAGGTGGCTGTAAGGGGTCCTCTTGGGGGCTGATTGGGGACAATCTTGTGGGGGATAGGAGGGGGTCTCCCCAGGTCCCTGCGCGGGGTTCCCCTCTTGGACGTCTCTTGGACAACTCTTGACGTCTTCTGGGCCTCGTGGGCCGGCTTGGGGCCCTCTCGGGCCGTTTCTGGTCCTTTTTGGGGGCCTCTTGGGGCCAGTCTAGGAGGGCTCTCGCGCCGTTCTTGGTGTGCAGACGCCCGCACAGGCGAGAATACGAACATATATACATAGCACCCCGCAGTTGCGGATAAGAGTGAGGGGGCGGGCGCGGGCGACGCGGACGTCGTCGAGCCGGCGGACCTCGTGGCCCCCACCTTCCCTGTCGATGGCGCTCTCCTCCTCCTCCTCGTCGTCCTCCTCCTCCTCCTCCTCCTCTTCCTCGTCCTCGTCCTCGTCCTCGTCGTCATCGTCATCCTCCTCCTCCATCTCGGCCTCCTTCTTCCTCGTCCTCCCTCTCCCCCCCTCGTCCTTCCATCATCGTCCTCCCATTGTCGTCCACCCCCTCATCGGCCTCCATCATCGTCCTCCCATTGTCGTCCATCATCATCATCATCATCATCATCATCATCATCATCATCATCATCATCATCATCATCATCATCATCCTCCCCCTCCTCCCCCTCCTCGTCCTCCTGCTCCTCCTCCTTTTCTTTCTCCACATTCTCCTTACATCCTCTCTTCTTTCGCGTCCTCCTCGTCCCCTGTTTACTCCTCCTGCCTCCCCCTCCTTTCCCAAGATAACGGCAACGCAATCCTTTTTTCCACTTTATGCTCCCCGACTTCTCTGATCAAGGCAACTCGCCAGGGCAAAGTTGCTGGACGGGCTGGTGTGGATGCGCGGGGCTTGAAGAGGTCGTTGCGGGCGCAGACGGCATGCAAAAATCCGCCGCCGCGCTTGTGCGGCATTGGTTTGTTCAGTGAACGTGGTTTGGGTCGCGGGTGGGTCGCGGGCTCTCCATCTCCACCTGGAAGGAATGCAAAAGCAGCCCGCCGCAGGCGCCGAAAAATTGGTTTGCACACTGAACGTGGAATGGGTCGCGGGTGGGCCGCGGGTTCTCCACCGGGGACGAATGCAAAAAATGCCCGCCGCAGGCGCCGAAAAAATTAGTATGTACCCTGATCGTGGTCGCGGTGGGCCGCGGGCTCTCCACCTGAAACGATGCAAAAGATGCCCGCCGCAGGCGCCGAAAAATATGGTTTGTACCCTGAACGTGGTTTGGGTCGCGGGTTGGTCGCGAGTTGGTCGCGGGGTGGGTCGCGGGCTCTCCACCTGGAAGGAATGCAACAAAAAACCAGCCGCAGGCGCCGAAAATGGTTGGTTTGTACCTTGAACGTGGTTTGGGTCGAAGGTGGGTCGCGGATGGGTCGCGGGTGGGTCGCGGGTGGGTCGCGGGTGGGTCGCGGGTGGGTCGCGGGTGGGTCGTCGGGTGGGTCGCGGGTGGGTCGTCGCGGGTGGGTCGCGGGTGGGTCGCGGGTCGCCGCGGGTGGGTCGCGGGTGGGTCGCGGGTGGGTCGCGGGTGGGTCGCGGGGTGGGTCGTGGGGTGGGTCGCGGGGTGGGTCGCGGGTGGGTCGCGGGTGGGTCGCGGGTGGGTCGCGGGGTGGGTCGCGGGGTGGGTCGCGGGCGGATCGCGGGTGGGTCGCGGGGTGGGTCACGAGGTGGGTCGCGGGTGGGTCGCGGGGTGGGTCGCGGGGTGGGACGACGACAACAAACAACAACAAACAACAACAAACAACAACAAACAACAACAACAACGAGAATCCGCACCGCGAAATCCCACTTCAGCCACGCACCCAGGGACAGTGAATGACCGTTCGGCCCCCTCACTCTGACTTTGAAAGCCCATGGACAATGTTAGCCAGCTTGGACCCAAGACAGTGCGTCATTGCACTGTGGAGTGACAGCTGTGCGAGGTAAGCTATATGCTGGCAGGTATGTCGTGCAAGCTATGTGGTGTGAGCTAAGCATGTGAAAACTATGCTGGATCAGCTATGCGGTGCAAACTGTGCAGTGTACGCTCGGCGGTGTGAACTCGATGTGAACGCTATGGGATCGATGCTATGTGGTGTGGGCTACGTTGTGTAATCTATGCGGTGCAAGCTATGTGGTGTACACGCTGCGGTGACAGCTACGCCGTCTAAGCTCAAAACACCGGGCGCCCACGAGGCGACACGGGCGGCAACGTGGCGCAACCTCGGCATACACCCCTGGCGAACGGGACGTTCACGAGGCGCCCACGGGGCGGCACGGGCGGCAACGTGGCGCAATCTCGGCTCGCACACGCCCCAAGCGCGGGGCGCCCGCCGGGCGCCCACGAGGGTGGCACGGGCCGCAGAATGCCGAAAACCGCCAAGGAAGAGACGGAAAAACCGTTACCCATCGGCCGTTGAAAATAGGTATTTTTGGATTCCCAGATTCCAATCTACTGTCAGCGCCTTCCTACTTCAAGAGTCGAGGGGTTTTCCCTCTTCCCTCCTCTTCAGGAGGCGGGGCGGTAACCCAATCTATTTCCAACGCCTTCCTACTTCACGTTTCTACCTACTTCTTCCGACCGATGGGTAGGTGCAAGCATTGTGTTTGGGGATCCACTGTTTCTGCCGCTTGAGACTCTCCTGCGGGTCCTCTTTCGGCCCTCGCTCGGCGTCTTGGGCCGCCGCGAGGCACCTCGTGCGCTCCCTGAGGCCTCTCTGGCGCGTTGTGGGGCTCTTCTGGCGCCATCGGAGGCTCCGAAGGCCAGGCCCAGGGGGGTGCGCCAGGGAGCCTGGCCCCCCCCCCCCCGTCCCGTCCCCGTTGATCGGGATTGGGGGCCCAGGGGAAAGGGGAACGGGAGAGGGGTGACAGTGCAGTCATCGGCCTGACCTAAGGAACGATCAATAAGGAACGAAGCCCCTTTTTTTTATCCCAAGGAATAACGCATAAGAAACGAAAAAGAACACATAACGCATAAGGAACTGTAAATAACGCATGCAAGCCTAAGGAACGACCGAGCCCCTTTTGAAAAGTAAGTGTTCCTTATTCAAGCCGCTCACTGTACGCCTTTTCGCCTCGGGCAAGCGAGGGTTTGCGGATTTTCAAGCCTGTCATCGTCAGCGACCTGGCTCCCAAGGTGCTCTCCAGCTCGTTCGGCAAGTTCTCGCTTCCCGAGAAGAGCGAGGGCTTCGATGAGATCATCTTCGAGTGGGAGAAGGAGGCGGCCTGCGCGAAGTACCTGAAGGACCACGTCCTGAAGCTGAAGACCACGTCGCGCATCGACGACCTCACACCGGGTGAGTGGTTTAAGACCACGTCCGGGGAGTTCGAGAAGCTGCTGACGGAGTGCCAGGAGAAGGCTAAGAAGGTGACGGACGCCCAGAAAAAGAAGGATCGCGACTATGATGCCGATCAGTCAATCGGTTGTCGACCGGGGCGCTTGATGAGGGCCGCCTCGCGCGACGGCGACGCTGGCGCTGGCACCTCAAGGTTGAACGAGAATCCTCGGGGGGGCCTATTTCGGGCCCCAGGCCACAAGGCTTCACGAGCAGTGGGGTCGACAGCCTCCCTGACCGCGGAGGTCCGTCGGACATATGTCGGCTGGCTCGCGGCATGAGACCGCATACGGCCCACGTCGTCAGGGCAGGGCCTTGCCGCAAGGGAGGGAGGGGGATCAGACAGCATCGCTGCCAGTTCGTACAACGCACGATCGCGCTTACGCATTTTTTCATGAGTGTTCATTCTCTGTAGTTGCACATATTTACGTCGGCCTGTACACACGATATAGATATATATGGATAGAAATATAGATAGATAGATAGATATATAGATATATAGATAGATAGATAGATAGATAGATAGATGGATAGATAGATAGATATAGATAGATATATAGATATATATATATATATATAGATAGATATATAGATAGATAGATGTATAGATGCGTGCGTTCACATAGCAGAGCGAGGGGGGCGAACTGTTTGCACCATCTCTGGGTGCGTGGATGAAGCGGATTCCGTAGCCCAAATTCTGCTTGTTCGATGCATGTTGAGCTTTTATTCCTGCAGCAATCATTGCTAATCGCCCCCCTCCGGTGCCCATATTGTCGTTTTTCAACTGAAGTGCACACCCCCAGGCTCGCACCCTATATTTTCTTTGCTTACGGGAAGGTCTTGAGGCTCAAACTGTGCCCCTGGCCCCGATCTACAACAAAAGCGGCTCACAATGTACTCGACGACTGCGCCCGCGACGTCTCGGAATCGCGCTCTCGCACGACACCCCCTCTCACCACCCACCAACCACCCCAACCCAACAGATTTACCCTCGATTTCTAGTGGGGGGGGTCCGGGAACATCGAAAAAACACATATGAAGCCCATACCCCCCCCAACCCGAAATTCGGGTCTTCGGGTTGGGTTGGGGTGGTCTGGTAGGTAGTCACCCTCACATTTTGCTCGGGAATCGTGCTCTCGCCCGAGGCCTCTTCACAGTTCGCGAGGTTCGGTTCAACGCCCCGCCCGCCGGTTGGGGCCCGCTCGCGGGTCTGGCCGCCCGACCCACCTGTTAGGGCACGCCCGCCCGACCAGCCCGTTGGGGTCCGCCTGCCAATCCTCCTGCCATCTCTCCCCCCCCTCAAGCTAATTGTTGTCCGCCCCCAATTCTCAGATTTCCCCCTTACCCCCCCCCTCGTTCCCTCCGGACTTCCTCGCTGTCTCCCTCTCCCTTTCTCCCTCTTTTTTTTTCGGGGCCACGCATCATGAATTACACTTGGTAGCCAAGGGACGGATACTCCTCGAAGGGGGCACGATCGAAGACGGAGAGGTTGGGCATCAGGGTTCCAGGGTTATACATGTTAGGTGACACGCGGTTAACGAAAAGTGATCCTCCTTGCGATGATTGTTCTAGTTGTCGTCCCTCCTTCAACCTTCGACCAACCCCAAGACATACCCGCGGCCCACCCCACGACCCACCCCGCGACCCACCCCGCGACCCAACCGCGACCCGCCCGCGATCCTTCCGCGTCCCATCCGCAAGTCACCCGTGTTGCTTTGACGAGGTGAAGGCAGCGCCTGCGGCGTGTTCGCTGTGCCAGAGTGAGTGTACCGAACGGCTTTACAACATCCATGATTGTTTGTTGATTGATGAGCTCGCTTCCACTGCTGAAGACCAATTATTCGTCCTGTGCTCATTTTGCTTGTCAAGGGAAAGTCTGAGGTCCGAAAACTGCACATTTTGCCCCCGAATTACTAGAACAGCGGCTCCCGTTTTATACCTCATCACAATGTATCATAGAATCGCGATCCCGTGAGAGACTTCCTTACACTGTGCCCTAGAAAGGCGCTCTCGCGTGGGAATTCTTCTCAAGTTTTTTCAGGCGCCGCGCCCTCGAAATTCAGTAATCACGCTCTCGCCCAGGAATTCCGGACGATTTATTCAGAACGGTCTGTTGCTATGTATTGAGGGTCCGTGTTTTCGTTCGAGATTTTTTCAGCTTACCCATAATGGCAATCTTGCTCGGGACTTCCCATCGAAACCAGTTGTCTTAGCCAGCCCAACCAGCCTGCCACATCAACCCAACCGACCCAACCAGCCAACCAGCCCAACCAGCCACCCCGCCCGCCACCCACCCAACCCGCCCACCCCTGCCGCCTGCCCTCCGTCACCACCGAGCGGGGGGGCGGGAAGTGTTCCTCACAAACGTGAGCAAGAACAATTCCTCCCCCCGTGCCCGGCGGAACAGCGGGAGGAGGCCAAGTCCAACCGTGTCGTGTTGGACCAGGCTTCCTGCCGAGGGGTGCCCAGGTCGATGTGGGGCTTCAAGCGGGACTTTGTTGTTTTGTTTTGCATTTCGCCGAGTTTGTTTCTTCAATGGAAGGCTGCCATCCTCGAAACTGTCGTAGCGTTACATGCGCCCCTGTGTCGCTTCTTACAGGGCACGGCGGTACGGCCAAGAGGCCAGATCTCACAGCAACGTTGGGGACTGCCCCAGGGCCTGCCGAGGGAAACACCGCCATTCTCCAACGGGCCGTGCCTTTCCAGGCTCCGCGTGGGGCTTCTCCGAAGGCCTGGAGGCATGGCCACGGGGGGGGCACACCGCACAGCAGCCACAAGGAAACCGCCACCTGGGCCAGTCAAGGGACGGGCTCCCAGCTCTGCACCCGCCTTCTCTTCTCGGGCCCCGCGTGAGGCTTCTCGAGGGCCCGGCGTGGCGGCCGGGTAAGCCCGAGGCTCTCGTCCTCAAGACTGTGCTCATGCTTGAGGGACCCGCGTGGGGGCCCAGGGGCTTCTCGAGGGTCCGTCCGGACGGCCCGGGGACGCCAAGTCGCATAGCAGCGTCGGGGGCCGCCGACCAGGCCGGACGCCCTCGGGACATGCACAGCTTGACACCGCCGTGCTCCTCGGGCCGCCGGTGGGGATCCCTCTGGCCGCTGTGGTCTCCTTGGCTTTCCAAGTGTCTCCAGCGGCTCCCACAGCCTCCACGGTGAGGGAGGGAGAGGAGGAGGGGGAAGAGAAGAGGGGGAGGAGGTGTGGCGGCAAGTGGACGAATCGGCGGAGGAGGATGGGAGAACGTGAGGCGGAGTGATAGGAGCGGGAAGAACAGGCTAGAGACGAGGAGGAGCAGGAGGAGGAAGAGGCGGAGCAGACGATCATGAGGAAAGCAGAGGAAGGAGGAGGCGGACGACGACGACGAGATGGCAGAGGAGGGAGGAGGAGGAGGAGGAGGAGGAGGAGGAGGAGGAGGAGGAGGAGGAGGGCGAGGCACGAGACACACAACACAGGAGCAGGGAGAATGAGGAGGCAACACGACGCTCCTGGGAGTACATTTGACCACATGGGGCGTCACAGGGTGTGGGTGTGTACACACTTATGCGTAACCACACCGTCGCAGGATCTGTTACAGACAGGCATGCCGGCGAGCGCGCATCTCCTGCGCGCTCCGCTGCTGCCGAGGCTCGACAGCGGAAGGCCTCCGGCACGCGCCGGAGTCGGGCAGCGTCTGAAGCAGACGGCGCCGTCGTAGCCCGCGCCGAGTCCTGGTGGCCACCGCTCCTGTGCCCCAGGCTGCCGCTGCGTCTCGGAGCGCTGCCCCCCTTGCCCGCCTTTGGTTCGGCACCCGCGTCGCCCCGCGTGCGCGGTCGCCGGGGAGGAGGGCGGGGCCGGGAGGGCAGGGCGGTAAGGGCGCCTTCGAGGCCTGGGCGCAACGAAGAGCCACGGCCACAATATCGAGCGTATGTTTCTTTGGTGGCCCTTCGGGGGAGACTCCGCCGACCTCGACACGAGCACTTTAGAGTTGTGACTGTGGTCGACTTGGCCGTCCTGGGACGTCACGTCGGCCACCACCAGCACGAATCTGCGTTGGGTGTTCTGAGGAGTGTTGGCGCGCTCGAGACATCCCCAACTGTGTATCCTCGATGTGATTGTGGCCGCTGGTTACCCCCGCACGAGAGGTGGGGGGATTGGTTTCAGGGGAGGGAGAGTGGACCCTGACCCCAGTCGCCCATTCCTCGCTGATCTGGGCCTAGGGCCTAGGGGGGCCTAGCTTGCCAAGGAATCTTGGGTTTCCCCATCGGGGGCCAATCGCCGATCTATCAGCGACGCATTGTCGATTCCATGCCATTGTCTCCTCCGAAGGAGCTGCTGAATGGCGGCCCGCTCGTAGACCTGGCAGTTTGGTCAGTGGCCCTCCTCCCCCTCCGCCCCGCTTTCTCATTCTCCCCCTTGCTTTTCCTCTTCCTGTCCCTTCCCTTTCCTCCACCTCCTCTTCCTGTCCCTCCCCTTCCTCCTGCTCTCTCACTCCTCCAAGATTGTATAACCCCTGTGTGTTCACTTCGTCTCGGCGTGGCTGTCTCCTCCTCCTCCTCCTTTTCCTCCGCCCTCAGTCTGATAGTTCTGCATCATCCACCGTTCCCTTCCTACCCCCGCTCCTTCACTTTTTCCTCCCCTCCCGCTCCTTCCCTCCTCTCACGGCATCCCCACCTCCATCCCTTTTCCTTCTAACCAACTCCTCCCTGTCGCACCCCGAGGCGTGTCGGTAGCTCGGGCCAGGCGTTTCGCTTGAGACGTCCTCACCATGCACCCTTAAGCTGAAAGTTTGCAATATCTTTACGCATGGAAGGCGGTTCCTTTTCAAAACGTGGTTCCCGCCGTATCGCCGCGCACAGTTGTCCTAAACGTTCGCAAGGGTTTCGCGGTTTCTTTTGGTTTACGTCCCAGAAGTACGTCCCAGAAATTGTGTTTTGGCACGATGTAAGATTGTCAAGGCGCAGCGGTTACGTTGACGCGCGGTGCTGAAGTCCCAGGAGTGGCGTTCTGGCAATATTCACGACCGTCAGGACGCAACAGTGACGTGGATTCCTCAGGAAGGGTGTTCTGGTGCGGTTCAGATTTTTCGAACGGTTGATAATCTAGCATTTCCATCAGTGAATTGAATTAGGGACTTGTGAGCGGGCAATTTGGAGGGAGGTTGTATAGCAACATCGTTGATGAGTCTTGGGTTTGCCCTGAACCTCCAATTCCTCCTCTTCTCCCTCCTCGTCGTCCTCATCCTCCTCCCTTACCTCCTTACCCTACTCCTCCGGGGAGGGCCCCACGAGGACGAGGCCTCGGACATCATGGGCGTCGAGGACGTGCACGACGTCGGCGACGGGACGCCGCTCTACAAGCTCTTCAGCCCCGAGGAGCGGGGGCCTGGGGGAGGAGGAGGAGGAGGAGGAGGAGGAGGAGGAGGAGGAGGAGGAGGAGGAGGAGGACGGGGCACTGAGGGGGGGAAGGGTGAGGAGCAAGGAGGGAGACATGGCGGAGGATGAAGGATGAGAGAGGGGGGGATGTGATCGATTGCGGCGAGATTGTGCGAAGTGGCATGCCATATTTGAGCGAACGGAGAGCTCTACAGGAGCCGCCTGCATGCAGTAGTGCCCTCACAGGGCCGCGGACTTGTCAGCTGGGGCCATTTGGACTACCCAGTCTGCCGGTGGCTGCGGATAGGGAGGGAGAAGCATTTTTATGTAGCACGCCGCAGTTGCGGGTAAGAGTGAGGGGGCGGGCGCGGGTTGGGTCGCGTGTAGTTCGCGGTTGGGTCGCGAGCCGGTCCCGGGTGGGTCGTGGGTAGGTCGCGGGTGGGTCGTGGGCCGGTCGCGAGTGGGTCGCGGGATGGGTCGTGAGTTGGACGGCAACGACAATAACAAACCAACAACCAACAGCCAACAGCCAACAACCAGCAACCAACAAACACCACCACCACCAGCAACAACAACAGCTCAACAACTCAGCAACAGTCCGCACCCCGGAACCCCACTTCAGACACGCAGCCAGGGAAAGTGAATCACCGCTCGCCCCCCTCATTCTAAGAATCGGAAGGAAAGGGATGCTCGAGTAAGGCAGGGGCAAAGGAGGCCAGATCCAAACCCGAGGATTCCGCAGCTCCCCTCATGCCCTGCACGTCGAGTGACTGCGTTGGACTGGCCACGACTTATAGCATGCAGGCAGGCAGCAGATCGGTGAGTTTGAGGTGAGAAGGGATGGAACATCGAGTCGAAGGTGAGAAGGGATGGAACATCCCGCTTACGAGTGAGGCTGGTTCGGCACCTCTCCAGTGCAACTGGAAACGCGAACGTCATAACGGGAGCCAAACAATGTACAAATGCAGGTTTGTCGGGCGCCTCTTCAGCGAAATGGTCGCGAATAGTTATACAATGAGGGGGGAGGATGCAGCATGCAAGATCAGCCATCACCCAGCAGACGGAGCATAGAGGAGGGAGGGGAGCATTCAGCCAGCCTGGTTACAAGTAAGGCTGGTCAGGCACCAAGCGTGCTAGAGCTGGAGGAGGAAGTGCCAGAGATAGCCAGACCACCTGCAAGTGAAGATGGTCGGGTTCCCTGTCCAAGCAGTGTGAGAGGGATGGGACGACGGAGTCACGGAATCCAGTAGGCAGAGGTTGGGGAGGGGATGGCACGCACAGGAGGCGTGAACACTGCGAGCAGCCAGCGAATGCGGGAAGAGCGTGCGTATGCAGATTCGCACATTTAAGGGCTCATGGGTGGAGATAATGGGCGAATGCAGAGGCCATTCAGCCACATGTCGACGGGGTGTGCCCAACAAGTGGTAGGAAAATCGCTCAGAAAAGGCAACAGTCAAGCTGGACCGGCGCAACCGGTTCCTTTGAGGCAGCGGGCGAACCGGTAGGCCGCCTTTGGTATACATTGCGGAACAAGTCATTACCTGAACAATACGCTGTGTAGAGTCTTACGTTCGAGTAATGAGCAAGCAGTGCGACCACGAGTAAGGTTGTTGATCCGCCCTAGGGTGCTGGCGGAGACAAGGAGACAATGAGTAATGGCCGGGAAGATGTATCTAGGAGAGGGGGGATGCATTGCTGGAGTCGTCCAGGGGGGCAACTGAGACTATCTTGCTATTGTCGTCAAGCTTCCGCTTGATTGTGTTACAGCGTTGGTGATGTCTATTAGGCAGTCGTTTGGCAACCCGAGAAGGTACAGTAACAAGGGCCGCTACAGTCACGCTTCCAAATGCGAATCAGTCGTTCCCACTGACTGGCTATATCAATGAACAGAGCGCGCGCGCACTGGCGTGCATGGGACACCGGCAGTGTGAGAAGGAGTCATTTGAGAGGAGAAGAAGGCAGGGGAAACGTTGAGGAGAAAATTTACGGCTCTGCCCTCCAGTCGGCCAGGAAGATGGAGGAGAGAGTGCCGATTGGACACCATTCAAGTCGAGCAGACACATGCGATGACATGGGCTTCTGGTAGAGATCTGGGTAGACAAATGAGCCAGGCGTCTACAGGGTGCGAGCGTGGCCAATACGATACGTGTTGAAGAGCCTCCAGCTTTCTTTCGGGGAAGTTGTGCAGCGGGCCAGTTCCAGCAGATGCTGGCTCTGCGGTAAATTCACAAGCACGTGACGTTTCTTGTCGTGGCAGTGGATCACCTTAGCATCTGTGAGGTCAGTGAAGCGACGCCTGCCCTCCTCAAATCTGGGTTGGCCTAGCGCCATGGAAGTAGGGGAAGTATTTGTTGGAGCAGTGCTTGTGTGCTCACATGGGCGCGAACCTGGGTCTTTGGGCAAAGAGAAATTATAATGGAGCGTGCTCACAGGTTTGCGAAAGCATGCGAGCCGCAACGGCTGTTTTTGTGCGATGCGGGGCGTGGCGAAGTTGGAGGAGGAATGATGTTGAAAGGGGGGAGACAGGAGGAGGGAGAGGGTTGATTGGGAGGGATTATTTAGTTCGCAGATCAATGCTTGCACTTCGGGGTTCCTGCTTGAGTTACCGTAGCAATTGGACGGGTACGGCGGGGTGACCGCGTGAACGCCTTGTGGACGCCCCGCACGGTGATGAGCGCATGTATTCCTATTCGTATATTTTTGTAGGGCCGGGGACGCCAGAAAAAACGCCCCCCCTAACGAATTTGACCCTCCCCCGGCCTCCGGGCAACCCTTCAGACGATCCGGGAGAACCTCACGAGAGCCCGAAGGCGGCCCCAAACGGGTTCCAGGCTTTCCGGCGCACTCCCGAAACGGCTCCAGAGCTCCAACGCGGTCCACGACGACCCCCCAAGAAGCCGTCATACCGCCAAAGATCGCTCCAAAACATCCCAAGAGGCTTCCAAGAGCACTCCCAAGAAGGCCCCAAGAGGAAAAACAACATTTCTGTTCTGTGGGTTTTTAAATTTGGGGGTTCTCCTCTTTTTAGTTTCCCGACGCTCCAAGACGGCGGTCTTCTAGGTGTCTGAAGCCGCCTGGCAGGCTCCAAATCGCCACAACCATCCGAAAGGGCTTCCAGGCAGTCCAAGAGAGCCCCAAAACAGCACAACAGGGGTCCAAGATGGCCTCCCAAGGGTCCCATGGCGGCCCAAGATGGCCCCCAAACACCCTCCAAAGCATTCTAAATCGTGACCCGGTCGTGCAGGGAGACCGCGGTTGGAGGCAGGGTGGCCCGAGGAAGCCCCCAAAGGCCCCCAGAACACGCACAGGAGTCCTCCAGAGGGTTTTTCAGAAAGCCAAAATAATTTCTATGAGGCCCCCAGAGGCTCTCCAAGGTGGAGCCTCCGCAACATGAGCTGAAGAGGATGGGGAGAATGCGCAGGGTATGGCGAGAATGGAGAAAGGATAACGAATCACATTATCAGAACGGCGTCCGAAGGAAAAAACGGCAACAATGAGTTATCTCTAAGTTGTCGGCTGGACCTTCCTGCCATTCCGCTTGCATATCGAACTTCAATGGCCAAGGTGCATTACGCGAAGCGCCACTGCAGTCTTGTGTGCATATAGTTATACACAAGACTTGACGACTCGCGCTGCTTCGCCTCAAATCTTGGTCTTGCCTTCAGGCATTGTCGGGTGGCTGCTGATGGTCACATCGGTGCGGACAGAGCATGACCACGAGGGGGGTGCGTGTCCTTGGCTGGATGAAGTCCATCGGCATGTTCATGCCGTGAGAGAACGGCAGGGCTGCCACGAGGGCGAAGGTGAGGAGCCCGATGGCGGGGTATGCCATTATCCCACTTGGGCTGGCGACTATGAGGTCGATGGGGGTGTGCGTCATCGCCGCCAATGGGGCGAAGGTCATGGCCCAGCGGGGCTTGGACCGGGGCTACGATGCCAATGGTTTGGAAAGCAATCGGTGAGATGAGCGCGATGGGGGTGAAGGTAACGATCCGAAAGGGGCCACAATCACAACGTACCTTGATGGAGGTTGATGCCATCGTTGTGGTACGGGGCCCAAGTCATGATCTCAAAGCGGATGCCGGGAATTCGGGGGAGGGCGGTTCAGGGTGAAAATCTTGAAAGGGGCGAGGGTGGTAACCGTGAATTGGATCTTGGTCGTGATGCCAAGGGTGTCGAAGTTTATGCAGGATTTGCGGAACTGTCCACGCACCCGACGATTTGCGTTGATCAAATCGCGGGCCTCCAGATCTTCGACTTCTGTCCTTCGTCTCCTCGCCCCCCGCGCTTGCGTGGACAGTGCAGCGCAGCGAGGCGTCCGGAGAAGGAAGAGGAGGTGGGCCTGTTGGGCTATGTAGGTAACCTCCAGGGGGCTTCTTGGGGGTGCGTTGGAGGCTCTGGGGCGGTTCGGGGGCGTCGTGCACCGTCTCGGTGCCCTCGTGGGCCGCGTTCGGGTTTTCGGGGGCTGTTTCGGGGCCGTTTTGGGTCGTCTTGGAGTTCCCTTAGGGCCGTTTTGGGCCGTGTTGGCGCCGTCTCCGGCCGTTTCGGAGCCGTATCGGAAGTGTGTTGGGCCGACTTTGGGCCGATTTCGGGAGTTCGTGTTTTTTTTGGTCGCGGTGTACAGGATGCCAAAAAAAAACGGTGACGCTCAACTTCATCAAAAACTGGAGGACGTCATGGATGTTTGCATCTCGCGGCCTTCTTGGGCGTCTCGGAGGGCCGCGTGGGAGGCTGTTTGGGTCGTGTTTTGGCCGCGTTGGGACGATATGGGGGCAATCGTCGGACCTTACTATCCGCGCTGGGGGTCGCTGCGAGGTTATTGGGGCCGTCCGCAGCGTCGGGAAGACTGCGGCTGGCTAGCTTGGGAGGCCTGGGAAACGTTGGGGGTTGTCCGAACGGCACCCCGAGCCAGGGGCAGGCCGTCCGAGAGGGGGGGCCCGGATTTTCCGAGGGGGGAGGGAGTATCCGGTGGGTTATCTCCATGCAGGATATGTATAGCTGTTGGGATATACATATAAATAACTGTGTACGGTATAAGGTGTGTGTATATATATATATATATATTACCAACAACCTTTAGGCGACAGGCGACGAGGATTGGCATTTATGATGAAAATGAAAGGGGAATTGGATGAGCAACGCTGAAAAAGGACGAGGGGGGAGGTACAAGGAGGCATACTTATGAAGAGCAGACGGACGGGAAGGAATGCGATGTGGAACGGAGTGAGCATTTCTGGTGAGGGAAGCCGATGGCGGGAGGGAGGGATAATGCGCGCAGGTAAGAAAGGCGAGGGGTTCAATTGAGAAGGTGGTAGAGGTGAGGACAATGAGGATGGCGACGTGGATGAGAAGAAGGGCGAGGGAGAGGACAAAAAGGGAGGAAAATGCGGTTGGAGGAGGAGGAAGGGCGTCCCCGAGGACTGGGCATTGCACTCGCTCCGCTGCGAGCTCTTCCTTCTGGCGGCCGCGTACAAGAAGGCCGTCCGACGAGCCCACGTCTGGGCCTCCATACCCCCTCCTCCTCCTCCTCCTCCTCCTGCACCTCCGGTTCCTCCTCCCTCCTCCTCCTCCTCCTCCTCCTCCTCCTCCTCCTCCTCCCTCCTCCGCCTCCTCCTCCTCCTCCTCCTCCTCCTCCTCCTCCTCCTCCTCTTTCTCCTCCTCCTCCTCCTCCTCCTCCCTTCCCCCCCCCCCCGATCGTCGAAGAAGGGCCGATCGAGGCAAGGCCGGCGCTCCCTGGCGTCGTTGGCGCCCTCCCTGGGCCCAGCTTTTGGAGGCTCCTCGCCGCCGTCGGCTGGGGACCCGCCTCGGCCAGCAGGGCGGGGCGTGGGACCCCTGGAGCTTCGAGCCTGGAACATATCCCTATCCCTATGCTGGGCACCTCCCCATCACGATGCCACTCTCAGGGGCTCCCTTTATTTTTTGAGGGCGGATCCCTAAGACTGTCCTCGCCTTTTGGCGTGTCAATCTTGGGGATAGGGATACGCTCGAGGCTGGTAATGGAGGCCTCTGGGAGCGGACTCTCAGCGGATCTGGGCTGGGCGCGGGGGCCGCCGTTGTCACAGTTTGCCCTCCTCCGGTGTCTCTAAGCCTCCGGGATTCGGAGGCTGATAGACCTCCTACCCTGACACGTCGATTCGCGAATTGGCCGTTTAGGGTTCGCGATAGGGCGCCGCGGCCGTCAGTTTTGCGGGTCCAGGTCCGTCGGTTTCGGTCCTGGGCCGTTTCTGCTAAGGGGCGGTTTGCTAAAGGGAGGTTTGTCCACCGCCGATGGATGGGGTCGGAGCTGATGGGGTCGGAGGATCGCGCCGCATCGGCATCGCCCGCGTCGCCGATGCATCGCAGGTGCATCGCCAACGCATCGCCGACACATCGCCGATGCATCGCCGATGCTGCGTGATCCTCCGACCTCATCTACTCGCACCCCATCTAGGAGGCCTCTAGTATCGGAGGTTCCAAGCGTAGCCTAGCCTTGCGTACGTCCATCCCCCCCTCCGCTCTCTTCGCCCACGCGCTCCAGCGTATGGCCTGACTGACTCCTTTCACGTTGCGTTTATTTTTGCGGCTGGGCCTTCGGGGTGCCCACGAGGCATCCAGGGACGACTCGAGAGTCTCCAAGGACCTCTGTAGACATTCTGCTCCCCGCCCCCCACCCTCCATGGGAGAAGGGAAGAAATGGGGAGGGGGACGAGGGGGAATGGTGGAGAAGGGCGGATGGGAAGGCGAGCGCTTTGGCGTGCTTTAGAAGGCTCGAGACGGCCTCAGGCCCCCCCCCGCCTTTTCCTCCTAATCGTCATTCCTTCTCGTTCGTCCGTAGCTGCAGGCATGTGCTTGTAGAAGCCAACTCCAAGGATAAAGCAGCAGATCAGGAAGATACATCAGGGGTCCTCAACACCAGTTGCACCAATGACGCATGCTCATCGGGAGTACCCTCTCCTACCAGGGAGGCACATTCAGAGCGCAAGGAGTGGATGGCAGCGCTAAGACCGCTGGCAAAATCAGCAAGCAAAGGCCACGGCAGCCACTTCCTGCCCATCCCCCATCTCATCGCTCCTGCTCCTCCCTCGATCTCCCGACCTCTCGATCTCCCGCCTCCTCCTCGCCTCCCTCCCCTTTTCTCCCTCCCTTCCGTTTCCTTCGTCGCTCCTATTCATGGATTCTTTTTCCTCAGCCGCCCTCCTCCTGTATCTTAGTACTGCTCCCTTTTGCTGCTTCTCCTGTTCTACTCCTCTCGTTTCCCATTACCCTCCTCTCCCCCGTCCTCGCCCATCATTGTTCACACTATCTTCCTCTGACCTCCCTCGCCCTCTCTCTCTATAAATATATACATGCGAACCGTTATATATACATGTATATATATAGTATACACATATGCGCATCTACCTGTCACAATACGTGCTTATGCTTGCGTATCTATACACGCAGAAGCATAAGTATATATATACGTGTGTGTATATATGGATGTATCTGCCAGTCTCCCGCTCTACCGCTCGCCCTCGCCTGTCACCTCTCTATTTTCCACCACTCTGATTTATACAGACTTGTATGTAAGTGCGCAGATAGATATTTGGATACACGTACACATTTAACAATTTTGTCAAATCGTATACACTTGCATATCTATATATATACATACATATATATATATGTATGCATATTCGCTCCCTTTGCTTCACGCAATTATATTGTGTAAATACATGTGTACATGCATATACATATCCATCTGCATGAAAGACTGGCCCCCCCTCAGCTGCGGATACGAATGAGGGGGCGCCAGTGGGTCGTGGCGCGGGTTGGTCGCGGGTGGGTCGCGGCGCTGGTGCGTCGCGTTGTTGGTGGGTCGCGGGTGTGTCGAGGCGTGGGTGGGCCGCTGTGGGGCGGTAAAGACAACAACAACGGCATTCCGCACCGCTGAACCACATTAGAGTCACGTACCCAGGGGCTGTGTACGACCAGTCGTCTCCTCACCCTGCTGTGTATACAATTGTGCATACACGCATTCCCTATGCGCTGTGTTTCTCTCTCTCTCTCTCTCTCTCTGTGCGTGTTTGTCTCCCCCACGTTCGCTCACTCCCTCTCTCTCTCTCTCTCTCTCTCTCCCTCCCTCCCTCTCTCTGTCACTCCCTCATTTTATCATATATTTATGTGTATATATATACACACACACATCCGTGCTTATGTATGAAAGAGCGCGCCCGTGGAACACTCCCGACTGAAAAGGGGGGGGCAGCTTCAGGCTTCCTTGGTGTGGGCATTTTTTTGTTGCCGGGTGTGTGTGGCTTGGAAGTTCCCCCCCCCTCTCCCCCCTTTCGCGGCCCCGGGTCAGCCCGGGCTCCCCTTTCCAACAAACAGGGGGGGGGGGCTTCCGAAGCCAACCCCCCGCTTCTTTTGTTTGGATTTCGATGCCGGGGGGTCCCTGGCTGAAGGGGGGGCGGGGCTTGGAAGCTACCCCCCCCCTCCGCTCCATTTCGGGCCCTGGTTGAGCCCGGGCTCCACTTTCCAAAGGGCGGGGGCTTCCGAAGCCACCCCCGTCCCTTCTTGTTGTAGGCATTTCGAGCTGGAGGGCCCTGGCTGAAGGGGATGGCTTCGAAGCTGTTGTTCTTCTTTGGTGTTCGGCGCTCCTTTGGTTTTCGGCGTACTTGTGGTTTTTGCATCTCGTTGGCGTTCGACGCCTCTTTGGTTTTCGGTGCCCCTTTGGTTTTTGGCGCCCTTCTGGATTTCGGCGCCCCTTCGGTTTTCGGCGCCCCTTTGGTTTTCGGCGCTTCTGTGATTTTCGGCGCTCCTTTTGGTGTTTGGCGCCCATTGTGGTTTTCTGCGCGCACTTTATGGTTTTCGGCGCATGTTTGGTTTTCTGCGCCGTCTCCGGTTCTAGCGCCTCGCTGGTCTCCGGCATTCTCGTAGTTTTCTGGATTCTCGTGCTTTTCGGCGCCCCTTTGGTTTCGGTGCCCTCTTGGCTTTCGGCGCTCCTCATGTTTTCGGCGCCCTCTGGTTTTCTCAGCCCTTTTGGTGTTCGCCGCCCTTTGGTCTTCGGCGCGCCTTTGATGTTCGGCGCCCGTTGGTTTTCGACGCCCTTTTGGTTATTTGCGCACCTTTGGTTTTTCGGTGCCATTTAGGTTTTCGGAGCTTCGATGGTTTTCGGCGCCATTCTGGTTTTCGGCGCCTCTGTGGTTTTCGGCGCCACTTTGGTTTTAGGCGCCCCTGCGGTGTTCAGCGCCACTTTGGTTTTCGGCGACCTTTGTGTTTTCGGTGCGGTCTTCGGAGCTCCTGTTGTTTTCGGTTCCCCTTTGGTTTTTCGGTGCATTTCTGGTTACCTTCGCCGCTTTGATTTTTCAGCACTCTTTTGGCTTGCGTCGCGTCGTTGGTTTTAGGTGCCCCTTTTTGTTTTCGGCGCTCCTTCTGGTTTTCGGCGCCTCTTCGGTGTTCGGAGCCCCTTTGGTTTTGCTGCGCCCTTGTGGCATTCGGCGCCCCTTAGGTTTTCGGTGCCCTTTTGGTTTTCGGCTCGGCGCTTTTCTGGTTTGCGGAGCCCCTTTGATGTTCTGCGCTCCTTTGGTTTTCGGAGCCCCTTTCGAGTTTCGGCGCCCCTTTGGTTTTCGATGCTCCTTCGGTTGTCGGCGCTTCTTCGAGTTTTCGGCGACCTTTTAATTTTCGACAATCCTTGGGTTTTCGGCGCATCGTTGGTTTTCGGCGCTCCTTTGGTTTTCGGGGCTCAATGTGGTGTTCGGCGCTCCCTTGGTTGTCGGCTCGGCTTTGGTTTTCGGCGCCGTCTTTGCTTTCTTGGCGCTCTTATGGTGTTCTGTGGTTTTGTTGAATTCGGCACTCTTTTTTGTTTGTGCGGCGCACCGGTGGTTTTCGGCGCCCTGTTGGTTGTCGGCGCATCGTTGTTTCTTGGCGTCCTTTTGCTTTTCGGCACCTGTTTAGTTTTCGGCGTCCTTCTTGTTTTCGGCGCCCATTTGATGTTCGGTGCCGTTTTGGTTGTCGGCGCCTTTTTTGGTTTCGGCGCCCCTTAGGTTGTCTGCGCACCTCGCACCTTTGGTGTTCGGCGCTCCTTTGCTTTTCGGCCCTTCTGTTGTTTTCGGCGCGCCCTTTTGGTTTTCTGCGCCTCTTTGGTTTTCGGTGCCCTTTTGGTTTTTGGCGCTCCTTTGGTTTCCGGCGCCCCTTTGGTTTTTCCGTGCACCCGTTGGTTTCGGTGGCCTGATGGTTTTCGGCGCCTCTTTGGTTTCCAGTGCCCCTTTGTTCTTCAAAGCCCCCTTTGTTTCCAGTGCACCCTTTGGTTTCGGCGCCCCTTTGATTTTCGGAACCCTTTTGGTTTTCGGCGCTCCTTTGGTTATCGGCGCCCCTTTGGTTTTCGGCGCCCTTTTGATTTTCGGCGCTCTTCGATTTTCGGCGATTCTTTGGTTTTCGGCGCCCCCTTTGGTTTTTGTTGCACCTTGTGGTTTCGGTGACCTGTTGGTTTTCGGCGTCCCTTGGTTTTCGGCACTTTTTTTCCTGCGCGCCCTTTTGGTTTCCGGCGCCCCTTTGATTTTGGGCGCCTCTATTGTTTTCGGCGTTCTTTTGGTGTTCGGCGCCTCTTTGGTTTTCTGTGCACCCTTTGGTTTCGGCGACCTGTTGGTTTGCGGCCTTTTTTTGGTTTCGGGCGCCCCTTTATTCTTCGGGGCCCCTTTTTTTCGGCGCCACTATGGCTTTCGGCGCCTGTTCGGTTTGGTTTTTGGCGCCCTCCCGTTCGGGTTTCGGCGCCCGTTCGGCCACTTTGGTTTTCTTTGGCGCCACTTTTGTTCCTTCGGTTTTCGGCGCGCCTCTGGTTTTCGGCGCCCTGTTGTTTTTCGAAGACCCTTTGGTTTCGGCGCTCTTTTGGTTTTCGGCTACCTCATGGTTTTCGGCGCCCTTTTCGTGTTCGGTGCTTCTTTTGGTTTTCGGCGTCCTTTTGGTTTTCTGCGCCTTCTTGGTTTTCGGCTCTCCTTTTGCTTTTGGGCGCCCCTTTTTATGCTCGGTGCTTCTTTGATTTTCGGCCCCCTTTTGGTGTTTTGGGCCCCCTTGGTTTTCGGCGCCCTATAGGTGTTCAGCGCCCTTTTGGTTTTCGTCGCCCTTTGCGCCACTTTGGTTTTCGGTGCCCCTTTTGTTTTCGGTGCCCTATTGGTTTTCGGTGCCGTTTTTGTCTTCGGTGTTTTTTTTCGGCCCCCCCCTTTAGTTTTCGGCGCCCTATTGGTTTTCGGTGCCCTTGTGTGGTGTTCGCCGACCTTTTGGTTTTCGGCGCCCTATTGGTTTTCGGCGCGCCTTTGGATCTCGGCTTTCATTTGAAATTCGGCGCCACTTTCTTTTCGGCGCCTCTTGGGGTTTCTGCAATATTTGGTTTTCTGCGCCCTTTTGGTGTCCGGCGCCCCTTTGTTTTTTCGGCGCTCTCTTGGTTTTCGGTGTTCTTGGTTTTCGGCGCCCCTTTGCTTTTCGGCGCCCCTTTGCTCTTCGGCGCTCCTTTGGTTGCCGGCGTGACCTGTTGTTTTTCGGCGCCCTTTTGTCTTCGGCGCACCCTTGGTTTTCGTCGTCCTTTCCGTTTTCGGCGTTCCTTTCTTTTTCGGTGCCCCTTTGGTTTTCGGCGCTTCTGCCGATTTTTCGGTTGCCCTTTGGTGTTCGGCGCTCTGTTGGTTTTTGGCGCCCTGTTTGTCTTCGGCGCCCCTTCCTTTTGCCGAGGGGGGGGGGCGGGGGGGCTGGCACGCCCCCCGCCCCCCCTGGGCACAACGGCAGGGGGGGGAGGGGCTTCCGGCCGAGGGGGTGCCAAAGGGAGGGGGCGGGGGGCAGCCAAACGGCAGGGGGGGGAGGGGCTTCCGGCCGAGGGGGTGCCAAAGGGGGTGGGGCTTCCGGCCGTGGGGGTGCCAATGGGTGGGGGCGGGGGGCAGCCAAGCCCCCACCCCTCCTTTCTTCCCGGGAAGGGGCGGAAGGGGGGGCAGCTTCTGGAGCACGAGGGGGGCGGAGGGGGGGGGGATAGCTTCCTCAGGGGGGAAGAAAGGAGTGGAAGAGGGGGGGAGTCCGGCAGGGGGGTGTTCGAAGGAGGGGGATAAGTAAGCCCCCCCCCCCTTTGAAAAAGGGGGGGCGCGGCAGGAGCGCGAAAGAGGGGGTAGTCTGCGAGGGGCGGGAAAAAGGAGGCTCTTCGGGCAGGGGAGGTCCAAGGGGTGGGGGGTAACGAAGGGCCCCCACCCCCTTTGGGAGTGTTCCGCGGGCGCTCTATTTTTGTTTGTTGTTTTCTCTCTCTCTCTCTCTCTCCTCGTTCAATGTTTTGTCTCTCTCTCTCTCTCTATTCTCTCTCTCTCTCTCTCTCTCTCTCTCTCTCTTTCTTATATCTATACACAAATTACGCGCGGGCTGGAGTTTCAACGAGCCCCTCAAATAGGTTTGCTTGCCACAGCGGTTCCGAAGTTGATTTAACGCAGACCCCGCCGACGCTACGGCTAGGTCGACGTTCTGGACAAGGATGGAACCCGATCGACCTTGACCCAGAGCAGGTCGCCCGTTTGACCAGCCCTCAAGCTGGCTTCGGATGGGTCTAGCAGCAAGCCTTATATTAGACCGCTAGAGTGGGCGGCCTGGTCCATCGGCGTATGCCCATATGCTGGCGATGATCCCGTCGCCTTCCTTCACGGCGTGGTCCCAGGGAGCTTGCCTCAGGTCCTAGCCATGTCTGAGCTCATTGGAGTAGCCGTCTGCCGTCTGCGGTCAGGTTTTGAACAGGCTGGCAGAGTTAGCATCAGACTGCAAGGCTGCCATCAAAGTTGCCCATCAGGACGTTGCTCGGCAAGTAGCTGTTTCGAATAAGCTTGCTGGTATTCGGCTGTTCGCCCAGAGCCTTGAGGGAGCGCCTCTCATCCAGTTCAGAACGATTACTTCGCTTGTTCGCCATGGCCAATGCCGCAGTCAACTGTCAGGCCAAGGCTGCCCTGGCCACGCACCCATCCGCGGACCAAGCGCTGCTTCATGATATGACCTTCGCCGCCACCAAGGCTCAGAGCTTCGTGAAATTTGCTGCCCGCATTTTGCCACTGTTCCCGCACGAGGTCTGGTGGAAGAGGCCCAGTTGCTTCACTGCAGGCCGCTCAAGGCGGCAGCACAGCTGGCATTCCTGGAAGCTACGACAGTTGGGCTTCCACTGCATGAGGTGCTTGGTTGGCGGAAGGATCGCCTGACGCACCGCCTCTCGATGGATGTACACACGTCCAGGGGTTCTTGTAGACGCCCTCGTGCCCTCTCAGCCATTCCCCCGCCGCTGTTGCGGGCCTGGCTCGAGATACTGGTGGTGACCCCTTCGGTGCGCAACGTTCAAGAGCAGACCGTCGTTTGCCTCAAGTGCGGAAGGTGGTCGCAGTCTTGACTAGACAAGGTAGGCCGCCCTTATGTATGAGCCCCCCACTCGTAAAGGCAAGGTGGTCTTAGGGATGGTCCGTCAAGGCAGGTGCCCCAACAGGCGGGTGCGGGTGCAAGCGTTGCTCGGACCCGCCTGACCCCCCCGGGACATCAGCCCCAATGGCTATGAGGACGAGTTGTTCGGCCTCAGGGACGGCCCCGTCTATAAGCAGCGAATACATGCGTTGGCATATTGAATTCGAGTGAAGGAGAGCGTTCGAGGTGCTCAATCAAAGGGGTAGTTTTGCGTGTTTTTTTCTGGGGCTCTTTCCTTGGATTATGCTTCTCACCCTGACGTGTATGTCAGCGTAGCACCGGGATATCCTCTTGCTGTGCGTTCACCAGCTATGGGCATTCCATTGCATCAAATTCCATTCCATTCCATTGCATTGCATTTTTGTCCGTAGAATCCAATTCCATTCCATTCAATTCCATCCAAGCCCCTCGTGATATGCACATACCTATTCCTGTCGTGTTTGGTCTCTCTCGCTCCCTCTCTCTCTATATATCTCTCTATATCTCTCTCTCTCTCTCTCTTCTCTCTCTCTTTTTCTTATGTTTCAGCTTAGTGTGGTGATGCCACCGGTATCATTTGCAATCCTTCCTTTTCTTCGATCTAGAAATGCCTGTCATAATATTGTTGTGTGCATGTTTGTATGTCTCTCTCTCTCTCTTTCTCGATATGCTGTTATTTCCTTCGCTGGTGGCTTTCTCTATGCATACGTACTCCTCCGTATTTGTGTATCCCTCTTCTCTCCGCCCGATTTCCAAAAGGACGTCGACGACCCCGAGCGCCCAGGGATCCACGAGGATCACATCACCTTCTATTTCGGCAAGTACTTCAAAAAGAGCCTGGTGCCCAAGCACTACGGGAAGGACTCGTTGGCCGATCTGTTGACCATGGTGAAGGACTCACAGCTCCAACGCCTTCGGCGGCCACAGGAGGAGGATGGAGGAAGAGACGACGAGGAGGGGCAAGAAGGACAAGCAGGGGGCGATCGAGGAAAATAGCGGTCCACGTAAAAGGGGGGCCTGGGGGAGGAGGAAGTGCGGTAGGGGGAAAGGAGGGACGGAGGGAGGGAGGGAGGGAGGGAGGGAGGGAGGGAGCGAGGGAGGGAGGGAGGGAGGGAGGGAGGGAGGGAGGAGGAGGAGGAGGAGGAGGAGGAGGAGGTCCGTAGCCATTTTGGCTCAAGACCAAACGGGGGGAAGCAACGAAGTTGCGAGGTAACCTGATTGGTCTTGTTGCCCATCCGTGGCCACCCTCGAGGCCGATTCAGGCCAGGTTTTCGCGAGCACGTTCTTTCCCGCCACGGCGAGCCGCCTGCGCGGCCGTGGTTTCTGTTCCAGGACGCAGGAGCCCCTCGAGCCATGTCGCCAGGTTGGTACTGTGGCAAGTGCGGGTTCTACAACTACGGGCACCGCCGTGTCTGCCGCCAGAGCGGATGCGACGGGTGCAATCCAGTTCAAGCAGCCCGGCCTGATCAGAGCTACTGGGCACAGTACTCGGTGCCAGGCGGGGTGTGGTATCAAGGGCCTCCAGTGCTTCGGCAGGGAGATGGAGGCAAAGGTGGCGGCAAGCATGACAAGGGCGGCAAAAAGGGCCTGGGGGGGGCAAGTCCCCTCAGGGTGGCAAAGGGCCAGGTGGTGGGCAACCGCCACGGGCCCTCGCGCAGGAGGAACGTGAGATGTGGATGGCCACGTCGGAAGAACAGTTCGCCGTTCTGGGTCAAAGCTTGTCGCAGTCGCACAGAGATCAGCTCGCCCACGCGCGTGCCATGGCCAACTTCGGGCTGCAGGGCGCGCAGGCGGAGGCACAGCAGGCCAATTTGCAGATCGGCAAGTTCTCGCAGCAGGTGCTGCATCAAAAGCAGAGGCTCGCGAAGCTGGAGGAGCAGGCGCAGCAGGCGATCATGGCGGCGGTCGTGGCCAAGCAACAGCTGCAGGAGACGGAGAAGCAGCTGGGCGAGGCCAAGAGGCGCGCGGCCGAGCACCTGGGGGCCCAGGGGCTGGCGCAGCAGATCGCGACCGACGCGTTCGAGGTGCCGATCAAGGAGGCGCTGGGAAAGTTTGAGCAGGCGGGGCCGTCGGAGCTGGCCCCGCAGCTGCAGGGCGCGGTCGACGCGCTCAGGGCGGCCATGGCGGTGGTGGCGCAGCAGGCCGCGGCGGCGATGCAGGGCAGGCAGCCTGGTGGCGCCTCGGCGTCAGGCGGCGCCGTCGGCGCCGCCGCCGCGGGCGCGGGCGCGGGCGCCGCCTTCGCAGGAGGCGCAGGCGCTGGCGCCCAGAAGCCAGGCGCCCAGGGCTCCGCAGGCGGCGGCGCCGACACGGAGCGCGACGTCAAGATGGTCGAAGCTGATGGTGGCGTTCTTATTGACCTTCGCTTTCAGCCCGAGTCTGATGGCAAGCTCACGGATCCCGAAGTGCAGGCCACCATCCAGAGCCTGTTCAGCAAGGCGACCCAGCGCCTTGAGGAGGAGAAAGCTGAGGTGGCAAGACGAGACAGGCGCAGCAGGAGCCCAGGATCGAGATCTAAGCTGTCCAGTTCCTAACCTGTGGAGTTTTTTCTCGGCCAATGTCACAAGTTGGCCGAGATGTCAGAGTTTTTTGGAGAAGGAATGTGATGGAGCCACATGTTTCCTTCAGGGGTGCAAAGTTGAGAAGACCAATCTGGCCCAATCCAGCGGCACACTTTTGAAGTTTGGTTGGAATGTAAGGTTAGGGGCCTGTGAGGTGACCCAGTCTGGAGGCTTGTCTTCGGGGGTAGGAGTCGCCTGTAGAGCAGGAGTAGGCATGGGTACCCTGGAAGGTTTGCCGAGACCAACCTCGAGAGTTGTATCTGCGTGGGTTGGTGGATTGCTGAAAGGTGGCATCATTGGGGTCTCGGTCTACTTACCGTCGGGGGAAGGTGCAGGGGGCCAAGGGCGCCAGATCCTGATGCAGCTCGGAGAGTCACTGTATTCGTCTGGGAAACCCTTTGTAATTGGAGGGGGTTTCAATGCAACGGCTGATGAAATCAGAGCTCTTGGGACCCTGGAGAAGTTCGGAGGTGTTATTGTCCAGCCTGTGAAGCTTACGTGCAGAGTGGGCAAGGAATGGAGAACGGTCGATTTTTTCATAGTCTCAGGAGGACTGGCCCCAGCAGTGGTAAGATGCGATAGGATTGAAGAGACAGAGCTTTCGACGCATTCCCCAGTTAATACTTCGCACGGGCTCGCATCTAGCTCAGATTCGCGCGTTGGCCCAACCTCGTCAGTTCCCCGATGAGTTACCAGTGGGACCTGCACCAGGCCCACCGCCAGCTTGGGAAGAGTTGCTAGATAGGTTGGAGACCTTCGTGGCAGGCTCGGTATTCACGGCGGAGCAGGCGAAGGACACGCATGCTGACTTCTGCGCATTGGCTGAGCAGGAGCTGGTGAACACTTACCAGATCGCTCCAGCGCAGGCCGATGGGCACAAAGGAAGAGGAGCCCCCTTCAGGTTCGCTTGGAGGCCCGCTATTACGAAAGTCGGGGCCCTTTTACCCTCTGGGATCTCCAGTTTCCAGGGCAATGAGGAGGTATAACGTCAGGATGGAGGAGTTACTGTTGCTGCTCCGCAAGGGCCGTTCAGGCCAGGATAAGCAGGTGCAGGACTTGCTGAAACAGGCAAGGGAGCCGCCCGCGATCCCGTGGGAGTGCGAGCGCTGGGTCAACTGGAGGCATACTCATGTTTCTCTGGAAGGATACCACGCCGAGGCGCTGCACGAAGCGATCCAGGACCATGCAAGTGCATCCAGGGTGAGGAGCAGGTTTGGAAAAGGTCTCGGCAACAAGAGTGGAGACAATGGGCCCGCTCGGCCCTGGAAAACGGCGGAGGGGGAGTTCACAGGTGGACGAAGCAGCCCAACGACTGGATCCCCGCGGACCCTGGCCCCGATGGGGCCCCTGTTGGTTTTCAGGATCAGGTGGATGCCCTGGAGGAGGAGTGGAAGCACATCTGGAGGTTCGGGGAGGTGCCCAAGGTCGCTCCCAGGATGCTCAGTGAGATGCCCCTCGGGGACCCGAAGCCGCCTGTTGCGCCAGGTAAAATCAGGTCCGTCTTGGGGAAGTTCAAGAAGCACACCGCCGTTGGCGTCTGTCATTGGGCCCCGCACGCGCTGAAGCAGCTCTGTACCTCTGGCCTGCTTGCTCTCAGTGTCCCGATGTATTTGTGGGACACGTACTCCCAGCTGCCCGAGCAGATTGCGCTGCTCATTTTGCCGTTTTTGCGGAAGCCTGAAGGGGGGGGAGGCCCGTTGGGATCATCTCCACCCCTGTGCGACTCTACAGTCGGCCTCGTCATGAGGAGGCGGAAAGGTGGGAGGACAAGCGCGCGCGCACGTACATGTACGGAGGAAAGGGTAAGAGTTGCGAGATGGCTATCTGGAAGCAGGCGTTGTTGAACGAGGCCGCTCGAGCCAGCAAATTTTTCAGTGGGTGCACGCTGATTGATCTGGAGAAGGCGTACGAACGAATCACGCACGAGCAATTGATACGAGCATGCAACAAGCACGGGTTCAGTTTGAGGAGGTTAAGGTTTCTCCTGTTGGTTTACTCGGGCAAGCGGGTCATTGAAGTAGGAGGGGCGGTGTCTTTGCACTTTGAGCTGAAACACCACCATGGTGGCAGGCTGCTCGTATGCGACGACGCTGCTGAAAGTAGTACTGTTACATGTTTTCGACGCTGCGGCCAAGAAGTGGCCGAGGATCGGCATTTCTTTGATGGTGGACGACGCTGGTCTCCAGGCAGTGGGTGATCAGAAACGTGTTCGGACTCAGCTAGTTAGGTGTACTCTGTTTGTTTGCAGGTCCTGGGAGAAGCTCGAGATGAAGGTTTCGAGACGTAAATCGATCCTGGTGGCCTCGGACCCGAATCTTGGAAAGCAGCTGGCATGGGCGCTTCGGGAATTTGGGTTCAAGCGTGTTCAGGCGACCAAAAACCTCGGGGTCGATTTCAAGCTGAGGACTGGAAGGGGTAGAAACGTCACAAAAAAATAGACTGAAGACGACCAGGGGCAGGGTGCGAAGGTCCAGGGCTTCCAGATTCTCTCGGAAGCCGCTTCAGAATGTGTATCGAGGAGGCCCTACGCTGGCGGTAATGCATGGCGTTTCTGTCGTCGGTCTCGGCGACGCGCAGTTGGAGCAGCAGCGCGCCTCGACAGGGGCGGCTATTTTCGGGCCTGTCAAGGGCCGCAGCCGCAGCTTGCAGTTCCTTTTGGCTGAGGTCGAGAAGCTCGACCCGATGTTCGCAGCAAATTCTTTGCCTCTGCAGATGTGGGTCAGAGCAGTATTTGATTCGTGGGCCACGGATGCCCAGATGAAGCGCGCCTTCGACTACGCGGTCAAGGCTAGGTCTCAAGGGTGGAGGACGGTCCTAGGCCCAGCAGGGGCGGTCGCGCTCACCCTTCGAAGGCTCGAGTGGGAAGCTGTCTCCTGGGATGTTTGTGTCAGCGCTGACGGAGTGACCATCAACATCAAAGAAGTAGGGCCTAGGACTGTGCAAACCCTAGCGGATGAAGCGACTAGACGGCTGCTGCGTATACGTGCGGGAGCTCAGTACAATGCCTCTTGGGAGCCATATGTGGAGCCTCTGCGTGATGAACTTGCTAGGTTGAGAGGTGCTGGAGATTTTCTTGGGGCCAGTCTGCTTATCGCACAGGTTTCTGGAGGTCGCTGGACTCAGGCTGATGTGTTCAGGAAGAGATTCGTGATTGATGATCGGTGCCAGTGGTGCCTCCAGGAGGGGATCGGTTTTTTTCACCGATTATGGGGCTGTGACGGCTCCAAGCTGATCAGGAGGGACCATGACAATAGTGGAATGGGGGCCGCAGCCGTGGCCCTGACTCAGCCTGATATCTTGTTCACGAGAGCCCTGGTGGATTCCAAGAGGACCGAGTTCCCCAAGATCCTCCAAGGTGCCGAGTATAGGTGGGCTGTGAAGCCCGAGAGTGGAGTGCTAGGCGACACTGTCTGCATCGACGGCTCCGCCTACGACGGAGATATTCGTTGGCTTTTGCGTGCTGGTTGGGCGGTCGTCTCCGTCCGCCCGAGTATGCAGGTGGACGCAGTGGCCTACGGGCCTTCCCCTCTCCCAGTGCAGGACGTGCCGTCCAGTGAGCTTTACGCCCTCTACATGGCGCTGTGCCTCATGGGACCCAGTATCCACATCATAACGGATTGTAACATGGTTTACGACGGGTGGAACATGGGAAGGGAGGGGGCGGTAAAATCCAACAAGTGCTACGCGGAGCTCTGGCGCCTCATCTGGATGAGGATCGAGGACGTCGGAGCAAATTCGGTGAACGTGTGCTGGATGCCTTCGCATATGTCGGAGGCGGCGGCGCAACGAAGAGGCTACGAGCCTCATTGGTTCAGAGGCAACCAGGAGGCGGACTCCTGGGCCAACACAGGTGCCAAGGCGCATCCAGCAAATCTTCACCTTCGGGATCGTCTGCGGCATCATCATGATCAGGTTACGCTCATCTCCATATATATGGTGGCAGTTCTCAAGCATGTCCATCAACTGGGTTATCCTGATGTATCATCATACTCTGAGCGTGCCAAAAGAGAGCCTAGGAATTCGGAGGCCCCGAGTCTCGAGATAGTCCCAGATGATAAGGGTCACGTTGTCTCGCAGGCTCCTGGCGGTGGGTGGGGATGTGGTGTCTGTGGGCTGGCGCGGGCGATTCGCTCTCGGCTGGTGCAGCTGCCGTGTCCTGGGCGTCCGAGGATTGTGTCCCAGGCCCACCCCACCCATCGTCTCTGGCAGAATGGAGGGCTGACCTGGTGCGTGCGCTGTGGAGCGTATGCCCGCTTGAAGGTCAAGGAGTTGTGCAAAGAGTGTTTCCCGAACACTGAGTGGAAACGGAAAGCCCTGGGGATTTTGAAGCAGGGGAAGGATCCCTCGAACTCTAAACTGGAGGCGGTTACCCCTGTCCCCCTCAGGCGCTGAGTTTCCGATTCATGTAAAGGGCGGGCGTCTTATGTCATCGGGACGACCGCTGAGGAGCGCAAGAGCGCAAGAGGAGGAGGAGGAGGTGGCTTACGCTGGTGGACGAGGGAAGAGCGGCGAAGATGGGGGAGGAGGAGCAGTGGGGGCGGACGAGGAGGAGAAACGAGGAGGACGAGGGCGAGGGGTTCCGCGGGTGGACCCTCTGCCCCTGTTTCTGCGCGTATTCGCGCCCCTCCTCCTGATCTGCCACGCGTGCCCCCCCCCCCTGCTCCTCCCACTCCTCGTGTTCCTCCTCCTCGCTTCCTGCTGTCGTTCCTCGCGTTCCTCCTCCCCCTGCTCCTCCCACTCCTCGCTTCCTCGCGTTCCTCCTCCTCCGCCGTTCCCACTCCTCGCGTTCCTTGCTGCCCCTCCCTCCCTCCCCGCTTCCCTTCGCCTCCCGCTGCCGCTCCCTCCGTCGCCCCCCCTGGCCGGAGCCAGCCGGGGTGCTGCGTGCCTCCGGCGCGCCCGCCGGCGTCCCGCGAAGGTGCCCGCTCGTGCGCGAGCCGTAACTTGAGGCTGGCTTGCGGCCGCCCCCCGCCAAGCACAAAGCGCGTTATTGCGGGTGCCCCCGGTTTTCGTGCCATGCCCTCGGCCTTCGTGCCCGGTGCCGCCCGCAGTCCAGGCACGGCTGCCGGTGTCTCTTCCGCGTCTTGTCTTCCCCAGTGTGCGTGGGCGCTCTGCTCCGTGTCCTGGCCTCTGCCATAACGTGTTGGACCGGCTAACAAGGCTTCACCTGCGCTCGGCCATGGATTTGAGCTTCGGGGGGCGCAAGTCGACGGTATCCTTCGCCTGCAGTGTGATTTGATAACGGTACGACGATGCCCTTCCGTCACGCTATTGCTTGTGATCGCATCGCCAGAGAAGCGTTGCTCTCCATGGTGGCCCCAATGTGTGAAGGCAATGCGGTGAGGTATCGGGCTTGGATCTGCCCAGTTGGTGTGATCGCCTCATGAACAGGACGGGAGTCATACATCAAGTCGGGCATGACGTTCCGATGTTCGGCGGGATGGCCAGCAAGCAGCTGCTCGAGAATTGAGCAATCCAGCATGTCAGGTGCTCCGATTCCTTGGCTGTGTCCTTGCGCTCGCCTCCGTGCCCACCATAAGATTCTTGATCTTTCGACCAGCCTTCGCAGAAGACCTCTGCGCAGCACGAGCAGACTCTCAAAGCACGCAGCGCGGCGGCTGTGAGCCTCAACTCTGTGAGGGCGATCCCCGATCCCTGCATTCGTGCAGTCGCAGAAACATTGACCACAGAGGTCGGGGGCATCAAGGAGCGGTTTCCGCAGGAGACCTTTCCCCCACGGCAATTCGAATCTCTGCGCCTCGAGCTTCTTGCCCATGCCGCTGAAAGAGCAAGGCTGCAGTAAGCACTGGGCGCGGTTCTGCCGCTGTACCCTGGATGTGCCAGGGCGTTCAGACCGGCTTGGACGGCTGACCGCGGGTTAAGTTGCGGTTTCTGTGGCCTCGACGAGGCTGCTCAGACGCGGGAGTGCGCAACGCGCGCCCTCTGTAGGCGATGCTGAGGCCCGTTCATCGCTCCATGTTGTTCGAGTGCATGGTCCAACACGCGTTCATGTTTCTGTTTTCTGCGAGGCGCTCTGTGCCTGCGCGCGTGATGAAGCGTGCTCGTGGCCGGCACACGATGACTTCCACGTGACTCCTGGGCAACACGTGTCAAGTGAAGCTCTCGGCACGATGCACGGTACAGTTGGAAAGTCGCCCTGTTCTTTTCAGGCCCCGCAGTTCGAGGTGGCCTCAACCGCGGCCTGGGAAGGTCAATTCCGCATCGGCAAACGTTCGGGGGCGGAAAAGAGGGGGGTGATGACTAGGGGGGGGTGGATATCATGGCGTGGGCCATGATATTCCCCCAGATTTCATGGCGCCTCTTCTTATTTCATCACGTCCCTGGCCCCCCCCCGCTGGGCCGCGCACATGCCGCCGGTCATGATTTGCACCCCCCCCCCTCTTGGACACCCCCCTCTTGGCCGCTCCAGAAACGTGTTCGTTGTCGGGCCCACGGGGTGGCGTCGCAGGGAGCGGTGCTCATCTCGTCGCTCTCGCCTGCCGGGGGTCCTCGTGGCCGTGGCTCGCCCAGCGCCTGCATATCCGAGGGCAGCCCCGGTGCCCGAGGCGGGTTCGGCTCGTGCGGTCGGCTTCTTGCTCGCTGCTGTTGTTGGCACGGGGTCCAGTGGACTTTTGGTGGTGTCTTGCTGCTGCTGCGGATCAGCTCCACTTCTCCTCCGTGTTGCGGCTGCGTCCCTCCTACTTCTCCTCCATCGTTCGCCTCCGCTTCGTCCTCGCTCCGAATTCGGAAGCCTCCGTCTGGCGCGTGGCTTTCTTGCCGTCAGCCGAGTGGCATGGAACGTGCGAGCCCCGCGATGTGCCCTGTGTGTATCCTTGTTCCCTCCTTTCCTCCCTTTGTCCTCATCGCCCCCCGATGCTCTTCTAGCTACGTAAAGTACCTTATCATCCCTCGTCCTCTTGCAGCTCTGCACCTACTCATGCTCCTCCTCATCCTCCTCCTCCTCCTCCTTTCCCGTCCCCCTCCCCAGCCTCTCAGTGCTCCTGCTATTCCCGCTGCCGTTCCCCCTTCCTCTTTCTTCTCGTCCCCCCATTCCCCCCCCCGTGTCTCGCTTCCTCCCACTCGCCGCCCCCCCTCCCTCCTGTGCAGGCCCTGACCCCCCCCCCCCCTCGCAGATGAGCAATGAAGGGGGGGCGGCGAGAGGCGACGAGCGGGAGGGAGGCCAGGGATGAGAAGCATGCGAAGTGCGAGCGTCGCTAGCTGCCGAGCAGGACACGGTGAGCGTCGACCCGGAGAACGGTCCGCGGGGGACGCTAACTGCCCGCCCACTCGTTAGATGCTCGTTTTGGGGACCTTCCTGGGGCCCACCTGACGGATCTGTTCGACTCTAGTTCGACCCCAGTTCGACTCCAGCTCGACGCAAGTTCGACTCAAGTTCGACTCAGGTTCGACCCAGGGTCGATTCACATCGACGGACGTTCGACGCAGCCTCAGCACAAGTGAGGAGCGAGTGTCTCCAGGGAGGTCCCCAGAATGAGCATCCAGCACTCGCACAGACATCCGCCGGGGCCAGGCCCTGGGCCCACGTCGTGGTGGATACCCAAAAGGGCGCCTCCTCCGGTGGTGCTGGCCCAGGCGCTGGCCAGGGCCAGGAGCTCAGATCTCCGACGAGATGGGCTCTTCAATCGGGGCGTGCTTCCCAGATTTCTGCTTCCCGCGCACGTGATTGTCGGAGGTGGATAGCCCTCCTACCCTGACACGTCGATTAAGGAATTGGCCGTGTTCGGTTCGCAAGAGGGCTTCGCGGCCGTCATTTTTGCGAGTCCAGGTCCGTCGGTTTCGGTCCCAGGACGTTTTCACTGAGGGGAGGTTTTTTACAGGGAGGTTTGTCTACCGCCGAGATTGGGGCCCAGTCGAGTCAAGCACAGATCCGGGACAGAAACATGCCGGGGGGCAAAGGGGTCGGGGCCTCCAGCGTCGTGCGCGGAAGAACACGTCCTCGGATGTGTGGAGTCTGGCAGTAGCTGGGGCCTGTTCAGGGGCAACGATCGACGGGGGGGTATTTGCCCGGAGGGGGGGAGCGTCGGTCGCCAATCGCATCGCTGATGTGGGCCTGGGCCCTCAGCCCGCCCAGGGACGTGCGGTTTCGCCATCGAGAGCCTGCCGCCGCTTCCTTGTCGAGTCAGCGCCGCGTCCCGGCCAGTGGTGCAGATCACAGGTCGGTGCGTTCCCCCCTGAGACAGTTCCGCCCAATCGTCCCCGCCATCCGTGCACCCCGCCACCTGACGCCGTGGAAGAGTCACAGCGCCCAGTCAAATCACGCCTGGAGCTCCGGACTCCATCGAGGGCTTCGGGGCCGCCGAACAGAACAGCTCGTTGCGGTGGTTCTGCGACGCGCATTCGTCAGGGTCCGCCCCTCGTAGCGAAAGCCTGCTCGAAACCATTCTAGGGAAGTCCCCCTTGCGCCATCAAGACCAGTTTCCCAAACCGCGCCCGCCCATTGCGACCAGAAACATGGAGCTCTTGACAAAACCTCCGAACATCTCCCAAGCCAGACGGCTGGGATCGTGTCAGGCGTGCTGACGCTGAAGGTCGAGGACGACAAGCCGGCCGACTACTTCTTGAAGAAGCAGGAGGAGAACCGCCGCGAGCGGCAGCGCAGGACCGGACGCCGTCGATGCCGTTGCCGTTGCCCTGGCATCCCAAGAGATGCAAGCTGTTTTGGGCTCAGCAGGGCCCCCTGAACGAGCGCAGGAGTTCTGACCGTAGTTGTCCAGACATCCGATGCCGGGATGTATTCCAGACGGGGTCCCCGAAAGCCCCGACCCTCTCTCTCTCTCTCTCTTCCCGGACTGGCTTTTCATCCCGAGTCGTTGTTCATAGGTCCTGGGGCCCCACGAGGGCCCCCGAAGCCGGCCATATTGACACGCCTGCGGTTTGATGTACCCCATATCCTAAGATGGGTTGCTGTTATTGATGAGACTCCTCCGCGTCACTTTCCCGCCTTCTGAATGATCACAGTACGCCCAGTCACTCATACCCCCGACCGTTCACATTCAAGCTCACTCACACTCAGCCTCATCCACACTCAGACTCGGTCACACGCAGACCCACTCACTCTCAGACTCTATGTCACTCACGCACAGACGCTCCCACTCACTCTTAGACTCACCACGTATATACACATATACATATCTATATATATAGATCATGTACGAGCCATATGTATATATACATATATATATATATATATATGTATTCGAATTTCGCTCAGTTATATTTAGACTCGCTCAGAAACATAAACACTGACACTCGGACCCGCTCAGAGAAAGACTCACCTCACACTCAGACTCGCTCCGAGCCTCCACGCTCGCACGTGGCCGGCCACAGTCCGACTCGCTCACGCCCGGGCTGTTTCGCACCCGATGGAGCAGGCGTGGCGCTCGGGCTTCCCAGGGAGGAACCGCCAGGGGGCGGGGCATTTGCCCGCTCGCTTCAACGAAGGATTGCAAAAAAAAACCCAGGATTGCAAAACAACGATTTTTTCGAAGGATTGCACAAAAAAACGAAGGTTTTTTGCAATCCTTCGTTTTTTTGCAATCCTGTTTTTTTTTTGTTGCAATCCTGGGTTTTTTTTGCAATCCTTCGTTCAAGATGGCGAGGACGTCCCATGCGATTTCTTTGTCTGGCTGGTCAGGCACAGTTCTCGAAAACGAGCCCAGGTATGGGTCGTCACGGCGAGGGACGCTTGCCTGTTTGCGTCTAGAGAGAGGGGCCCTCAGATAGAGAGGGACGCCCCTCTCCTTTGAGGGCCCCGTTCTCACCGCGATACAGCAGACGTCCATATGACAAATCGCCTTTGAGGGGGCCGCTTGTCCGGTCGCGTCCATCATGCGGGGGTGTCTCAGGCAGTTTGCTTGTTTGGTTGTTCAGATTTTCTTCTGCCTTTGAGAGCACCCACGCAGCGATATAGTAAGCTTAGCACCTGGGCCCGCCAAGGAGGAGCGGTCAGGGGGGGAAGACAGGAGGGAGGAGCGAGGAGGAAGGAACGAGGTGCGAAGAGCGAAGAGCCAGAAGAGCGGAGGGAGGAGGGAGGCGGATGATGGTTTCGTGCTTTCGCGAGGGAGCCTTCAGAGAGTTCATGAATCCCCCACCCCCCTTTCCCTTCCACCCCCCCTCGCCGTCCCCCTTGTCCCCCCTCCAGCTCCACTTCCCCCTCTCTCCCCCTTGCTGTATTTCCGCGCCCCCCCCCCCCTCCTCTCTTCACCTCGCTTCTGCATCGCACCCTCGCCTCACCTCCCACGCCTCCTCTCCCTTCACCTTTGCCTCCCCCTTCCCCTCCTGCCCCTCCTACACGTCCTTCTCACCTTCAACCTGCCCCCAGTGGAATTGCATGATTGCCTCATTGTTTGGGCCGGCCCTCTCAACTCAGGGTTCCCTTGTGCACTGCCCGTCGCGTGTCAGGGTCTCTTCCTGTCGTGAGCACGAGTTGCCCTCGACAGAAGCTCGTGTCCGCTCGGGCGGCCTCTGCAGTCGGTTCCGCTGGCACTCCCACCTCCCAGCCCCCCCGCGCTCTCTTCCTCACTTCCCCGGGGGCCGTCTGGCGAAGAGGGGCACGAGGGCCTCACACACGCCCTCCCCCTCGCCTCAAGCGCTCCTTCCCCTCCATGCCCATCGGTGGCAACTCTGGGGATGTTGAATCAAGCATCGGCCCAGTCAGCCAAGTCAAGTTCTGTCGTTCAGTCCCGCCGGGTTGTGCTTGACATGGACTAGCCCTGAGCTGAATTTGGGTGAACAGCTTTTGAATCGGCTTGGCAGTCTACCCCACGAAGACCTCCCAGGAGTTGCTTCCTGACCCGTCCGCATCCCACCCTCTCCTGTCTCCCCCCTCCATTCTCCCCCTCCGACCTCCGACATCCACGGCCAGGATGACCTCCTCATCATCCCCCCGTCATGTCTCGCAGTCTCTAGGGGACCCTGGCATCCCCCACCCGGTTTCAGCCAGACAGGGACGATTGTCCGCAGAGGTGGTTCGCTAATTGCTAGTTCGTTTGTCCCCCGCCCCCTCCCTCCCTCCCTGCCTTTCGACGACGACGACGCTATTTTTTGGCGACGTGGGCCCTTGGGGATCTCGAGCTCTTCCCGAGTTGTCTCTGGACGGTCCCAGGGTCGGGAAGACCAGCCGATGTGCATTTTTTTGTTGCGACGCCGGGGCCTGCTCTGGAGGGCCGACGTTGGTACGGAAGGGACGGAAGCGAATGGCCGACAGCACTTCTCGAAGACGAACAACAAGCCACAGAAACATAAACTTTTGGCGCTCCGCGCGGATTTCTTGGCTCCGCGCTGGGCTCCCCCTGGCGGCGCCTCCGGCGCCGGCCCTGGAGCGCCCCGCGCGCCAGGGAGAGGGGGGTCTTGCGCGGATCCGAGAAATCCGCGCGGAGCTCCAAAAGGTTATGTTTATGAGTTTTTTTGTTTTTCTTCCAGCGCAGGCAAATCAGGAGGGGAAAAAAACACACAGACACAATAAATCGTCCACTCCCAGGAAAATATGGGAAAATATGGGAAGTGGGGGGAAGACAAAAACCCAGAAAATATGGGAAAATATAGGGGGATATTTGTTATTTGTGTGTATTTATTTGTGTGTCCTGGGGCCCCTTCAGCAGTTCCCGATCGGGCCAGCTGTCGGTGTGTCGCTGCGGGCGCTGCACCCCTCGGAAGCAGACAGCCGCGAGCGCCGCGGCGGCCGCTGCGGCTTGTGGATCGCGGTGGTTGTTGGGCATCCTGCCCGGGTTTGCCGTCCCCACGTCGGCGGCCAGACCTGAGGGTTAAGTCGGGCCTGTCCCTCTACCGGAAGAAAATCCAAAGATATAAAAAAATAGTGTCTCGGGGGCGATTTATGTTTGACTATTTTGGGGCATTTTTCTGGGGTGTCTCTGAGTTTCGTTTCGTCCAAAATCCGCCTGTTGGGGGAGACGCCCGACCTAACCTGAGGGCCCATGCACCGCAGGATTGACGCCGGCGACGAGACGGCCCGCCTCGACTTCTCGGCGCTGACGAAGCAGAAGGACCGGGGAGCCGCAAGACTCGAGTGCGCCGGGACTCGGGGTTTACCGGCGCTTGTTGACGAGCGCGTCTTGGGTTGTGACGGGCCAGTTTTGTCGTGCGATGCCTGCAGCGGGAGCCGCAGACGTTTGGGCTACTCCATATTTGTAATTTCACTTCTGCGCATAGACGTTCTACTGATGTTTGCTGTGCGATGCAACTTTGGCGAGTAAGTGGGAACCAGGCCACAGGGGCCCACCCCACTGCGGACTACTTACCACAGCATCAATTCGTACTTCTCCAACCTGCTTGGCTACCGTCGTTTCGTACGCCATTTTACCGTCTCATTCACGCTTTTGACTCTCGAGTCAAATTTCATTAAGGGTCCCGTCATTTTCATGCTGGGCCCTGTCAGGCCAACCCGAGTCCTCTTGACCTCCCCGAGATCAAGCAGTGGCGAAGCGTCCCGGCGTGCTTATAGGCCTACCAAACAATGGTCTAAGAACCTTTTCCTGGTTTCCACGAAATGCTCTCAGAACATTTCTAGCTGGGACTGTCCTGTTTTAACACGTCGGGCTTATGCTCTAAGGGCATTGTGTTTGCTCGTAGAACAGGTTTGGGTTCTAAGAACATGCCGTGATGGATGGGCCTGTTTTCCACCACCACCGCCGTAAGTTGGAGGGGGGAGGGAGGTGGAGGAGGAGCAGGAGGAGGAGCAGGAGGAGGAGCAGGAGGAGGAGGAGGAGGAGGAGGAGGAGCAGGAGGAGGAGGAGGAGGAGGAGGACCGACCGTAGCCATTTGGGCTCAAGGGGCCTGCTCCTGAACTTCCAACCCCGCTCGAGAGATTGTTGCGTGTTCAGGGTTTCGGCCCCCCTTGAGGCTTCCTGGCCTGGGGTTCGCGACCCCACTCTTTTACCTTTGTAGGACCCCTCGGTCCCGCGCGCGCCGTCCCATGGGGTGGCAGTATGGCTCTCGCAGTGGTGGTAAGACTACTGCTAATTGGGCTTGTCAGAAATGTGGATGCAGGAAACATCTATACTACTGGAAATGGTGTAAGCATTGCGGAGCGCGACCAGACGCTGTGCATCCATCGGAACCCCCTAAGCCTCGAGGGGTTTGGAAGGACTGGGAACCAAAGCCTGAGGGAGGAGGAGGAGGAGGTGGAGGGCAGCAGGAGTCAGGTGCAGCAGGCCGCGGTGCCAGAGGTAAGGGAAAAAGAACCGCCCCCGCAAAAGTCATCCAGCTGGCCACGGAGCTCCAGCAGAGTCTTGGGCAGTCCGAGGCTGAGCGGAGCCTGGCCGCCGAGGTCCAGCGAGGAGTGGAAGCCATCCAGCAGGACTGATACGAGGCCCTCCCCAGGGGTGTCAGGCTTCAGAGATTGAGCAGGTTGTTGTTAAGGCCCAGAAACGTGTCGCAGCAGCTGGGCAGCGCGAAGCCGACCTCATCCAGGAGAGGAAGGATCTGGAGGAGAAGATTAGGGTGGCAGGAGAAGACATTATCAAAGCCAAGGAGGAGCTGGAGGCCGCCAAGGAGAAGAGGAGGCTGGATGGGCAGCCTGATGATGACACTGCTTCCCGCCACAAGTTCGAGCAAGCGGCCGCCAGTTATACTCCAGAGGTTCAGCAAACCCTCAAATCGATCCTTGATTCCGTTATCCCAGCCCCAGCCCCTGCACCCATGGATGAGGACCAGGAGGAGGGGCAGGGTTACGAGAAGGACGCAGGGACCCGACAACGTGAGTTTCAATCGGCCTTTCCAGGAACTGCCCCAGAGGACTACCACCGTGCCCAGCGTATATTTCGACCCGCATTTCTACCTGTCGGACACGGAGGAGGGCTTGGAGCAGGAAGAGGAGGTAGAGGAGCTGGAGGAGGCAAGGGAGAGGAAAGAGGTGGAAGAAGCAGGGCAGCGAAGGCGGCGACGACGGCGGCACAGGAGGCCCCAGGACCGAGAGGACCTGAAGGCCCCACCCAGCCAACAACGCCCCAACCAGCAGCAGCATCAGACGCAGCCCCAGGCAGCAGACAGCAAGCAGCATCAGCAGCTCCAGGCAGCAGAGGCGGTGGCGCAGCAGCTTCCACCGACGACGGCGGCGAGAGACGGGGGAGCAGATCCCCCAGGCGTGGCCAGGAGGACTGAGGACGGAGCTGCTGGATCCCCTCGACTGACCAGGCTTCTCACAACCGTGACGGTGAATGGGTCTGGATGGGGATCGGTATTTGTCGAGATAGAGCGCGCGAAATATCTAATTGTCTGCGCCCAAGAGCATCGTCTTCGGGGTGGAGGGCTTCAGGAGAAAGCCACACAACTGACACGTCTTGGGTGGAAGAGCTTTTGGGCATAGGCAGGAGTATCTCAGGAGGGCAACCCGATCGCGGGCACATGTATTCTGGTTCGGAGGGTCCTGGGTGCGTGGTCTCCGATGTCGACGGCGGTACCTCGCAGAGTGGCCCATTGTTTCTTGAGAACAGCAGCTGTAGGCACCATAGGCTTGCGTGCGGTCTACCCCAAGGACGGCGTCGGCATGGTCAAAACTAATCTTCAGCTGTTTAGGACCTTTGGGGCGCATGCCCTGGCATCAGGAGCCCCATTCATAGCAGCAGGTGATTGGAACTGTGCGCCAGGAGCATTGAGAGCTGCCGTGGGTTTGAATATTATATCTGCTACTATACGTAGTGACGTACATGTTCATTCACACGTATATGCCAAGGGTGGTAAGGCTAGGAGTAACACCCTGTATTATTTTATATTGAGCTGCACTCTTTCTGTTGTAGCGTCGGATCCGAGAGTGGACCTCACTAGTGTGCTCTCGCCTCACAGGCCTGTGTCCATCGTGGTTAAGCGCGCCGTGAACGATGTCACAGTACCTGTCTTGAAACCGTTCGCTAGGCCCCCGACCACCCCCGCCGTTGGACCACGGGCTCCTGGACCTGACTATCACGATTTGACTCAGAGGCTTGATGGTTTTCTGGAGCAGGCCAAGGTTGACTGCAAGCAGTGTACGTTGTCGGGGGGTTGGAAGGAGAGAGGGCAGCAGGTCTTGGGCCAGATGTACCAGGACTGGGCTTATGCAGCGTGGCAGGAGCTCCAAGATGCGACCCAATCCTGTCCCACATTTGGGGTGTCTGCTGGGGAACGTTTCGCTATTGAGGTCAAACCCATTAGAAGAGTGCTCACCACCAAGCAGAACCCTCTCCCGACCCCAGGGAGAGCACTTCGCTGGCTGAAGAATCGTCTTGTCGAGCTCCGCCAGTTGCATGCCCAGCGAGGGCAGTCGGCACCGTCAGGACACTTCCAGGCCCTGCTCAGAGCTACGGGCAGAGTTATTCATGCTGGTGGACTCTTGAGACGACATCTGGGCCAAGAGAAAGCACCGTTCTGGATCATGATGTTGGGCCATATTTTATTCGCGTCTCCTGAAACATCATGCCTGGCATGACCACCAGCTGTTTCCAGAAACGACTGCCTTCATCGATGTGGTCGAAATGTCAGCCAAGCAGCAGTGCGCTTTGGACAAGAGGAGCAGAGGAAAGAGGTGGCAGGAGTGGTGTGAGCAAGCGTTAGCAGGAGGAGCAGGAGCAGCGCATGCTATGACCAGGTTGTCACCAGAGTACGAGGAGGAGGTTTACAGGCAGGTGGATGGCACGCCCACGGGCGATATCACGGTGGGTTTGCAGCAACAGAGAGACTCGTGGAGCAAAGCCTGGTCAGCATCGGACACACCAGATGTCTCACAGTATGACTTGGATGGACCCCTCGAGTTGCCACCGAGAGCTGAACCAGATCTTCTGCGTAGAATATCCAGACACTTTAAGACCAGAACCACGGAGGTAGGAGGCTTTCATCCCAAGCACTTCTCCCTCCTCTCCTCTGCGTGCCTTAGCGTCATGTCTGGAATGTTCGCCCTCGTGACAGCTGTTGGCAATGCGCCGTCGTCCCAGCAGTATGTGAGCATGCAGTTGTTCAGGAAGCCCAAGAGGGGACGTCGCCCCATAGGGTTCTTCATTTCCGTTGAGCGGCTGCACGGCCGTACCCTTGCCTACGAGGCCAAGCAGCGGGAAAGAACACTCGGAAGCCTCCCCCAGTTCTCTATGGCCTCTGGTAGGGGCCCTTTGGATGCTGTCTGGAGGCAGAGTGCCAGGGGGGAGAACCTTTCACAGTCTGGGTATCATTTGCTGAGCGTGCTGTGGGACCTCAAGCAGTTCTATGAACATATCAGTCATGCCACACTTTGGACACAGGCTATGCTAGTGGAATGCCCCTTGGCATCGTTGAGATATACCTTAAATATGTATAAGTGGCAGAGAATTGTAGCCATGGGCGGTCTAGTAGCACTACCTATCTGGCCCGCGCGAGGGTTTCTAGCAGGGACGTCCACGGCAACATATGAGGTGAAAGCATTCTTTGTACCAGGGATATCTGAATGGACAGAGAAGTTACACTGCCACAGGTCAGCTCTCACCATTCACATTGATGATTTCACTGTGAACGAAGCTCAGCTAGGGTTCTTTCAGTGCATATCCATGATGAGAGACAAGGCCAAGACATTGGCACACCTTGTGACCCAGCAGCTGGGCGCCCCGCTAGCTTACACGAAGCTTGCAGTCGCAGGTTCGTCGCCGGCGCTGGTCGAGGCAGCCAGAGTTGCCATGGGAGAGCTTGCTGGTGTTCCAGAGGATTTCCCGAAGAACCTAGGTGTTGATTACAGTCTTGGGAAACGCAAACATCGTGCGGGTGCCCGAAAGGTCCGACAAAAGAGGTTCCAGAACGTTCCTGTTAGGATGAGGAAGCTCAAGACCATCAAGGCCCCCAAGTTCACCAAGGCTAAGATTTTCTTTACTGGACTTCAGAGCGCCGCTACTTACGGTGGAGAAGTCAGCGGATATGCCCCCAAGGAGCTGGCCTTCCTTAGACTCCAGGCGGCCAGGACTTTAGGAATGCAGCAATCAGGATCCAGGGAGATTGGTTTTCAGCTTTTCCCTGCCCGTGATCCCATTCGGTTTGCTGCCTCCACTCCCAAAAGATTTTGCAAAGAGTGGTGGCAAACCACGGACAAAGATTTGTTCCAGGGGGACGGCCTGACGGTGGGAGAGTTGTCTACAGGTTTTGCGACCACCTTAGAGACTCTTGGACGTATGCCTGAGAGGGCAGCGTGGCTCCAGCGCTCGACAGGACCCCTCGCCGACATGCACCTCAGGATGCGCGCAGCAGGCTGGGAATCAGATGGACCCGGTATTCTCGTCAGTCGACAGGGTGCCAGGTGGTCCTTTTCCCAGGACGCCCCAGACACGATCGCTCAGAGCTTCGTCAAGGATATCAGAGCAGTTTTCCTCCAGAGGGCTCTGACAGCGAAGTTGGAAGATAATGCCAATCACAGAGCGCAGCAGATAATCACCAGTGGAGTGTGGAGTCTCCCCGCACGCCGTATGCTAGCTGGTAAGAAGTTGTCTGCGAGCCAGAAGCGTCTCTTGGCGGCAGTCTTCTCTGGAGGATACACTACAGCACTGGACCTCCATAAGTGGGGATATAATACTGATGGCAGTTGCAAGTACTGTGGACGACCAGACAGCGCACGTCACAGAGCGTGGACGTGCCCGCGCTTCGAACCAGATCGGGAGGGAATCGACCAAGAGATTCTGGAGATGACTAAGCAGGAAGGGGAGACAGGCCCGCTCTTCACCCACCTCTGGATGCCCACTCCAGCTTTCACTTCGTTCCCTGTCGAAGACACGTATGTGCGGTATTTTGAGTGCAGAGACGGACGGTATGTAGAAGTTGTTGCCTTTGATTTTCCTGAAGGTGGTCATCTCTTCTCGGATGGGAGCTGTCTTCATGGGGAGAAACCAGGAGTGGCCAGAGCAGGATGGTGTGTATGTCAGGTCAATGATGATGGTGACCTCCTGCGCTGGATCCAGGGCCCGATGCCGTCCTCCCTCAACCAGACAGCACCAGCAGCCGAACACTTCGGAGTAGTTGCTGCCAATCAAGCTTGCAAGTCTAGGGAACTAGGATCCCCACTGTTTGTAAATTGTCAGAGCCTCCTAGATGGCACAGCAGACCCTCTCAGAGCTCGCAGCCACACCAATGCACACGCAGCGCATTGGAGAATTGGCTGGGCCCCTGAGGGTAAATCTTCTGAAAGTCAAGGCTCACAAGAGTGAGTCAGAAGCTCAGGCGCCTCAGGACCTGCTGAACATACGTGGGGGCGCCCACGCAGACAGCAGAGCCAATAATGCGGCCAGAGATAATGATCTTTCAGTTGATGATTCAAAAACGTTTAAAGAGAGCTCTGCGTTATTTGAACAATTTGCTTTTGCCATGCTTACTATACTAGGTTTGTGCACTCCTACTAAAGAGCTGTATGGCTCCCTGGAGCGGGTGCCCCGACCCCCGCCCCCGCCTCTCCAGTCTCGTCAGCCGCATTGTGCGGTTTTTGTGGGGGGGAACTGGCGCTGTGCGTCCTGCCACAGACCGGGGAGGCGGCTCGTAAGTAAGACAGCGTGCAGAAACCTGTCCGAGTCCATGAATATGATTTTAAGTGCTGCGCTGAAGCCTGACTACCAACACACCTTGTGGATGACCCAAACTGTGGCTGGTGGTGCTCCTGTGCTGTACTGTTCGGGATGTGGCGCTATGGCGGCTAGTCGGGCTGTGAAACTTCGTGACCCTGTCTGCCGCCCAGACCCGAGGAACAGGGATCTGAGCAAGCTCAAGCGGGGGATTCTTCCAGGCGGCACGGGTGCGGTCCTAGAGCGACCCTGGCCCATCCGCCACTCCCCCGCCGCGCCACCCGCAGGACTCTCCTCCTCCTCCACCTCCACCTCCCAGGTTTGGAACCGCCTGTCCGAGCTCCAGGCGCTCCGCCTAGGGAGGGGTGGGCTTTAAGGAGGGGCAGGAGTCGAGGTTTTCTCACTTTCTTCTGACAGGTGGGGTTGGCCTTTGGCCTCCCCCCCTCAAGCGGCGTTAAAGGCGTTAAAGGAGGAGGACCGCCCTCCCCCTCCAGCTTCTGTGGTGGTGGTGGTGGTGGACAGCAGGCCCCTCCCATTGGAGTGCCGGGACGGCCGGCCCCTGCCACACCGAGAGGAGCAGGCCGAGAAGCAGGCGGCCGCCCGGGCGCAGGCGGCGCAGGCGGCGCCGCAGGCGGCCGAGAGCCCCCCGTCGTCGTCGTCGGTCGGGCGGCCGGTCGCGGCCTCGGCCGGCCGCTCGGCCTCGGCGTTTGGGGCGGGCGGGGCTACTCCAGATTTCGTCATAAAGGGAGGGGGATCCGCCTGTTCCCACCTGCCCTCCCACAGCATGGTCTCGGCATCGCTCGGACGTGTGCATTTTTCCTTCGGCGAGGGCCATCGAGGAGCATCCTTGATCATTTGGCGAAAAACCACGCACGAAACCGAAAAAAACAGAGGAAATGGACGTCCGAGCGATGCCCCGTGGTATGATACTCCAGATTTTGTAGTAAAGGGAGGGATCTCATTTCGGGGAGGGGGGGTCTCTTCCAGGCTATCTCGGAGGGCCTGGGGGGTCCGGGGACGATGTTTTGGTTGGTTCTCCCACGGGGGAGGTCTGAAATGGTTTGTCTTGGAGGGTCCAGACCCCCTCCCTTTTATTACGAAATCTGGAGTATGGTCTCGGCCTGCCCCCCCCCCCCGCCTGGGCGTCGTCGTCGTCGTCCTCGTCGTCGTCGTCGTCGTGGTCTTCGTCGGCGTTGCGTCGCTGTCGTCGTGGTCGTGGTGGTGGTCGTCGTCGTCGCGGCCGTCGTCGTCGTCGTCGTCGTCGTCGTCGTCGTCGTGGCACTCGTCGTCGTCGTCGTCGTCGTCGTCGTCGTGGCACTCGTCGTCGTCGTCCTCCTCCTCCCGCTGCGGGGAAGCACGCGGCTGGAGAGGTATTGTTGCGCCAGCTGTCGGCCTTTGGGGGCAGGGGCCGCGAAGCACTGCTCAGGGTGAGAAGCTGGCGCTGCGGGAGGGGTCGGGGCTTCCTGGGCCTCGAATCGAAAATACCAAGACATCGGATGTCTGGGATCCGGCCGAGTAGGGCGCGGTCTCGTGTCCAGAAGGGTCCGGGCAGGTTGGTCGGTCGTGCTCGGCCTCAGTTGTTCAGTGCGCAAGCCGTCAGGAGAGCCCAGGAGATATGCCAGCGCATGCCCCAATTAGTAGTGAGCTTGAGGGTGGCCTGGGTTTCTTGGGTGTCGGTGGTTTTGCTAAGGAAGCGTGGCGTTTCCACAACCAAAAACTCATGAACGTCCTGGGGTCTCAGGGTTGGGTTTCTTGTGGAAGGCCTTTTTTGTGGTCGAGCTCCTACTCTCTGCGCACGGCAGTTTTGCGCTTCGCACGTGCGGTGCAAGCTGTGTGGTGCAAGCTGTGTGTGTGTGTGGTGAACGCTCTGTGGTGCAGGCTGTGTGCTGAGAGCCGTGTGGCGCACTTATGTGCGGCAGCAGGCTCTGCGTAAAAGTCAGCGAATGTGCAACCTACAGTGCCATTTTTAATGCATGCTCCGCGTGCGGTTCATGCGCTCAAAATGAAGGGATTTAGTATGAAAAACAACGACGAGTTCATGCATAAATCTATGTACTCAAGACTGCCCTGTGTGCCGCGGCAGCCGTGCGGTGCAGGCAGCGCGAGGCGCCCACGAGGCGCCCGCGGCCGCTCGCCCGACGGCACCTCGACGCGCTCACCCCCGCTGGCGCACGCGGCGCCCAGGAGGCGCCGACGCCCGCCCACTGGGCGAAGTCCCACCACGGCCCTGCCATTCCTCAGTCTGGACGCCCGAAATGGGCACGGAAAGAATGGGTTTAACGGACGAAGAACGGCATAAAATGAACTTTTTCGCTGTCGGGGGCGCCTGCCCCTGGGCGGCTGGAAAGTTTATACCCCTACGGTGGCACCGTAGGGGTATAAACTTTCCAGCCGCCCAGGGGCAGGTGTCCCCGACAGCGAAAAAGTTTATTTTATACCGTTCTTCGCCCGTTGATGGGTACAATGCCCAACAGCAGTTCCTGCTCATGTTGAGCAGGGCTCGCTGTCCGCGCCGCCGCGGCCGGTGTCCACTCGAGACAGAAGGCCGCCTGCCCAACAGCGGCCGCTGCTGGTTCGGGACAACATGTGCTGTTGGGCATTGTGTACCCATGTTTTCCGTACCCAGTTCGGGCGTCCAAACTTAGGGAGGCAAGCGAGAACTCAGGAGATTCCAGCCTACTTCGGCCTTGCTCACCAGGAAGAGTTCCGAGCACCAGGAAACTAACGGAGCTGGAGGGTTTTCACTCGTCGGGCCTTGGGAGGCGATACTCGGCCGACATTGTTTCGATGTTTCTCTGGGTGCTCGAACTTATGCTTGGGCTGTGGTCCTGAAGTGCGATGGGAGCAACATAAGTAAGGACCTGGTTCAAGCAGTGTTCGGGGAGCTGTCATTCGCAACAGTGCCCGTTACCAGGCATCCCCCCTTCCTCCTCCCCCCCGTCTGTAACGTCACGACTCGCAACGGCGCCGTCTGGGAATCCAGTGGCATCGAGCTTGCCGGCCCCATATCTCCATCTGGGAACGCCGGGTATCACCAGCTGGGGGACCAGAGGCAACAGGCTCCATAGCTGGGCCCATGCATCCTTGTAGGTTGCAGCTCCTGGCAGGTTGCATCCAGCATCGGCATCTGGGGATGTCCTTGGTCGAAGCACGGCGGAGTCTGGCCTAAGCCCGCTGAATCCCACCTTGTCCAGCGTAATCCAGCTTGATCCTTGGCGTAGTGAGGCTGACTAGCTCATATTGATCGGGGCAAGTGATCCCATCGAGAATACAAGACCCCCTTACACTCATAACATAGTGAAGACGTGGCCCCACTTAGGTCCCCGTCTCTGCACTACTAACATAGTGGGGATCGTAAATCTGGTGTTAGCGCTCCTGACGTAGATCCCCTTTCAAGGGGTCAGGGTTCCTTTTCTTGCGAAGTATGATGTGTCACCGTTCCCACGGCGACAGCCCCCAAGTTGCCTCCCCAGCCCTGGTCGCGGGCCTCCTCTTTCGTGGAAGGGGGCCCGCAACCTCTCCTCGCCCAGGGTCGAAGCATAAGATAATCAGGGGGAACACCAGGAGAGAGGCAGCGAGCACTCCTCGATGATCTCCCAGCTGTGTCTTCACCCTGAGCGTTTGCCCCCACGGCCTCTCCTGGGCTTCTCTTCGTTGCCTGCGTTCGCATCGGGGGGCTTCGGTGGACGAGCACACGTTGGCGCTGAGGCCGAGAGGAGGAGAGGGGTGGATGAGCGAGGGCGGAGCAGCGAGGGAGAGGGGACGCGGAGTGGGAGCAAGGGCGAGGAGCAGCCTCTGGTTTCGAGCCTCTGTGGCGCCGTTTCTGGGGGAGGGAGAGCAGTGGAGCAGGAGGAGGAGGAGGAGGAGGAGGAGGAGGGCGACAGTGTGGGAGAGAGGGGGGGAGCGGAGGGAGGGAGGGAGGGAGGGAGGGAGAGTATTTGGTATAGTGGATGGTTAGACCCTTGCGATTCCGGTTGATCTTTTGCACTTGGCGATTTGGCCATAATTCGGGCCCTAGTCCTTCACTGGGATTTCTCCGTCACCACCGCCTGGGGCATCGATATGTTCTGGCCCGCGTCTTGCCGAATGTGTCGCGTCAGACCTGTGCTTCTGAACTGCGTGTTGAGCTACGTGTCAGCACCCTCCTGGCTGCGCGTTGTCGGCTAAGTTCCTGCCATCCTTGCTGGCCCTCGCGGTCCTCACCATCCCTGCGCCTGCCCATCTTCTCCCTAGCTGTGCCGTGTCCGACTCAACGACCTAAACGGTCTTCCGCGTTGTCGACCTAGCGATTTGCTAACTGTTACGCTACCGCGGACGCCGAGAATCGGGCGAAAGCTCCCAGACGCACAAACTTCCATAACATTGGAACGTCTACCCGTGATCTTACACCAGGTGACTGCGGCATCGATGGCTGAGGTGCCCATGCGCCCCGGGTGAGGGCGGAGGTTCCTTCAGGGGGCGGGGGCGGGGGGAGGGGGGGCAGCGTGGGGACCAGGGAGCTACGTGGGGAAACGCGGGGGGCGATGACGGGTAGGAGGGCGGCTGCAGGCTGCAGGGAAGTGTGGGGCTGGGGGGAGGAGAGAGCGAGAGAGAATGAGGGAGAAAGAGAGAGAGAGAGAGAGAGAGGGAAAGAGAGATGGATGGAGAGAGAGAGAGAGAGAGAGAGAGAGAAAGGGCCCCAGGCTGCGAACTGCTTATGCTCTTGGGGTCGAGGGCACAAGCCACTCTGAATTCTGGTTCCAGTGTCCCCAGAACTTGGGTCCAGGTGAAGGTCTTGGGAGGAGTTGGCGCGAGAGAGATGGGAGGGGCAAGGAGAGCGACCGAGGTGGGGGGAGGCAGGAGGACAAAGGCGTGCAAGAGACGTTGTTTTACATTCTGGCCAGCTTGCTTGCATGGATGGGGGGACTCCGCGCCGACGCAAGCGCAAGTGAAACCCCTTGGATATCGCAATTGTCCAAAAGGTTTGCCTTCGGTTTACCTTCGGTGCGCCGCATGGCTGGCTGCTATTATGCGTTGAAACCAGGCATTCCAGTTTGCAACGCTCGGGTTCCACAAGGATGCTGCATCCATCACGCTCCTGGAGGACCATTTGAGGAAGTTGCGTTCAAAGACAGTCCGATTTAGAGAACGAGCAGCTTGATGACCCCAACGGTCTCTTGCACTTGCACCCCCGGGAGGGTGGGCGGCAGTAATCGGGCAAGTCGACAATCACTTGCACGCTTGTTTGAAGAGAGGCCTGGGATGGGGTGGTGGGGGCAAACGCCATGCAAGTAAACTTGTTTGAAAATAAAGGAAACCGTCTCTAAGGTCGACTCCCTGACCTGTCTTGGGTGAATTTTGGCTTGCTTTTCGAAAGGAAGGTTTTAAAGGCCGAAAGCCGCCAACCTCGAATCTGGATCCTTGAACCTCGAGCCTCGAGGGAGGGCTCCCGAAGGCGCCGGCTGCGGCTGCCACGATGAAGGCGCCGTGGAAGACGCCGGCTGCGGCTGCCACGATGAAGGCGCCGTTGAAGACGCCGGCTGCGGCAGCTGGCGCCGCCACGGGCGCGGCTCCTGCCGCCAAGGCGCCAGTGCCGACCGGCAAAATGGTCGCGCCGAAGGCCACGCTTCCGTCCTTCACTTTCCAGCCTCAGTTTTTCCATCACCTCCTCGATCAAGATCGACGAGGACGGGGACGACGTCCAGACGACGAAGACATCCACGATAGAGGTCTATGGGGCGTTTATGGAGGGCTTCTCGTCGCCATGTCTGGACGCAGCTCGTAACACTGGTCAGGATGGACCGTGGCTAGGCCCACGCTTGGACAGGGGGCACGCTGCTCCTTCCTTCCTCGCGCCACCTCCCGCCTCACCTCTACTCTGCCCCCACCTGTCCCCACCATCTGCCCCCCCCACCTCCTCCTCCTCTTGTCTATCCTCTCCTGTCCTTCTTCCCATGCGTCGACCAGCCTCTGTTCTAGGCCTCCTAGATAGGGTCGGAGTATATGGGGTCGGAGGATCGCGCCGCACCGACGATGCATCGGCGATGCGGCCCGAAGTGGATACAGAATTTCTCCACGCCGACGGCGCCAACGTCGCCAGTGCATCGCCGATGCATCTACTCCGACCCCCATCTGGGAAGCCTCTACTTGTCGGTTCTACTTCGCCGCTGCCATGCGCCCCTGGCGAATTGGCAGAGTTGATTTATACGCCTCGCCCCTCACAGGTGCCCCCAGCCGCACAGATGCCTCTGCGTTCCTGTGCCTCCTAGGGAGCGCAGCGGGGTGGCGTACGAATTACACAGATCACGAATATGAGCATTGCCCCATTGCCCCCGCCCCATACCTTGCAGGGCTTTGCTGCCAAGCGCGCAGCAGTCTTCGCACTTCTGCGCCCCCGAGAGGACTGGCACTTCCTGCCGACTTGATGATCACATGCTGCCGAGCTCAGGACAGGCCAGACTGCCCTGTGCCGCTGGGGATGGCAGTGTGGCGGTGAACGCAGGCTCACATGATCATGAACGCCCCCTCCCCATACACGCACCAGGGCCTTGCCAACCAGAACTGGCCCAGCTTCCCTGGCCCATGGAGGCTCCAGCGGCGCGACGTCGCACCCGGGTCCGAGTGGTCCCCCCCCGTTCTGGTGCCGCCAGGCGCATAGTTGCTTCCACTTGTTTGAGCCCCTGGGAGGTCCAGCGGAGAGGCGTCGCACGCGTGCGCTGTTGATTTACCCTGCCCCGCCCGCGCTGCCGCTGCCAAGCCCATGGCCGGACGCCGGCGGCAAAGCGTCAGCCCGGTTACCGCCGGGGCCTCGTGGAGCTCAAGCTCACTCGCCCGCTTCGCGCGTCTGCCTCGAAGCGATGCTGCGAGCGGTGGCATGTTTTGGCTTCGACGCGGCGTCGGTTCCTCCGAGTGGTTTGCGGGTACAGTCGGGGCCCTGAAGAGGGAACCCTTTTCTTTGGGGAGGGGCTCCGCGTTCCTTAGTGTTTCACAGCTTGCCTCAGGTTTTCCTTATGTCTTCGATCGGAAATCGAAATTTAACCTTTGGAAAAAGGGGCCTCGTTCCTTATTTAGGGTTCCTTAGGTCAACGCCTCGACTGTAATACTTCAGCTGCGGGCCTGAACTGTAATTACATAACTAGATCAGATCGGCGATCAAGATTCCAGGAAGGATTCAGGATCGAGGATCCGCGAGGATCGAGCAGGAGGGGAAAAGGAGGAGGAGGACCGACTATCGAGGAGGACCGAAGATCGAGGAGGATCGAACTCCGATGACGATCGAGGGGGACCGAGAATTTTAGCTAGCTACTTCAGCTACTCTCAGGAGGGGAGAACACACACAGACACACTTAACCGTCGACTCCCAGGAAAATATGGGAAAATATGGGAATTGGGGGGGAAGACAAAACCAAACAAATATAGGAAAATATGGGGCATCCTTTTATTTGTGTGTATTTATTTGTGTGTCCTGGGGCCACTTCATAATCCTCAGAACAGCGCATCATAATTGTGACTACTGGGTCGACCCATCACATCTTTCACAACAGCCCAACAGCGGATCCCAGGCAGTCCCACTGTCTCCCTCTGGCTGGGTCGGGTAACTGGCCCCCCCTACGCCCGAGTTCCTCTAAGCTCATCTTGTTGGAGCCCCTGGAAGGTCCAGCGGAGCGGCGTCGCACGCATGCGCTGTTGATTCCCCTCGCCCCGCCCGTGCTGCCGCTGCCAAACCCATGACAGTCCCTGCTTCCACGAGCCCTGCCTGGGGTCCGGCAAAGCGGCGTCTCACGCATCTCCCGTTTCTTGCCTTCGCTCCGCACTGGGTGTTGCCAATCGCGCAATTGTCACCGCTTTCCTGCGCCTCTGGGGTCCAGTACCCTCTACCAAACGCGCAGCTGTCACCGATGTTCCGTGCCGTGGGGGTCCAGTGGAGTGGTGTTCTACGCGGATCCAATTGATGATCTTCGCCCCCATGGGTGCTTTCAGGCCCACAAAGGTCCCAATGGTTCGTGTACTTCCATGGGGTCCGTCGGAGTACTGGCATACGCAGATCCACCCTAAAGTATTGCCACACGTCGCTGGTGTGTCGGTTATGCGCCTGGGCAACTCACCCTGACCTTCCTTCCATCTCCTCTGTGTTTCCTCATTTCCTCCCTCCTCATCCGTACGATCCACCCGATCCGTGAAGCTTCTTCATACTTCCTAGTCCTCCTCTGCCTCCCTTGTACGCCTCTCCTTCCTTCTCCACCTAGGCGCTTTTCCTCCTGCTCGTGCTTATTGCCCTCTTCTTGTTGATTCCGCTGCTCCCGCTCCCTCACTCTCCCCCCCCCCTCCCTCCGCCCTTGTCGTCCCCTCCAACCTCCCTCCCTCCCTCCCTCCCTCCCGTCCTCCGCCTCTTCTTCCTCCTCCTCCTCCTCCTCCTCCTCCTCCTCCTCCCTTCCCTACCTCCCTACTGCAACACATCCTCCCTTCCACTCCTCCAACCTCGAGCAAGAATCCTCCTTTCTCTACCTCCCCCCTCCTCCCTCGCTCTCCTCCTAACTCCCTCTTCCTTACCTCTCTCCTCCTCCCTCTTCCTCCCTCCTCCTCCTACATTGTCGCTCTGTGTTCAGGTCTCTTCCTCTATATGAGCGGGGTTTTCCTGAACTAGCGTTTCTGCAGTCACAGAACCGTCGGAGCCCCTCGTCGCACACCACCGTCCCGCATGGGAGGGGGGCGTGCTGGGGAGGTGGGATGGGCTGCACCCGGCCTCAGATCCCCCCCGCCCCTCGCGACCAGGGGCAGGGCAAGGGCGCCGCGCCGTGGCAGCAAGGCGGCAGCAAGGCGTGGCAAGGGCAAGGGCCCAAGGGCGGCGGCAAGGCGTGGCAGCCCGGCAAGCAGGGCGGCAAGAAGTGGTGAGAGGGCGCGGCGCGGCGCCACCGGCGCCAGCGGGCGTTGACGCCCGCGTCGCGGGGCGAACGCCGCGGGGGGCGGCGGGACGGGGAGGAGGAGGAGGAGGAGGAGGAGGAGGAGGAGGAGGAGGAGCAGGAGGAGGAGGAGGAGGAGAATAATAGTAATAATAGTAATAATGATAACGATAATAGTAATAATAATAATGATGATAATAATAATAATAATGATTATAATAATAATAATCATAATAATAATAATAATACTAATACTAATAATAATTTTAACAACAATAACATGGATAATCGTAATAATAATAAGAAGAAAAGAAGAACACGAAGAAGGAGGGAGGAGGCGGAGGGAGCCAGGCGGGGCTAGGACAGGTATGAGTCGTTCCAGAGTGTTCCAGCACACTCCCAGAGCGTTCCGGAACGCTCGGAGAAGGCCGCGGCGCCCGACACAGCGTCCAGAACCGCCGGATCTCAGAGATCCCCGATTTCTTCCCGTCCGATGTTGTTCGTGTCCTGGCCTCGTCTCAGGGAGGGTCGGCCACGCGCAGGGGGGGTGTAAGGGGAGGGCCAGAGGTTTCTGAGAAGCACCCTTCTCAGAAGGCGCGGGCCTTCTCTATAGATGCAAGGCCCTCGCCTTCTAAGAAGTAGCCCCCTTCTAGGAAGCCCTCCCCCCTCCCCCTACCCCCTTGCGCGCGCCGCCAAGATCGGGCCGAACGAAAGGGGGGGAATAGGGAAAGGGGGGGTTACGAAATCTGCTGCATGCAGCTGGTTTCGGCCCCGCCGCCGGGCCCATTCCTGTATCCATGGGCGCTTCCTGGCGCCGGGAGGCGCTGATTCTCTACCCCACCATTTGCTATCCCCCCCTTTCGTTCCCCTCGACAAGAGGGGCGGGGGGGCAACCACATAAGCATAAACTTTTGGCGCTCCGCGCGGATTTCTTGGATCCGCGTTTGGGCCCCCCGGCGGTGCCTCTGGCGCCGCCCGTGGCGCGCTCCGCGCGCCAGGGAGGGGGGTCCAGTGCGAATCCAAGAAATCCGCGCTGAGCGCCAAAAGTTTATGCTTATGTGCTTTTTCCTTCTTCTACCTGCGCGCGCCGCCAAGAGGGGCGGGGAGCAGTGCTCTGCACGCGGTACGACGGCACAGCCCTCGCGCCGGCACCCGTGCGGAGGGCGCCGCGGGGAGTGCGGAGGCTGCCCCGGGCGCCCGCTGTGTAGGCCGCACTGCGACGCGCGGCGTGCTGGGAGCGGCCGTTGGGCCGCGCGGGGTGGCGCGGCGCGGCGCGGCCACCTCTGCACGCACAGACGCAAGACAGACGCCCAATCCCAAAAAAACGCGAGGGCCAAGACAGAACGTAGGCTCGTCGAGGCTTCCGGGAGGGAGATTTTTGGGCCTAGGGTTTTGCCAGGGTGACCACGACGAACGTAAAACATACCCCGAACTCTTTGGCAGATCTTCGGATCCATTGTGAATCCGCGATTTTGGGGTTCGGGATGTGATGTTTCTTGGTCATGCACGTCCAGGGGAGTTTTTTTTCCATCGCGGCGCGGCAGAGGCAATCCGCTCGCGCGCTCTATTTGGGCGGAGCGTGAACTGTCCGGCGGCAAGAGACGAAGACAGGGCAGAGGGCGGCCGCGGAGAATTGAGGAGGGGGCGAGGGCACTCACAGCACGAATGTCCTCGGCGTGAGTGGCCGCTGCGGCCGGCCGTTGCCGAGGCGTCCTGCAGTGGATGTGGAGCGGCGCCGCGCTCACACCCAGGGGCTGAGACACAACGCCCAGGGAAACACACAAGGACATGAGCATACAAGTCGGAGGTCCGCGCAAATTTTTCGGATCGGCGCTGGACCCCCTCCCTGGCGCGCGGAGCGCGCCAGGGGCGGCGCTGGAGACGCCGCCAGGCGGCCCCAGCCAGCGCCGATCCAAAGAATCCGCGCGGACCTCCGTCTAGGGGACCTTGACACCAGGCCCAGCAGGTTGGGGTGTCCAGGTTGGGACCAGGCAGGCAGCGTATGTTTATGCCACTATGTGTTTCCCCGACGCCAGGCCCTGCAGGTCTGGGCGTCGCAACCAGCGACAGGGCGGCCGTCTGGCCTCGGGAACCTGACATCCCGAGTCGTGGTCAGACGGGTCTGGGTCTGGCACCGCAACAGAAGACGTCGAGTCAGTCGAGGAACAGACGATGGCATGCACATGCACGAGACGATGGGTGTCAGTCAAGGAAAGGATGATGTCGTGCACATGAGTTCTTGACGTTCCGCGTAACCCCACCAGCCCGCCTCGTAGCCCGAGCCGACTTGTGACGCCGCTGGCGCCTTCGCCTGCGGCTGCGACGGAAAAAACCCACAAGCCCATAGAAGAAGCCCAGAGGAGTTGTCTCGGTCAGGGAAGTGGGCAGCACACAGAGGAAGTGTCCCTCTTGGCGCGCTCTTGGGACACTCTTGGAGCGTCTTCGGGGCCTCTTGGCGGTCCCGGGGGCCTGTTGGAGCGTCTTGGGTGCTTCAGGGAACCTCTTGTGGCCTCTTGGGGGTCTCTTGGGAACCTCTTGGAGGCCTCTTGGGCGCCTCTTGCGGCCTCCTTGGCGCCTCTTGGGGCCTTCTTGAGGCGCTCTTGGGAGCGCTCTTGAGGCCATCTAGGATGATACCAATCAAACAAAAAAAGTGGGAGCTCTAATTACGACCCCCCTCCCTCGGGAGCCCCAACACTCGCCTCTTGGGCCCCTTTGTGGGCGCTCTTGTAGAGCTCTTTGGCGCTCTTTTGGCAATATTGGAGCTCTCTTGGGCCTCTCTTGCGGCCCTCATGGGCCCTCTTGGATTTGTCTTGAGGCCTCGGAAGGCCATCGGAAGCGAAAAGGCGAGAAGGCACAATTCATTGATTTTCTTCAGATGTTCGATGGCTGTTGTTCTCTTGGCGGCCACATGGAGGCATTTGGGAGTCGTCTTGGAGCGTTACTGGGGCATCCTGGATAATTTTGAGAGCCATCTTGAGGGATCCTATGCTATCTTGAGCCAACTTGGAGGTAATCGTGGGCTCTCTGAGGCCCTCTTGGAGCCGTCGTAGGCGACGAACATATCCTCTGACACCTCGCGGGGCGCACCGTCCAGGTCCAGGGGAGGGGGGAGGGGGATAGGGGAGGGGTCAAGACACCTTCCTAGATAGCAAGCCGTCTAGCTCGCTCCCACCCGCCCTCCCAACACCCGAGCCTCAGATTGTGCAGCGGTCGCCATTGGATGGGCAGCTACTGGGAACCAACACCGAGCCTATGTGCGCGACGCCGTGGCGAGGTGCGCCACGCGTGCCAGGCGCGCCACGCGCGCTGGACACGCCTGCGGCCCGAGCGTGCCAGGCACGTCTGGTGCGCCAGATGCACCACGCGCCTCCGAGTGCACCAGGGGTGCCGGATACTCCAGCCGCGCCAGGTTCGCCACGTTTGGGGCGTGTGCAGAGTGTGTCAGGTGCGCCTGCGCACGTGACAGCACACATCGAGAACCATGTCGGCCCCCACCATCCTTGTCGGTGGCCCATCATTGTGTCTGGTGGGCCTGCGCACAGCATGCCACGCGCCACCACCCCCGCCGTCCCTGCCAAAAGCCACTTGAAAGTGATCGCGGGGTGGCCGCGCATGATCCAGCTATAGCCGCGAGGTGGTAGCCCTGCGCACAGCAGGCAATATGCTGACACTCCCGCCGTCCCTATCAACAAGTATTACAAAGTGCTCGCTGCCTCACGAACATGACTCCAGACTTTGCACTAAAGTGTACTTTATGTCTTTCTTGACAGGGGTTGTGAGGGGGGACCCGCATCGGGTTGGCTGCGCATGCTCCGAACTTGGAGGCAGAGTGTGTTTCGTGTTGTTTTGTTGACACGGATGGCTAGGTGTGTGTGATCATGGGGTCCTCATTTGTTCCTGGTTGGCTGCCGGTCTCCTGGGGGAGGGGGTGTACATTAATAGGGGACAGTGATACACCCCTCCCCGAAGAGGAGGAAGCGGGTTGGAAGAGGAGCCTCCTTAGACCACCTATCCCCAGAGGGCTGGTGGGATTTTGGAGGTCCGCGCGGATTTCTCGGATCAGCGCTGCACCCCCTCCATGGGCTGGGCGTCGCATTTTCGTGAGCCTGGGCCCTTGACGGATCGGTCTGGACACGGGAAGGCAGCAGGAAAACGGGGTCTCAAGGTTTCGCAGTGATATTTCCCATGATGTCATGCGTTTTTCGGAGACGTCGGAACCCCTGACATCCAAGTTTGTGATTTGGTCGATGCGCGGCCTCAGAGGTCGTCACCCCCGTGGTGTCAGCTCTTCGGGCCCCGCGTGGGGCCGACATCGATCAAAGACGCCAGTGCTAAGGGATGTCGCCAGTAGGGGGTTTACCACCTGCTCTTGGAAACCGAGTGCCAGTAGGGAGGTGATGTCGATGACCGAGGAGGTTTGAGAGGTTTCGGGATTCCTGCGAGATTCTGGAGGGTCGTGGGGGGCCCCATCTCCTAAAGGACGACGTGGCCCACATGGTGACACCCCTTCTCGGACGCCTGGCTGCTTCTGGGTCGCAACTGGGCTGCCTGGTAGCCGTCCGGGACGATTCGGGCACCCCACGGGACTCTCTCGGCGAGGCGCAGCCGCTGGAGAGCACCCCGAGGCCAGAACGAAGGAGGAGGAGGAGGACGAGGAGGAGGAGGAGGAGGAGGAGGAGGAGGAGGAGGAGGAGGAGAACGAGGAGGAGGAGAACGAGGAGGAGAGAAGAGGAGGAGGAGGAGGAGGAGGAGCAGGAGGAGGAGGAGGAGGACCCCCTCCCCCTCCAACTTGTGGCGGCGGCGGCGGAAGCCAGGCCCTTTCCGGCTGGTGCGGAGCCTGTGCCCGCCGCGCGGCGCCCACGCGGCAGGCTCTGCTCGGCTCTTCGCGGAGGGGCCGCGCGCTCTCGCCTCGGGGCGTGCGCGCCCTCGGGGCTCCCGGCGCGGTGCCGAGGCGCTGCGGGAATCGAAGCGGGCGCGCCGCGTCGCATCGTGTCTGGGCTAACGACGCGAGCAGATGTTTGGGAGGGATGCTCTGGGAGTTTCCCCCCCTCCCCCCTCCCCCTCCCAGGGGCGGTGTCGACCCCCCTCCCCCCTCCCCCTCCCCCCTCCCCCTCCCAGGGGCGGTGTCTGGGTTAACTCGGGCCGGGCGAAAGGGGGGGATTGGGAAAGGGGGGGTTACGAAATTAGCGGCACGCAGCTGGTTTCGGCCTCACCGAGGGGTCCACTCCTCGATGCATGGCCGCCTCCGGCGCCGGGAAAATCAGCAACGTGAGCTGGTTCTCTAACCCCCCCTTTGCTATCTCCCCCTTTCGCCCGACCCGATTAACGACGCGAGCATGTTTGGGAGGGATGCTTTGGGAGTTTCCCCCCCCCTCCCCCCCCCCTCCCAGGGGCGGTGTCGACCCGCCCCTGGCGGCCTCCGCCGCGCCATCGGCGAGCGTCCCCCTCCCCCGCCGCGCCATCGGCGAGCGTACCTCTGCCCATGCTTAGGTCGGGCTTAGGTCGCCATCGCCCGTTCGCCGTGAGCCGAATAAGAAAAACCGCATGAGCACAAACTTTTTGGCGCTCCGCGCGGATTTCTTGGACCCACGCCCGGGCCCCCCGGCGGCGCGCCCCGCGCGCCAGGGAGGGGGTTCCAGGGCGAATCCAAGAAATCCGCGCGGAGCGCCAGAAGTTATGTTTATGTAGTTTTTCTTTTGCTACTGAGGGGGAAGAGCGCCCAAAGATGCTCGCGTCGTGGAAACAATCAGGGCGGGATGTTTGTTGTGTGTTTTCGGCCTCGGGGGGCCCTCGCTGGGCCCTGTGGCCGTCAAAAAACGACTCAGGACGAAGAGCCCCGCCCCAGGGGAAGGGGCGGGGCTTCCGGGGCCCCCTTGTTGAAAACATCCGGTCGTCGCATGTCCGTGGAAAGAAGTGGAGGAGGGACAGAAGGAAGAGCCAGCGAGGAGAGGAATCGGGAGGAGTGGAGGGAGGGGGATAATCAGAGAGCAGGTGGAAGATCTGGGCAGGGGAGGGAAGAGAGGATGGGGGATGAGGTGGAGCAGCAGCAGCAGCAGGGGGAGAAGGAGAAGCTGGAGGGCATAGGGTGACCCGAAAAAGTCAGGAAGGAGAGGGAGGAGGAGGCCCTGGTCAAGATTGATTTCTGCGACGCGGAAGCACCGGAGGACACGGTAACGCCACTGGACCCGTGTGAATTCATCTTTGGACGAGCCGCGACCGGTTCAAGGTAACGGAAAGAGCGAGGTACGAGTGATGACGTTCTGGTGTGGGCGAAGCCCTAAAGGGAGGGGTTCCAGGGGAGGGGCGAAGCGTGTGGAGATGGGCGTTAATGGCCGTTGTCGGGTTTTCCCTCGGGTTCTTGCATGTTTTTCGGGTTCTCTCCCAAGACGCCCCAAGAGCGCTCCAAGAGAGCCCAAGACCGCCCAAGAGGCCCCCAAGAGGCCCCCACGAGGGCGCCAAAAACGGCCCAAGAGGGCGCCAAGACGGCCCAAGAGGCGCCCAAGACGGCCCAAGAGGGCTCCAAGACGGCCCCAAGAGGGGGACCACGAACCGAAAAGTCTAGCCTTTCGCCCCAAGAAGCTCCCAGGAGGCCCCCAGAGCCCCCCAAGAAGCCCCAAGAGGCCCCCAAGAGGTTCCCAAGAGGCCTCCAAAAGGGCCCGACAAGGGCCCCAATAGGACTCCCAAGAAGGCCCAGAGACGCCAAATAGAGAGCGATCGGTAACGCAAAAAAGCTCTTCACACCAAGGCTCCCAAGAGCGAACGGTGACGTAAACAAGCTGATAAGACCAAGGCTCCCTGCAGAGAGCGGTGACGTAACAAGTTCCTGACACCAAGGCCCAGCCAAGGCTCAGGAACGGGCGGCAACGCAACAATCTCTGAACACCAAGGCTCCCAAGAGCGAGGGGTGACGTAACAAGCTCTCAACGCCAAGGCTCCCAGTACGAACGGTGGTGTGAGTACATTCGGTTTCTGTTTCTGAAGCGCTCTTTCTGTTTCTGTGCTGGGCCAGGTCTAACGGTCGACGCGGTGTCAAAAATTTCTGCGCGCGTCGACGCCGTACGAACCCACCGTAGACGAGCCCCAGCAGCCGCCCCAGCCTTGGCCTTCCGCCCTTCACCGTGCCTCTTCACTGCTCGCCGTCCTCCGCACTCCTGCTCTCACGACCTCCCACCTCGCTCCGGATCAGCCTCTCCATCCCTCCTCGTCTTCCTCTTTTGCCCCCCCTCTCAACCCCTATCCTCCGCAACTGCAATTCGTCGTCGTCGGCGCCGTCGCTGACGGAGATCTTTTCGTTAAATGTCATCCAAATCTTAATCACTCATCCTCACCCCTTCTCTCCTCTGGCACATGTCACTTTCCCTCCTCACTCACCCCTCGCGGTTTTTAGCGCCGCCGTGGACTGCGTCGCCGCCGCCGCCGTCGTCGCCGCGGTCGTCTCCGTTCCGCCGTCTCCAGCATCGCCATACCCGCCGTCGCCGTCGTCTCCGCCGCCGCCATCGCCTCTCTTATTACTGGCATCGGCGCCGTGGGCCAGACGACCGGCATCCTCGTCTTCGGCGTTGCTTGCGTCGCCGTGGCCCGTTGGCGGGCGGGTGCGGCTCGCCATGCGCCGTTCGCTCCCCGTGCAATTGCCCCTTCTTGAAGCACGGCTGGCACGAGGGCTGAGAACGATCACAGTTTTGGAGGGGTGCCACTCTGCTCTTCGTCGTTGGGCTCTCGCTGGGATATCGCCATGGGAAACTGGGATATCGCCATCGTCTCTCCTGGGAATGCTCTTCGCCTGGGATATCGCCATGGGGCACTGGGCTCTCAGCGAAGGGGCCCATGTTCTCGACCCGCGATGTTTTGACATTGTTTCGACTGTACACGCTGGCCAATGAAAGTAAGTATGTTTGGATGCCCAAATCCTAACCTGTTTTAGGCGCCTTCCTACTTCAAGAGTCGATCGGTGTTCCTTCTTTCCTCCTCTTCAGGGGGCGGGCGGAAGTCCACTCTACTTCCAACGCCTTCCTACTTCATGTTTCTACCCACTTCTTCTTACCGGCGTGTACTGGTTCGGAGCGATGCTCTGGCTGCGTTCCCAGCTCTCCCATGCACCTTTTGCGTGTCTCCGTTGTGCAACCTGCCATGTAGCTCTCATGTAGCTCGCATTTAACAAGTATATTATTGGGAGTCGAAGGAAGGCAGTTGCAGTGGGAAGAGCAGGAGCAATCGATAGTCACATTGACCCAGGCCTGACATTTTGAACGGTGCCCAAAAAACATGCTGGCCAGTTCGCGATCCATCACCCTGGTGTTCATGTAGCCAAAACGTTGCCTGGGCAGGGTTTCCCATCTCCCCTCTCCTCTCGTAAAACTTTGCCAAGCCCAGCGTTGACAAATCAGTAACTGGGAAGGAGTCGAATACACTGATGCGCACCTGGGTCCTGTGTAGAAATGATGTCGGCCTCAAGTGGCACCCTCCTGTTTTCTGCCATTATCGTCGTACTTGCTATGACCTTTGGCTCAATCCTCACCGTGGTGGCTAGGCTTTGGCTGTCATGGCGGACGATGCCCAAGTGGACCTCGCATATCTGGCAGTTCGCCATGCTGAACTCCGTATCCGCCTCCATCTGGGCGCAGAGCATTTGAGTTCTGGCAGCAGTAGTTATTTGAAGCGCTTGGCAGCTCGAAGCCCTTTACCCCGTTTTTAAGATAGATTATGGAGGACTGCGTATACTTGCGCGCTTCAGGGTGCACCTTTCGAGGAGAGTCCCCCGACCCTCGTCGGACCTCGAATGTCCTCCTATGTTCTGTCCTGTTCGCCCGTCGTTCTCAGAGCCGCTGACCCTCATCTTCCACCGTTGACGGTCGGCCTTCATGTAGTGTCCCACGAAATTCCTAAGGGCATGCTTGACGAAGGCAAGCGGTGTTTCGCTTAATCGTAGCGGCCGCAGTTGCGGATAAGTATGAGTGGGCGGCGGGGTCGTCGTCTGCGAGGCTCTGAAGAAGCCCGCCGCAGGCGCCGACTTCTTTCACACATCACACCGAGCTAGCCGCAGACGCCGATCTCCCTTCGTCGAAGCAACGTGGGTGGGTTGCGGGCGGGTCGGCGGGGGTCGCGGTTGGGTCGTGGGCGGGTCGTGGGTGGGTCACGGGCGGGTTGCGGGTGGATAGCAGGCGGTTCACGGGTTGGTCGCGAGCAGATCTCGGGCGATACGGAGACAATGACAACAATCAAGAGCACAAACAACAGACTCCGCGCCGCGGGATCCCATTTCAGCCACGCGCGCAGGGACGGTGGAAGACTGTCCAGCCCCCTCACTCTGATCTTGGCATTCTTTGACTAGGCAAGGCAAGAATATCCTAAAGCAGAGGACGCTAGGACACGCCACGACCAATAATCAGCACACGACGTGCCAAAGGAAGCTGAACTGGGCTAGGCTGAGCTGTGGTTGCTTGTGCGGGGCTCCTCCGTCAGCGTAGGACGCGATCGTAATGCACACCGCCGGCGAAGGTAAACGCACGTGTGTGTGTATGTAAGCGTGTGTTTGTGTGTTTTTGTGTTTGTGTGTGCGCGAGTGTGTGTGTGTATGCGTGTGTGTTTGTGTGTGTGAATGTGTGTGTGTGAGTGTGTGTGTGAGTGTGTGTGTGTGTGGTTCGGCTTAGTGTTCGCTTGCGGTGGTGCCGCCACCTCGCCGCACTGCGAAAGCGTGCGTGTGTGTGTGTTTGTGTGTGTGTGTGTGTGTGTCTGTGTGTGTGTGTGCGTTGACGTGTGCGTGGCGTGCGTCTGCGGGGGGGAGACCATGCCGATGTTGACCTGCCTGGGCAGGATCATGGCCCCACAGGCAATGGACCATGCGCGTCAAACTCAGAACGTGCTCCTGGCCAGCTCCAGGCTCGAACGAAACTGGGTCTAACCAAAATTCGCACAGGATGCCCTAAAACACGTGACACCCACGCTGCATTGAGGCAGGCACTACGCCAGGACAGCGATGCGCTGCACCTTGCGCAGTTCGCAAAAAGGTTTGTGCGTGTCTGCGTGTGTGCCGTCGCTCTGGCCCCTCTGCGCCTCGCGGGCCAGCGGCTGTCGGCAGTTGGCGTGGCTTGCCTACCGGACCTTTGCGTGCCGTTCTCGGCGTATTGCGCCTTGCCACATGAGGGAACGCAACACGATGTAAGCACACTGTTGGCTCATACCCAGTCCCCGCGCGCAGGATGAGCCCCTGAGCAAGCCCCCTGACAATATTGGAGATAGGTCCCCAGGCGATTGCATGTTCTGTGAATGCAGAACAGACTTCAGAGCCTGCGTTTGCCAGATTGGCTCTCTCTCCCCAATAATGTTGAGAATCGCCCTAGGGCACAGCGAGGACTGAACATGTTTTGAAGCTGGTCCAAGAGACCCCATGGCGACTCCAAGAGGGCCCACCATGCCTCTAACGAGGCCCCAGTATGCCCCCCAGAAGTCACAAGCGTAACCAGCAAACGCCGCCAAGAGGCCTCAACAGGCTTCAAGGGTTCCCGAGACCAACCACAAGGGCAAGATCGGCATTTGGGAATCCTGGTCAACAGCTGATCAGCGCCACATGCTGGGTGTTTCAATGTTGTATCAGTTTTTTCGTACCGGCTGTTCTAGATAGAGGTTTGGACATTTTTGAGTGTTGTTCGGAGCTTTTGCGATTCTTGTTTGATGGACTCGCGGACATCGCAGTGTTTTAGGGGACGCCATCCGCTCTGGTCCCGTCCTTATTTGCGATAGTATGTAGCAACTTCTCCATCCACCTTGCTGTGCTGGACGTGGCTGGTCTGTTTTCCATGTGCAGGCTGAGGCGCCTGCGCTCTTGCGTCGCTTCGGCTAGGATGGCTGGCGTCCCGAGGCGCTTCCTTCCCGTTTCCCGAACTTCGGTTTGGTTTCTTTGTTTCTGACGGTAAGTGGCCCGCCAGTGCCCGATTCAGTTGAAGTGGACCGGTCGGACGGGAAACCAGCCACATTGAACCGAATTTAAAGCGAAACACGATTGTCTTTTGTGTAGGGCATAATTAGGTCGCGCCAGGCCGAGCTTCCCAATCTCGCATAAGGCAGTAAGAAGCCCAACAACGCGAACCTCACACATGCGCTAGGATCCGACGGTGTCGATGACTGATTCATTTGGAGTGATCGTGTGTGGGCCACGCGGGATGGCGGTCTTGGCGCAGTATTGAATACCAGCAGAGGGCAGCACGTGAGCCTCGATGCTGGGCCGCGGTAGACACTCGAGGGTCACTCCGTCTCATGCGCCCTCGAACCCCAGGCGAGCGGGGTCCAGCGGACTCGGGCTCAGCGTCGGAACCGGACCCCGAGCCGGATGTGGAGGTCACAGGCGAGCCCGCCCGCGGCGGCCCTGCGAGGCCCGCACCGGCCACCGCGGGGGAGGCCGCCCCAGCGGTCGCGCCAGCTGCCCCCGAAGGGGCGGCCGGGGCTTCCCCGGAGGAGGCCGCCCGCGCAGGCACGGAGGAGGCTGCACCCGCCGCCGCGGAGGAGGGCCCCCCCGGCGCGCCGCCAGGCGCAGCGGGCGCCAGCCGGGTCCCGGAGGAGGTGTCGCGCAGGCTGAAGGAGAAGGCGAGGAAGCTGCATGAGAGGAGCGAGGTTGCCACGGGCAGCACCGTCGCGACGGCCACGTCGTCCAGGAGTGAGCTCTAGTGCGCTCGCGCCCGCACCCCGCGAGAGCGCTGCAGCGTCACGCCTTGCGCAGACTAGGGTAGGAGCTCTGGCGTTCCAATAGTTTTAGCGTTGGAGTGTTTTTTTCATGCGTTGCGCAACTAGTTACACACAAGGTTATCCGCGCCCCCGCCTTGCACTGCTCTCCTCGCCTCGTCACCTTCTTCCCCACCGCGCATGGCGCCGATGCGTTTCTGAGTTGATTTCGCATCGAGCCTTGCTCTAGACTCTAGCAGGGGGTGCGCGGTCGCAACCGATCGGCGGAGTTGGGCACTGCTCTCAGGACAAGCTTCATGCCTTTGATGGAGCTCGCGTTGCGTATCGTCTGGTGGTGGTGGTGGTGGTGGGTACGGTCTCGTCTCCGCATTGATTCTGAATGCCGCGGGTTGGCGTCCAGCTGGACACGGTGCTATGAGATTTCATTGGCTTGCGTCAGTCGAACAACACCCGCCATACGGCATGCGTCATTCCAGCGAAAGAATACCCAACGCCTTGGCGCACCAAATTCCGAGTGCTCACCTATAGTTGCCGCATTTACATACGGCTCGAAAGAGGGGCACGACGTTTGGAATGAGCTGTTGGGTGGGTTCCATTCGGGCAGTCTTTTTACCCAAGCGCACTGACAAGCCTCAAGCCGTCGTTTGTTTGAACGTCGCCATTGCTCAGCCATCGCGGTGACATCCATAGAGTTGGCGTCACGTTTCTAGTGATAGTAAAATTCGGCGAATGTAGATTCAAATGGTTACGCCCTCTGTCACGAGACGGTTTGGGATTATCGTGGCACTAATCCTTAGGCTATTTGGGAACCTCTTTGTAGCATAGTGGGGTCTGTGAGCCACTTCTAGGCCAGATTTTGCAACATTTCGGGGGCGGTTGGGCACTCGGGCATTAATTGGGAGCATGTCGGCGCGAACTTAGAGCGTAAAGGATTGTTTTCAGTCATGTTAGTGGCATGTTGGGGCTTGTGCAGGCCACCTTTGTGGCCATATGGGACAGTATTGGAGCTATCGTCAAAACACACACATTGTTTAAACTTGCCAGGCTGAGACGACTGTGTGTCGGCAGGGGGAAAACACACAGACACAATTAATCGTCGATTCCCAAGAACATATGGGGACATATGGGGAGTGGGGGGAAGACGAAAACCCAGAAAATATAAAAAAATATGGGGAATCCTGGGATTTGTGCCTATTTGTTTGTGTGTCCTAGGGGCCCTTCAGCGTTGCGGCATCATTTTCTGAGCATCTTCGGGGCCGTTGTATGTGTCACTTCGGGTCCCCTTGGGTCGTCTTCGGGCGGCACGTGGCCTCTTGCGCTCCTGGCGGCGTCCCTGGCAGAATACATTGCGGCAGCCTTGGACGGCCGGGGACGGGAGCGACAGGTCCCCTGCAGGCGAGCTCCCGCGTCTCCCGCGGGGGGCTGACGATCCCCGCGGCCCGTACAGCACGCGTTTGGATTCGGGCATGCTTCGAGCATCCAAGCAGCACATCCGAGCGCAGAAGAAGCGGTCGGGCTCACTCTCTGCCTGGTGTTTGCTCTCTCGGGTTGGATGCACTGCTTGCCTGCGTGCGCGCCGAGGCCCCCACGCTGCCGCGCCACTCCGGCAAGCGTCCCCCCCCCCCCCTGCTGTTTCCTTGCCCCCCCCCGTCCCCACCCCGTCCCACCCCCCCGCACACCGACTCGCACTCTGCATCCCCTCAGTCGCCTGCCCACCCGCCCGCCCATGCACGACTTCTCACTCTTGGTGAGATGCTTTGAAGCGGCGATGCTCAAGCATCTGCCGACCTGCCCGTTGGGCACCTCATTGGCTGGCATACTGCGCAGCTCGGAGCACGTGCCGCCAATGAACAGTGGTGATGGTGTTAGGCGACACTGCTACCAAGCCGTCTTTGAAGTCGTCCTGATAATGCCCAGGGTTCGGTCGGTGTTCCAACACAGGCATCCTCAGGAGTTGCGCGCGAACCTTCAAAGCTTGAGGAAGATCTGGGCTTTGAAGAGTCGCAGGCCTCGCCTAGAGTGGTCCTAGGAAGGGCCTGGCTTTGAGAGTCGGCCAGAGCCCCGCGAACGCACTGAACGTTCGATGACTCCGGTCGCCCGCCGGTACACTGGCCCAAAATCTCCAGCTCACCATGAGGGACTATTGTCGGAACTGCGTCGGATGTGCAAGTCGATGTCCCTTGGTGCGAGCTTGGCCTCGCATCAGCCGCCCATGTTTGGCAATGCGAGTAACTCTTATTATGGAGGCTGTCGTTTTGGCTCAGGTCCCTGGCTCATCGGCGAGGCACAGCGAACCGAATGAGTGCCCGACACGCTTCATGCCGCAACATGGTGAACACAGTGCATGGATGGAGTGTCGGGGAGAGGGGCAGGATGGCGGGCGTGATTCCTCAGACCCATTATTGATGAACCTCCGCCGGGATTCAAAACTCACTACAACTGCCATCTTGTCAGCGACTCGCCAGCTGAAAGTGTTTAATATCATATAGTGGCCTTCGGTTCATCACGCCACAGCCCCTGGATTATGAAACAGGCACATATTGGAGGTCTCTTGGGGTATCTTCGGGAGCCTCTCGGGAGCCTCTTGGATTCTCCATCGGGCGTCATGGTGGCATCTTGGATGCCTCTAGGAGCGTGTTGGGGGCCTCTTACGGGCATCGTTGGGGCTTCGTTGGGGAATCTCGGGAACATCTGGCGGGCTATGGGGGAATGTTGGGGCAGAGGGATCCATGTCCATGTGTCAATTCAGGTGCCGCCCACTGGACCCACCTTGGGGCAGCAGTGGGGGCCCCTTCGGATCAATTGAGGCTCTTGAGCAGCCTTTGGGCGATACTGGGAGCCACTTGGGCCGTCTTGGACGCTATCAGGACAGAAAACCTGGATGTCCGAGTAGTGCAAACAATTAACAAGTTGGCATCTGAGCCCTCGTAGACGGGCCCCGAGAGCGATCAATATCAATATCGGGGGATGGCAAGAGCCCGAGGTCACTCGATGCAGTGCCTTGCGTCAAGGTGGCGGATTTTACCATGTGAGATGGGTGGCGTTGCTGCTATGATCGAGTCCCGCGCTTCATCTGAGAATGACCAGCCGTCGGGCCGTGCTATTTGTGGCATTTTGCGGCGGCTCGCCGACTCGGAGTTCCACGAACATCGATCGGACGCAGCAGTTCTGCGACACGAGCTCGGGCAGGTCGCAGCAGACATTTCTTATGTGATCGACAGGTCTCGGTCGCTCCGAGCAGCACTGGACAGTTTGAAATTGGATTATGACCTTCTGCCGTCGAGCTCATCGCCCGCAAAAGCTAGTATGCAAAGTATCGAAGACGCCTACGGCGAATCACTGCCGCCCCCTGCCTTTGGAATCGCCCGTGTGGCCGAACGTTGTGCCCAGAGCTCTGCCTCAGGAAGAGGAGGGGGCATCCTTGAAGCCTTTGGGGGCACTCCTTGCGCCACCTTGGAGCTTCCTGGGGGCCTCTTGGAGGCATCTTGGGGGCCGGCTTTGGCCTCTTGAGGGCCTTTGGGGGCTTCTTGGGAGCCTCTTTGGCTGCTTAGGTCTGTCCTGGCCCGTCGGAAGCCGCCCCTGGGGCCTCGCTGATACGACTTGGGGCCCTTTTGGGGTGCTCTGGGGCCGTCTTGGAGGCCAACATGGGCGTATTCGAGCGTTTAGACGATCTTCAGGTGATCTTGGGGGGCTCTTGGGCCGTCTCGGGCCGTCGGAAGGCCGAAAATAAACAAAAGCAGAACTTACCCCCAAACCTCAAGAACATCTGTGATGGTTGCCTCTGCACGCCTTCCTGCAGGCCCTCTTGGCGGGCCTCTTGCGCCGTCTTGGAGGCCTCCTGGGCCCACCTTTGGCTGCCTCGGCGGCATTTCTCCAGGCGGCTTACGCGGCCTTCCTGGTGTCGGCGCAATTGACCGAAGCCCCAGGGCGTGTCTCAAAACGAGTCACAAACCATCAGCCATTCAGCATGCCAGGCTCCCCTGATAATTAATCAACATGGGGCGTTTGGATCCAGTGGCCTTCGGCCCATCCCGCCGCTGCGCCTGGATCGTGGACTGGAGGCATCTTGGGGCCTCTCCGAGGGCTTCCTGGAGGCGGCTCGGAGACCCGCTGGGGGCACCTTTGGAACCTCCTCGGGGGCCTTTGGGCAGTTTTCTGGTCCTCTTAGGCTAGCCTCCCTGGACACTCTTACGGCTGACAAGGCCAGCACCCGAATACCGTACAAAAGCTTAATCACTTCTCTTCCATGGCATTTGCTCATTGGGCCGGTGGCCCTGAGTTGCCACCCACCAGGCCACCCCAACGAAACCCGAAGGCCCCGAGTTGGCCTCCATTCCCAGTGGGGGGGGGGGGGGGCGCGTCGGGGAACGTGGAAGAAAACATGTGGATTCAGTACAGTCGGGGCCCTGAAGAAGGAACCCTTTTCGTTGGGGAGGGGCTCCGCGTTCCTTAAGTGTTTCACAGCTTGCCTCAGGTTTACCTTATGTTTTCGACGGGAAATCGAAGTTTAACCCATGGAAAAAAGGGGCCTCGTTCCTTATTTAGGGTTCCTTAGGTCAACGCCCGGACTGTACCCCCCCCAACCCGATTTTGCGGTCTTCGGGTTGGGTTGAGGCTGTTTGGTAGGTAGTCTATTCGACCCCACAAAAAGGACCAATGCCGCTCCCATTAGGATTCGAGGACGGGCCGCTGGAACACCTCGGGGCATGTCGAAACCATCGACTCCGAGTTTATAATTCCGAGGCCTCGTGGAAAGTCACGCGACGTGCCCCAGAGGCGCGCCAGACAGCCCAGAATTTGGGTGCCTGGCGACACAGATGGCTCAGAGGACATGAGGGCATTCCACTGAGTGCCCACGGCACTGTGGCGGATTCAAAGCCAGTCTTTGCCGCCAACTCCGGATTGGAAAGTTATGGCGCGAGAGTTGTTGCATCCTGATCTCAGCGATTTCTTGCACAAGTTGGGGTCCAGGCCACTGGACAGGAAAACGGGGGACGTTTGGGGAGATATGGACGAGTTCCCCGAGCTTGTCAGGACGGTCGTGGCGCTCTGCCGACAAGAATGCACCCGAGGTGGCGGACCAGAGTGGACGGAAAGTGGATCAGATGTGCTCAAGGTCTTGGAAAAGTATGCCAATCACAAACATGATGACCCTGTGTGCTTGCTCGACACTCTACAGCGGGAGTTCCAAGTAGATCGCACGTGTTCACCGTGGTCGGCAGTGGCCGATCAAAGAGGGCCAGAGGGCCATTTTGACAAGGCCGTGGGAGTATGGGACATGTTGCAGGCATGCATTCTGATTTTGAGAGGCTCCAGACAAAGACTCTCAACGATCCAGGTCGATATCACACTGCGCTCATCATTGCGATGACCACAGCGATTCGACGTAGTGATTTAGCGTGGCACAGCCGCTGGATTGAACGGTTGTCGCTATGCCTCTGAGAGGTCTTTCCCATTACTATTGGGGGCCACTTAGGCCTTCTGGGGTGATTGGCCTGGTTCTCGGCGCTGTCGTCTGGTCCTATGGTCCTCTGGAGGGGCCCTGGGGGTGTCCAGGAGGGACGTTGTGGAAGTGGCGCGGCGGTCCTGCCACATTTGGGGCACATTGGACCGTCTTCTGTCTGTCTGTCTTGATGCCCTCTGGGACCGCCCACCTGTCGGTCGGGGGCAGCGACAGAGCTGCCCAGTGTCCTGCGGAGGCCATGCTGAGCCCTCCGGTGCAGCAGAGAGAGAGAGAGAGAGAACAGACACATGACAGCTCTCAGACACGGGGGGCGCGCAGGCCTGCTGCATCTCGGAGGCCTCCTGAAGACAAGCCTCTGGGGCTTCTCGGAGGGCCCCTTGTTTGGTATCTCAGGTTGTCTTCCTTTTCCGGCGCTGGGGAGAAGCAGCAGGGCTTGACCCGAACGGTGTTTGGCGATCTGTGTGGCCCTTGTCGTTTTGAGGTCGTTTTGCAGCAGCAGCCGAACGGAGACAGAACGAGGGACAACGAACTTACGACGAACACAGAAAGCACTGTTAGGTCGAGCCCTGGGAACCAGAGGCCGACGACCACTTCGCCCTGGGCTCTGGCGTCAAGTCCCAGGGCAAGCTCGGCAGAGCGGCCGGGCCAAAGAGCATCACCAGCGAGAAGAAGGCCAGTCAGCACCAGGTGGTCAAGAGCGATGTCGCCAAGGGCCTCGCGGGCGACATGAAGGCACATTCGGAGGGGGAGTTGGCGGAGGATGAGGAGGAGGAAGAGGCGGGATTCTCGCTATCCCGGGGCTGTCTGGGGGCGGCTTCAGGGATCCGAAGGCCGTGCGCCAGGCCGGCTGCGAGGTCGTCTGGGGATGGCCTTGGGTCACAGGTGTGGCAAGCACTCGCACAGCGATTCCTGTGTCTGTGACGCGCTAGAACCTAAGCGCGCGCCAAGCGCGCGTGGTTCTAGTGTGTATATATATATATATGTATTTATGTATATGTATTATATAAACATATACATATGTATGTATGTACGTATGTATATATGTATGTATGTATGTATGTATGTATATATGTATGTATGTATGTATGTATGTATGTATGTATGTATGTATGTATGTATGTATGTATGTATGTATGTGTGTGTATGTATGTATGTATGTATGTATGTATGTATGTATGTATGTATGTATGTATGTATGTATGTATGTATGTATGTATGTATGTATGTATGTATGTATGTATGTATGTATGTATGTATGTATGTATGTATGTATGTATGTATGCATGCATGCATGCATGCATGCATGCATGCATGCATGCATGATGTATGTATGTATGTATGTATGTATGTATGTATGTATGTATGTATGTATGTATGTATGTATGTATGTATGTATGTATACATGTATGCATGTATGCATGTATGCATGTATGCATGTCTGTATGTATGTATGTATGCATATATACATATATATGGATGCACGCGTACGTCCGGGACCTTGCCTCACCTCTGGAGCCCCAGCCAGGAGGGCCGCTGAGAGGTTCCAGGAAGCTGGCTAAGGTTCAACACAGGGCAGCTTGCTGTAAACTCCTGACTGGGTTGCCAGGCTGTTTGACGATGTGCCCCCCAGTCGTCTGGAACCGCTCGGGGAACACTTGGGAGAGGAAGAGGAAGGAGGAGGAGGGGGAGGAGGAGGAGGAGGAGATAGAGGGCAAGGAGGACGAGGAAGAGAAGGAGGCGGTGGAGGAGGAGGAGGAGGAGGAGGAACACGAGGAGGACGATGAGGAGGCCTCTTTGGGCCGCCTGAGGGTTTCCTCGGAGCCTCTTAGGAGGCCTCTGAGGGGCCGCTTGGGGACCTCTTGGGGCCTCTTACTGGCCTCTTGGGGGATTCTGGTGGCCTCTGAGGGACTTCTTGGCCTTCAGAGGCAGTCGTAGGTCCTTGTTTGGGCGTCTCAGGGCCGTCTTGGAGGTCTATGGGGCCGTCTTGGGGCCGTGTTTGAGGCTGCTTGGACCGTTTTGGGGCCCCCTTAGGCCGTCTGGCAGGCCTCTTGGGAGTCGCTTGGGCCTTCTTGGGATGATCTTGCGGGCTGGTGAAGACGTCTTGGAGCGTCGGAAGCCCGAAAAAACGAAACGCGAACAGCATCAAACCCGAGGCAATTCAGATATTCTCGCCATTGGGGGTCCTCTTGGAGTCATTTCTGGAGTGCATGTTTAGCCGTCTTAGGGCCGTATTGGCCGTCTTGGAGGCATCTTGTGGGAGCCATCTTGGGGACTCTAGGTTTCATCTTAGCCGTCTTGAGCGCATCTCGGAGGCCATCTTGGAACGATCCTGTGTTATGGTTTTTGTCCCGCCTTGTGCGTTCCTCCGGGTGGTCGGCGGGATTGGCAGACGGCTCATTGGGAACTTGTCAAAGAGGACCAATCACTACCTAATGTCCAGCGTGCCGTGCACCCGTGTGGCAAGCGACGGGGGGCGGCGCGCTTAGCGTGCGATCCTTTAGTCGGAAGAAACCCCACTCAGTGGATGTCTCGGAGTTATCGTATTCACTCTACGCCTCCCTTCTCCTTATCTTTCTCCCTCTCTCTCCTTCTCTCTATTGTATATCTTCCCTATAGCTGTAGTCTCTGTTCACTTGATCTGCCTCGCAACTGGCTGTGCTCTCAATTGTCCCAGACCTATTCTAAACTGTATATACCGTGTCCCAGACGCACTTTAGCCTGTGTATATATATATAGAGAGAGAGTGTCCCACGCGTAAACTAGCCTCCCGCAGATTAGTTCCGCCGAGGGCCGCCCATAGGGCCGTTGCGGACTGAGCCGTTGCACTCTTCCGCAGGGCTTTCCGAGCAGCCTCCCCCAGGGCTGAGGCGGATCAGCCGTGCCGAGCAGTCTCCCCCGGGGCTGTTGCGCTGGGAACCCACCGCAGGGCCTGCACAGCAGGTTCCCTGGGGGCTGCTGCGGGCCACACGTCTGGAGCAGACCCCCTCAGGGGTGTTGCACTGGGAGCTTCCCGCAGGGTGTTGCAGAGTAGCCTCCCTCGCGGCTGTTGCAACCAGACGTGCTAGACCAGCAAGCATTTGGAGTATTGCGCCAGAGGCAACCAGCAGGGGCGCACATAATACGCGCCCACAGAGAGCCAACCAACCCCGGCGGACCAGACCGCCCACTTCCTGCGCAGTCACGCGACTGGCGCTTGAGGCGAAACGTTGGTTAAGAAAGCTTGGGCAGTCTACGTGGAACACGCCCTGTCAGCTTTCCACATGGAAGTCACTGCTCTAGACATGGCTGTTTCATTTTTGCAGCATACATTTCGAACGTGATTGTAGACATGAGCGTTGTATTCCGCTTGTGTTCTCCTGCGCTATTGCTTCTAGTTGCTTCTTCTTGCTTTCGCCATGCAGCTTTGTAGATAGAGGCCATCAACCCGATGAGGGGCGATCCGCACAAAAAAAAGCCAGGGAGACCCCCCCGCCCCATAGGGGCACCGGACCTTACAGGTGGACGCGACCCTATCGGCCGCACAGGTAAGGTCCGTTCTGAATTCCGCACATTATTCGGGAAGCGCCAGGCGGTCGATCCGCTGCCCGCGCCAATAGTGACCAACGTTTGAGGCGATACGCTTTGTAAGGAAAGCAGCGAGTCCCCCCCGCCCCCTCTCCCCCGCCCCCCCGCGGCCTGGTTGCCCCACCCAGACCTGGGCGTCACAGGGGCACGAGACCACTTTCGCAGCACGGCGCTGCACCGCGACGGCGAGACTGCCGCCTCGCCCTGCGGGGCAAGGCACAGTGCCTGCACGAGTGCTCATGCAGAGGGTGGGAGCGCAGGTCTGCGCGCAGACCAGAGCAACGGACCAATGAGCTCAACCAGCCGAGGAGGAGAAGGAGAGGATGACGGCATGGCATCCCGAAGCAGCGTCCGCAGCCCGCCGCGAGGCCACGGCTGTAAAGAGATTGTCCCAAGGGAGAGCGATCCGCCGTGCCACGGAGGCATTGGCACGCAGCGAGTGCGATGCCACAGAGGCCCCGAGAGGCCAAGAGGCACATCGCGATTGGGAGCCATGTTGGACCGTCTTGGGGGCCTCTTGAGGCCATGTTGGCCCGTCATGGCGCCCTTCTGGCCTCTGGGAAATCCATGCGGCCGACCCCAAGAGCGCCGAAGAACGCCCACAAGATTTGGGAATCTTAGCCTTCGGCCCAGATCAGAACATTTACGATTTACTTCACAGTGAACCCCCAGGGACAAGAGGGACGCTCCGACTCGTGCCTGGGCACGGTAGCGGATAAGATACCACAGTTATATTGGATGGTAGGGGAAGGAGCAGAGGTCGGTGTGGACTCACCGAGCACCTCCCGCACTCTTGCGGGCTGGGCATGACACTCGGGCTGGGAGGGGGGGGCGTCTTGTGGGAGGTTAGGCGGATCATTGCGGCCAAGGGAACGCCCAATAGCACAGCAGAGATAGGAGGTCAGTGGGTTTGTCATGCATCGGCTCTATCGATCTTTGCACGGCCCTGGATCTTCCTGAACATGAGCAGGGTCCCCAGACAAAAACAGTCCGGACATAGGCCCACCATTTCCGCCTACACATGGAGGCGCGGTTGATGTTGATATTCGCCAACCTTCTATGTGGCGTGTGAAGCTGCAGACAGCAGGCTTGACAGACATAGTCAACAACGAACTGCTAGGGTCGATGTTTCGTTTTTTTGTGGTTCCACCCCTGTGACTCCGCAGAGCATGGTCTGAGGCAGATTAGAGCCCACAATCTCGTCACATGTAATCGTGCTGTATGTTTGGCTCGTGGGATTGCTCTGTCGCACATGGTAGAGGAAGCAAGTCATGAGACATCCTCTTAATTGGTTGGGCGTGGTTCCTATTTCGAGAGCTCGCCCAGCTGCATCTGAACTGGTGCAGCGGGTAGCCAAGGGGCATGCTGGAGGAGCGCTATCCGACAGCGTGTGCTGTCGACGTCAGGCACATCAGTTTTCATAGCACACGCGGGATTCGACCCAGAGCCGTTTTCATCCATCGGGAAGCATTCAATCTCAAGGGCAGGCTCCTGTTAGAGAATTTCCAGCACCAGTGTCGGCACATGCCGAAGCACTAGCAATATACATGACATGAGCCACAGGTAGCGCCCGTTCAGCGGGCAGCCGCTGCGCTCGAGCTAGACCACTCGCATTCGTCAAGTGTTGGCCCTTCACGCTCGCAAGTGGCATACCCAAAGCAGCACCTGAAACCTTGACCTGCACCTGTGTCAAACACAAGGCAGTGCGAGTTGAGAGAGGGAGCGCCACTCCTTCATCAAACAGCATGCCTGTCAACGCCACAACTTCCCGCACAGCGGACCTTCACCTTGGTCGAGCTTGACACGCTCACATTCGCCCTGCAACCAGAGGTACGCTTAACAATCTCGTTAGACATGCCCCCCACGTATCCGAGATGAGGAACGGATGAAAGGCAGGTGCCGTTCGTTAAGCCGTTGATGCTCATCAATCAAAGCAGGAAAAGGCAGGCCAAAACACGAATGGGCGAAATGTCTACACAAGGTGTTTGTTGAGCATCTTGGCCTGGAAATCTTTTGGTCGCAGCGAGTGGCGAACTATTGCGGAATGCATTGCAAGCAAGGGGGATGAAGGAGACATTTTGTAGCCATTCTGTATATACAGTTCATGTGATGCCCGGCGCCTTGGCATGGTATCTCTTTTTTCTATTTTCCGCCCACGCGCTTCGGCGTATAGCTCAGCGTAGCGTAGCGAGATGAGGGCACCTACGTCCCTCATCGCCCTCTCAGCGGGAAGGCTAGCCTGAAGCGGGGGACACACAAACGGATCCCGAAGGACCCCTCCTCCAGAGTTCGCGCCTGGCCCGTCCACTCCCAGCCCCGACAGGGCAAAACACCATGGCACCTTTGGGATTGCTCATGGCTGCGCCCGCGTGCCGCGCAGCCTCGGCAGTGAGCGCAGTCGCGCAGAGCGCCGCTTGGGGTGGTGCTCGGCCGAAGGCAGGGGGCACCATATATACCGTTGAGGTCGGCATCGCCGAATTAATTCGCGCCGGTGGGGACACAAAAGGACCTCCCTTCTCACACAAACATCTCCTCGAGGGTCGCTCCTCCCTCGTCCATCCTCGTGCACTTTCTGGTCCTCGTCGTCTTGCGCTGCTTCTCCTGCTCCTGCTGTGCCCCGCTCTTCTCCCTTCCCCCTTTTGTCGGCGGCCAGCCCGGAGGGGGGGGGCAGTGAGAGAGAGGGCGGGCACCCTCGGAGGGCTCGGACGTCCGACGACTTCCTTTCTGGGCCAGCGCCGGCGCCTGCAGCGGCTGGCGGCGGTGGCGGCGGGGAGCGTCGACGAGGACAACGGCGACGACGATGACGACGACGACGACGACGCTCCACCACCGTGCCTTGGTTTTGGGTCAGAGTCCTTCTGGATGCCCCTTGGGGTCTCGTCGGAGGGCTCTCGGAGACCTTTAAAGGGCATGTCTGAAGCCTCCTGGGCGCCTCTTGGGCGTCTCTTGGGGACTCCCTGAGGTAGTGGTGGTTGTGGTTGTGGCGGTGGTGGTGGTGGTGTGGTTGTGGTGGTGGTGGTGGTGGTGTCGGTGGTTGTGGTGGTGGTTGTGGTGGCAGGTTGTGGCGGTGGTGGTTGCGGTGACGTGGTGGTTTCTGGTGGTGGTGGTGGTAGTGGTTGTGGTGGTGGTGGTGGTGGTGGGTTGTGGTGGTTCTGGTGGCGGCGGTGTTGGTGTGGTTGTTTGCCGTGGTGGTTGTGTTGGCGGTAGTGGTTGTGGTGGTGGTGGGTTGTGGTGGTGCTGGTGGTGGCGGTGGTGGTGTTTGTGGTGGTAGTGGTGGTGTGGTAGTTTTTGTGGTGGTGGAGGTTGTGGTGGTGTGTGGTGGTGGTGGTGGTGGTGGTGCTGGTGGTGGTGGTGGTGTGGTGGTGGTTTGTGGTGGTGGTGGTGGTGAGTAGTGGTAGTGGTGCTGGTGGTGGCGGGGGTAGTAGTGGTTGTGGTGTGGTGGTTTGTTGGTGGTGATGATGGTGGCTGTGGTGGTGGTGGTGGTGGGTTGTGGAGGTGGTGTTGTTGTTGTTGTTGGTGGTGGTGGTGGTCGGTTGTTCTGGTGGTGAGGTGGTGGTTGTGGCGGTGGTGGTGGTGCTGTTGCTGGTGTGGTGGCTTGCGCTGGTGGTGGGTTGTGGTGGTGGTGGTGGTGTGGTGATTTGTGGTGGTGGTGGTGTGGTGGTTTGTGGTGGTGGTGGTTGTGGTGGTGATGGTGGGTTGTGCTGCTGGTCGTGTTGGTGGTGGTGGTGGCAGGTTATGGAGGTAGTGTAGTAGATTGTGGTGGTGGTGGCAGTGGTGGTGGGTAGTTGTGGTGGCGGTGGAGGTGGTGGTGGTGGTGAGTTGTTTTGGTGGCGGGTGGTAGTGGTGGTTGTGTGGTGGTTTGTGGTGGTGGTGGTGGTTGTGGTGGGTTGTGGCGGTGGTGGTAGTGGTGGTGGTGGTAGTGGTGGTGGCGGTTGTGGTGGTGGTGGTGGTGTGGGGGTTTGTGGTTCGTGGTGGTGGTGGTTGTGGGCAGTGGTGTTGGTGGTGGTGGTGGTGCTGGTGGTGGTGGTGCTCGTGGTGGTGGTTGGTGGTGGGTGGTGGTGGTTGTGGTGGTGGTGGTGATTGTGGTTGTGTTGATGGTGTTGTGGTTTGTGGTGGTGGTTGTGGTGGTTTGTGATGGTGGTGGTGGCGGCGGTGGTGGTGATGGTGGTTGTGGTGATGGTGTGGGGGTTTGTGGTGGTGGGGTGTGGTTGTGGTGGGTTGCGGTGGTGACGTTTTTGGTGGTGGTGGTGGTGTAGTTATTTGTGTTGATGGTTGTGGTTGTGGTGGTGGTGGGTTGTGGTGGTTGGTGGTGGTGGTGGCGGTGGTGGTGATGGTTGTGGTGTGGCGGTGGTGGTGGTGGTGTTGGTGATGTGGCCCTCGGGTTTTCCGTCACCGTGTTGTGGCTTCGGGTCAGAGTTCTAATGGATGCTTCTTTAGGTCTCGTCAGAGGGGTCTCGGGGGCGTGTGAGGAGATTTGTGAAGCCTCCTGGACCTTGCTAAGGGCGTCTCGGTGACTTTTGGGGGGCGAGGGCTCGATATGGCGATTTGTGTTTCCCCTCTGCGGCCTGGTCATCGTCGCTGCGTCCCCGCCATCGGCGCTGCTGGCCGCCGCTGGCGCCGGCGCCGACGGGTCCCTGGGAGGTGCGTGGGGGAGTTTGAGGAGGGGGGGTTTAGGGGGGAGGGGAGTCCCCCTGATTCTGAACGACGGCGCCGAATGGTGGAGGGGAGCCCCCCTCAGTTCGAAATGCGCCGCCGAGTTTTCCCAGGGCGTGCGCCCGTGAAACGCGCTCTCTCTTATCTCGGAGAGAACCATCGAGGAGCACATCGGACCATCGTGCGAAACATCAGCGCGCAAAACCGACAAATGCACGGGGAATGGACGTCTGAGCGACGGCGAGACATATCCCCCCTAAGAGGTGCCAGTTTTTGTTTTGCGCACAGGGTTTCCGGGGCGGTCCGTGCGGCGCGGATCAGGCTGACGAGTATGCCTTGTGCGCCCAGCCGCAGCACTACTCACGCTGGGCAGAATACCGCGGCGAGCGGACCGACAGCTCCCTCAGCAAGTCAATGAGCAGCTTGCTGCGGTACAGGAGGAATGCTGAGCGGCACGGCCTGACGATCTACGGTGGGGGTTGGGCCAAGTTGCAGGACCTCGCAAGGATCCTCGGCGAAGAATTCGGCGGGTCACGTGAGGAAATTTGCGAGCGCATCCGTTTCGCAGTCTCCACGAGCTTGAGCAATGAACGCAACGCCTACCGCTTCGAGTCAGACAACCTCCCAATGCTTGGTGAGGTCGTCCGAGCCACGGACATCAGGGCAGATGAAAACACAATGGTATTGATATTCGGTATCATGCCCCCTGTACTGTCCCCCTCGCACCCCCCCAGTATTCTTGGGAGTGAATGTCGCTCCCTTCGTTCTTTGAATCACCCTCAGGACAAGTCTGAGCATAGAGGAGGGCGCCCGCAGAGGAGTCTTCAACACGGCGACGGCGTCCCGCGGCCGGCGTGGCGGGAGCCCGCCGGCAAAGAAACCCGGGCCACTGTGACGCTGGAGGGCTTCCCCGAGCGGGCCGACTGCGCGCCGAGGGCGCACTTCAAGGCGGCGCCGAACCCAGCGCCCGACATGCCCGCCGCGGCAAAGCAGCCAGCGCCGGCGCGATCCACGGAGAGGGCCCCCGACCCCAGCACGGGGCCGCCGCCTAAGAGGGGCGGAGCGGCGGAGGCCGCCACCGCCCCAGCGTCTGCCGCGCTGGCATCCCTCAGTGCGCACTCCGCCGGCCCGCCTGGGTCCGCTCGGCCGCGCCTCCCCAGCCGCACTGGCGGTGCGGACTGGGTTCACGTCCCGGCGGAGGACTTCGGGCGGGGTTAGAAGGTTAGAACAGGGATGAATCGCTCCATAGCGTTCGGGAACGCTCTCAGAGCGTTCTGGAACGCTCTGACAAGGCCGTGGCGCCCGATGCATCCTCCAGGACCGCTGGATCTCAGACATCCCCGCTTTATCCTTGCTCGATTTTGGTCCTGTCCTGGCTTCGTCTCAGGACTGGGCGTACGTCCCGCCGAAGAGGAGCGGCACGGCGGCAGCGGCAACCGCGGCGGCGTCCGCCGCGCTAGCCTCTGGCTGCGCGCCCTCCGGCGGCGCTGGTGCCAGACCAGCGGAGGAATGGGTGCACGTCGAGCCGTCGAAGCGATGCGGCGGCAGCGCGGGCGCCAGCAGCAGGGAGCAGATCCGGGCCGTCGGGGGCCGCGGAGGCGCCACCGCAGGAACCACTGAGCTGCCGCTGGGCCGCCAGCTCGGCAGCGAGGACGGGCTCCTGCAATGCCACCCAACATTCTTGAGGTTACGGTCAGGAGCTTTGGGGCAGCGTGTCGCTGCGCCAATTCTGGCCCGCCACGCTTCGGTGCGACGCGCTATCAACTTCTGGGTCCCCGAGCGTCCACGTCCCCAGCGTTTCCGAGCCTCGTTCCCCGTGATGCGTAGCAACATGCTATCCGCTTGCAAGGCAATGCGTGTTGCCTGGGCCGCAGCCGCGACCAGATGAGCAAACGCTCCCAACTGTATATTCACGTCCCGATATATATTGATTGTGTGCGTGACCGATCGAGGATGATGCGTCTTCGGGTTAGGCAGTGGTGCGTCCCAGTATCGTCACAGGCGCATTTCGTGTTCGACAGACACGCACTCCGTCCTTGGGGACCACAGCGAGTGTCTTGGACTATCTGGAAGTCCCAATGCTGTATGTGCCTGCTTCAGGCTGATGCGTCTCTGGGCCAGGCAATCGGGCTTCCTGGGATTTTTCCAGGGTGGCTCCGCGCGTGGCTGCTCGAGGATGAGATGTAGTGGGGCCAAGCACTGGTGCGTCCCATACGCATCAACTGCACCCCGTGGAACGCGCCGTGTAGATTGTACCACATGTACCTTGCGTCGCGCAGATTGCGACGTATACTGGGCAACCTAGGTGTTGCGACTCCCATTGATTACACCGCGAAGTTATGACGACAGCATAGGCGCGGCGCCCAGAAAGCATTGCACCACTGCCGCCCTAGACTATGCAGCGCACAAGCTACATCGCAAAGAGCATCATGCAGGTGGCAACTCGCAGGTTGAATCATACACATCTTACTACACAGCAGCAGCAGTGCACGTCGAGAGGGCGAGATCCCAACGTTCAGGGTGAGCGCAGGCAGACGTGATTTCTATAGGGACGTGGCTAAAACACCGCTTGGTGTTCGAAGGACTTCGACATGTGCGCGCGTGTACCCCGCATTATATAATTTGTTTGGAAGCATTGGAGTAAACACTCATATCCTACAGTATCAACGCCATGAGCCTGTCGGTGTTACGTGCGGGAGGAAATGCCAAGGCTGGATCGGGCGTCGTGGTCGTGTGGCTTATGTGCAGCGGCGCGAGGCCCGCATTACATCAGTTGCAAGGGAACGTCGCGCCCTGGTGCAGGTATGGCCAGGTTCGGCATGATTGGCCAGGACCTTCTGTTTGTACACCATCTGCATTGTAGCCTTTGTCGGGATGGAGCTCGGGAGCTCCCGAGCGAAGTGAACCCCACCCTCCCCCTCAGAAATCGTGGGGGGTAGGGGTAGGGTTCGCATGTGACCCCCTACAGTCGGGGCCCTGAAGAAGGAACCCTTTTGGTTGGGGAGGGGCTCCGCGTTCCTTAAGTGTTTCACAGCTTGCCTCAGGTTTCCCTTCTGTTTTCGATCGGGAAATCGAAGTTCATCTCATGGAAACAAGGGGCCTCGTTCCTTGTTTAGGGTTCCTCAGGTCAGCGCCCCGACCTGCAACTGGGGAGACGCTTCCTCTCGGCTCGGGGCCCACCGCCCCGACTCCGTGTGGAGCCTTCGCCCTGGACATCAGGCCTGGTTCGGGCCGGGCGAAAGGGGGGGATTGGGAAAGGGGGGGTTACGAAATTTGCTGCGTGCAGCTGGTTTCGGCCTCACCGAGGGGCCCATTCCTCGATACATGGGCGCCTCCCGGCGCCGGGAGGCGCCGGGAAAATCAGCTACGTGAGCTGATTCTCAAACCCCCCCTTTGCTATCCCCCCCTTTCGCCCGACCCGAGCAGGCCGAGTCGCGCACCTCTGGGCGCCGAGGCGCCCGCCCGCACGGTGCACGTCAGCTCCACGGCGGTGCCCGCGGGCACCGCGTGCCGCTCCGCGAGGCCCGTCGCCGCGTTCCTGCGCCGTCGCGGCCACGCCCCAGTAAAGCTCCTCCTCGTCTTCCTCCTCCTCCTCCTCCTCCTCCTCCTCCTCCTCTTCCTACTGCTCCTACTCCAACTCCTACTCCCACTCATACTCCCAGTCCTACTCCTACGGCTCCTCCAGTCCCCGCGTACCGACGGGAGGGCCTGGACAGAAGAAGAACAGCATTCCCCAAGCAGTGATTCAGACGAGCGACTGGAACTTGATGGGCATCAGAACTCTTTCCCGCCCGTGGGCGCGCAATGCCAGGCAGTCTGATCAACCCAGGGTCCCACCCGGATAAAGCGTGGCGCTGCCGTGGCGCAAGCGTTTGTTGCCCCTTCATCGCGGCTCTCTGCATGAACTCACCCACTTGGAGTTGATCATGACATGCAGGGATGGCACGGGTGTCCCCCGCCGCACGGTGATTTTAATCAAGCAAGTTGTCACATAACTAGTGTGTACTTGGGGAATTTGACTGGCGCGTTTCGAGCCACTCTGATACATTAGCCCGATCGTTTAAAAAGCCGCCGCCTTCGTTCTTGCAAAACACATGTGTTGCACACGTTTAGCTTTGTGGCCGTCGTGTCGTTTCCAAGGGCTGGCGGGCCAGGGCCCGCGTTTTGAGCCCTCGGGATCGTCCAGCCCTTTCCCGAACTCGGGGCTTTGCTGCATCGCCACGGCGCCGGCTATCGGGCGCCTGGGCTGGGCGCCGTCTGGCGCGGTCGCGCTCATTGACCTCGACTGGGTGTGTCCTGGTTCGGGCCAGCCGCCGACGACGAGGAGGAGGCTGAGAAGACTGAGCCCCTAGACGCTGGGGGGTCTTCTCTTTCGCGCGGCATTCCTGCGGGGTACATGGCTCCTTGTGCGAGGTGGTCCACGACTTCCGTGCAGTCCAAGGCCAGACCCACCAATTTGGGCGCTGTCGACGCCAAGAAAACGATTGGGCTCGCGGTGGATCTGGTGCAGAGAGTGGTGTTCGCGAGTGTTCGGGAGAAAGCACTCATCCATACCGAGCTGTAAGAAGGGCATCGTGTGGACGATGCACCCAAGGCTGACGTGTGTAAACACAGGGGCAAGGCTGTGATAACGGAGGACTGTATCATCATGCGCGAGAAGCTGGGCGCCGCCGCGGCCGCGAACCATAACGAGTCGAAAGCTGCAAGGGCCATCAATGGCAGCAGCAACGCGAGGGTGGCCTGTGGCGACTTGGATAGGGATAGGATTTGTGCCGATGGTCTTCGCCACTTGGAGCCACCGCGTATTTGGCATGAGTGCTGTTGCGACCGTCGTGGCCTGGAGGGTTTGAGGTGCTTTTGGCCGGGGTCCGTGGTCAACGCCTGCTACCACAACCTGCTGGGGGCCTTCAAATCTAGACGTTCGAGGATGTGCAGAGTTTTGTTGACTTTTTGCGCATACTGTACAGCAGCGGGGGCATGGGGCTCGTCGCCAGATATTTCGTTGCCGTTTGGCGTTGGCGGTGTACTTCGCGTGGCTCTTCTGGAACTGGACGTCGAACTGTGGGCCGATTCGGGCCGTGACGCGGATTCGGGCCTGGACGCCAGGAGCGTCTACGAGGGCACCGACATTGGCGACATCGACGACGATCCTGATGCGAAGACGCTATCCCAGAGCTGGCCAGGGGGCCAGGCGGACCCGGCCTCAGCGGCGGTGGAAATGAAGTCCCCCATTGAGCAAGAAGGAATTGTCGGTGGAGGAGCGGGGAGCGCGAGGGACGGCGTGCCCCCGTAACGTCCGCCACCAGTGGATCTGCCCCCCGCGAGACCCCCGCGAGGGCGATCCCACTCTGGCGGAGGCCGACTCGTTCATCAAGAACCGCACGGAGCACGAGGACGCGGCGAATCGCATTTTGACCCGAGTTGCGAGAAGGCGGGTGACCTCGGGCTGAGATGAACGACTCGCGGCGGGAGTGGATTCTGCAGCCGAAGGGGAGGCCAAGGTGCCCGAGGATAGCCCGCCCCACACTGCGCAGCGCAGCAGGGCCGCCACGGGCCCGCAGTTCGGCGGAGTGAAAAATCGAGTTGCCTCGGCGGAGTGAAAAATAATATATGGGCGGGCGCCGGACGCGCGGCCTGCGTGGAGACTTCTGCGCTGAATATCGGCAGGGCGCTGGCGTCGCCCAAGAGGTGGATGCGCTGGCAATGTACCTCGCGATGAGCTCTGGGCAGCGCGGCGAGCTCATCGCGCCCCATGCCGCGGAGCTGACCTGCATGAAGCTGCGCTCCATCTGCAAGGCCTACGAGCGCGTCACCTGACAGGCGGACGGGCAGAGGCCAGCGAGTCAGCACGGCGGCTTGTGGAAGTCCAAGGGCGATTGGATTTTGGCGCAGGGGCACTTGGGGCTGGGCCGCGTTCCTAGCGGCGGGGGCAGGTTGGCCGACGACGGGGCGATGGAGAAGCTGATGGGGAGGCGGGCCCTGGACCGGCCCCTGGGATAGGCGCGATCAGGGCGCCCGCTACTGACGACGAGCATGTTGCAGCTAGGGGTTCCGCGGCGCGCCCCGGCCATGGCCCGAGGGGCTGGTCTCCCGTCGCGGCCGTGGTGGCGAGCCGCTCGTCCATTCGGCTTCCTGCGCCACCTGTGCTGCGGCGGTCGCATCAACTGCGCGATGGCGGTCTTCTCGGCGGCTCTCTGCGAGGGTCTTAGCGGCGCTGTCCACGAGCAGGGGCCGTTCGCGTGCATCGGGCATGCCTCCGCTTGGACGCGAGCGGCTAGCGGGCTTTCCCGCGAATCGAGGCGCAGGCTGTCTTCCGGGCTGTGCCGGGCCCGATCTGGGGGGATGGAGTCGAGGCGGAGAACCTGTATGAAGGGGCCCCCCGAAGCCGCCCTTCCTGCTGAAGACGCGCTTGTCGGGGGCGGACGTCGCGCGTTGGCCCCCGCTGGGGGGGGGGGGGGTGTCGCGACGACATGTTTAGCGAGTGGTCCACTAGCGCGTCGCTTCAGCGCGAGAGCTAGCGGGGGCGCAGTCGGCGACGGCAGGGCGGCGCCGGGCCGCCTGGCGGGCGGGCGCCCAACAGGCAGTGTGCAGCGTCATCGAGGACGGAGACACCGCGCGCGGCGATGTCGAGTCCGACGAGATTGAGGGGGG